CTCTGTATGTATTTTCCCGTCTAAGCGGATCCCTTCCAGGACCGTCCAGAAGCTAATCGGCCCCCTCACCCACGGTAGGCTTAGAGCTTAGAGCCCTCTTCGACGCATGCAGTTGGCCCTCGGAATGAAGAGAGATCTTTGGGATTGTCATCGTATCAACCCCTGTCGCGTTTCTTCAGCGCTTACACTTTTACACTTAGGTACCTAACATACAGATTTGGCCCTCGTCCGACGGCTCCTCACTTAGCACTTCGCATCTCGTGTTCCCACCTGGCCCTCAATTTACATATTAAAAATGACAAATACGACCAGAATTGGCTGCAGATGAGGGGCAGGATAAGTCCATCTGCATTCGATTTGTCTCCCTCTTACAGATAACACTTACTGCAGTTACTGTAAGCGATCTTCAGAAGATAAACATCAAAAGTAGAGGTACTTTGCAAAAGTTTGCGGTACAAACCCGAAAGCAGTCATCGTCATCCGGGGACCGCGGGTTCTTGAATAGCTCTGCCATCCTTAAAGACAGCCGAGCGAGCCTCGAACCTCGAACTAAGAAATCCGGCCAAAAAACGCACGATTCTAGCCCGGTCGTCAAGCGTCTTTATCCGCATGACCTCCGGGTCCGTCTGTGCGTTGGTCTGGAGAGCGTCTTTTTTGTCATTCTCCCCCGTCTGCAGCAGAGACATTGAATAAACTACTTTGATTTCGAATACCTAGACATTCATTGCGCCTCTATGCATATAGGTACCTAATATTTGACAGGGACAAGGCACGCATATCTTCATCCCCCAAGCAGCCAAGTTACTCTGATGGCCCCCCATCGTCTCTCTGATTCCTCTCCCGTCCAATCACCCGTGCAGTCAGACGGGATGTTGGGTAGTAGCCCGCTGCACGCAATCAATTTTATCATTCAGGCACCACGACGGGAGTGAAAATCCTCTAGTATTGCTATCTCGCCATGCAAATAACCAATATTGGACCCATACATAGAGCCTACCTACATATGCTATCAAAACAACACTCTCTCCATCCGGTCTGCAAGAGGACCGTGCGGACGTCGAGTGGGTAGCATCCCGCGCGCCCATGTGCGAGGCGTTTCAAGACCAAATCTGCCTGTATCTATTTCCGGACGTCAGCTTGGCATCTGAGACCTACATACGCTATTTTCCCCATACTATCGTCCGCATTCATCAAGTTCAACCCGTAGCAAACTAACAGCACCATTCCGTTTATCAAATTCTAACAATTCGAACTTTCACAGCCACCGGCATCACTTAATATGCATGCAGCCTACCGCGCCGCCTTGTCCATCCATCCATCATCATCATAATCATCAGCCCACTATCAACCAAACAAAACCCAGCCCGTTAGTGCAAACGCATCAGTCCACGTCCCACCAGGAGCAACGTCATCCGGCTATCTGCACCTAATTAGCCTCACTTCTGGATTTTCACGTGGGTTCCAGATCCGCCCGTCTGTTCCTGCGTCTACTACAAACCTAATCTATGTAGTCCGCTACTTCGGGAGCAGATCGTATCGCACCTAGGTAGGCTTTCTACCGGTTTAGCGGTGTAGGTAGGATGCGCAAATGGATACTTGCAGATATGTATGTACCTAGGTAGGTAAGTAAATGTAGAACGCGTCTCACGCGTTGACATCATTAGGAATAATTCTCGTAGTAAATGTGAATAGTAGTACTTCGTAGCTCTATATACATTATGTATGCATAAGTCGTCTCCTAGTGTAGATTCATTAGCATTAGGAAGTAGGTAATATATTTACGTCTTCATACCTCTCGCCCCCAACCTATCATGCTCGAGCTAGCAACATCAACAGCAGTTGTGTAATTGACATGGTATTCGATCAACCTACATAACCAGGTTTCTTCACAAAAGCCGTCTGTCCACCCCCTACGGCAAGGACCCGTTCGTGTTACTTGACATTCGGGTAGATGCTTACCTACCTACGCACGGGTGAAGCCCGTCTTTATCAATATGATACATTAGTGTCGTTATCCAGATACCCGGTCTTCCAGCGGTAAGTAGGCAGAGTTGACATATCACATAGTAAGCGGTGCTCGCGCGTATGTTCAGGTACCTACCTATGTATTGATTTCTATAAACAATTATACCAGGCGTACTCGGTCCAATATCCCCACACGCAATCCATAATCTAACGAACGACAACCCGTAGAGTAATCAACAGCCTCAACCCCGTGCTATAGTGTGTTTACTCGCTCCTCAATAACCTTATTACCATATGGTCAAGCCCCTGAAATCGCCTGGAGTAGCTTTGAATCTCATGACAACGACTCTCCTTAGGAGCAGGAGATCCTTTCCCTTATTCACCTCTACGAACAATCCGTCTCTTGTCCAAATTCTTTAGCAAAACATAAGCGGCTGCTGGGTAATTAGCTCTGCGATATCGAATTTCGCCTCTCTTATGCCCTCCACAAAGGGACGTCCCACTGTACTTCGTAGTCTATGTCGTACCCGCAATATAATCTCCTCGCAAAATTCAGTGCTGCCCTCGTCTATATCCCTTCCAGATGACCGCATTTCTTCCCTGAGTATCATTGCCGTATCCACCACTAGGGTTACGTACTGAAGAGAATACTTCATGTAGGACAGGAACACTTTTCGGACCTTCGCCATTGTCGTATACTTGTACCGCCCAGGGTCAAGGAGAGGAATGTGTATGAAACTGAGAGGGCCCTGTTTTAATCTAGTTGATTCTGATAGAGTTATTATTCTAGGCGATCCTAGTCCTAATTCGCGTATTGGGGGTGATTCTGAGTCCTTAGTTCTATCTGTGCAAAAAGCTCCGTGTACGACTTCAGCCATTCGCTTCCCTAGAGTGACAAAAACCACAGGCCGAGTAGCCCTGACGTAATCCCACATATACATCTAGGTTCATGTTAATTAGAAATAGGGGAGGTAATCGAGTAGGCAGAGAATCTTACAGCAAACTCTTTGATACGCTTGGGATTGAACCGTCTATAAAAAGGCGCAAAGCAATGAAAGGGAATAATATTAGATTTCAGCTCCTGCCCTTGCAAGAGCACCTCCTCGATTAGAATCTTCATTAGACTTGCCTCGATAGTTTGCCCCCGGATGTAGTTTTTGCAGCTGAAGTAATCGCCCGGGGAAATGCCTTTTACAGCAAATATCAGGAGGGGCCGCCCCCCCTCAGGTTCGAAAGGGACTGCCTGATATATGAGAGACTGCTGCGCCTTCGTGGTTTTTTGGCGGTCATTTATACACTGAGAAGATATTTTCATTTCTTGGAACAGCCGCCCGAACTCCTTTTGCATAATAACGAAGGAGTCAGTTTTTGAAGTAGTAGTCGGGATGTTTCCGTGATATACGGGTTTGAGCAAGCTAAATTCATCTCTGGGCAAGTAATCAGGTAGTAAGAGCGGTTCCTTTTCGCGGTTGATAAGCGACTCAAGATTGAATACTATGAGCAATGCTCGATATATGAGACCATTCCGAAATATCGATTCCGTATTACGTACCGAAGCGCAGAAGTCAGGGAGCATGTAAATTCGGATATCCTTTGCCACATCCGACAAGGCCAAGCTTACTCCCTCTAGGAACTCTGGGAGAACTCCACAAAATGATTGATTAAACTCATCTCGCATCATACGCTTGCTCGTGAATGGTAGCGGATCTTCTAGTGTTACTTCTCGGCGACCAATATACCGGACGGTTATGCGAGTGTTAGGGTTATAATTATTCTGCGAAGCGATAAAATTCGACCATGTCTGCAACTCTTCGAATGTAATCTCTTCTTGTCGCAGATATTCTATTAGATGGTCGAGTTGGGCTGATGAAAACGACCATGATGCCATGAAAATTAAATTCCCATCTCCAGTTTCATTTAAATATGACTGGTTATGTATCATTGGTATCATTCGGATCACCCTCGATAAATCTTCGTCCGAAACACCCAGCGGGCAGGTCAATAATTCCTTCCAGGTCCAAATATCATGTTCTGTGTATGAAAACCCTCTAAAGCCTAGAGTTTTAGGAGGTAACAAATAGGGGGCTTTATGTAAGAAGAATTTTGCGAGACCGACCTTTTTTGTGTTGGATTCTAATTCGCTATCTATTAGTTCCTGCTTTAGTCTATGAGCGATTTTGAGCTGCATTGTTCGTGCCAAGTCCTCCAGTACTGGGTCAATATCTCTTAGTGTCTCATTGAGGTAAGGGATGTTGCCTATTTGCTCAAAAAATGAATCCGGGATGCCCGGGAGTGGAGGGCTGGGTGGGATGTTCATGCTGCCTACACCGTTTAACAGTGCGTGTGGCCTAAAAGTTCCCTAGGGGTCCTTAATGATGGTTAATTTAAATATGATTTGGATGTCTTGATACTTGTCTTGATACTTGATATATCAGTGTTGGTGAGCGGATGATATTAAAATAGCAGCAATGGGATGTAAAAATCGACCCATGCATTATTAAATCTTATTAACATATAATATAAACTTTGCGTTTACAGACACTTGAATAGATGGAAGTATTCGCGGCTTCTTTATATCCAGCTTGGCTCCTGCAACGGATAGGTATCGCTCCTCCTTATAACTATCGCTGCATGTGAAAGGGTATATGTGTAAGTATATATGTAGAGGCTGCCTACCTACATACCTATGTATATAAAGGTAGTTACATATGTGATAGCTTACAGTCCCAATACCTAGGCCAGGTACTAATAGTTCTCAGGCGTACCTACTCGTCTCATAGGTACCTTATATACCTCATGTACTAAGGTAATCTAAAATGATATCCTTTTATAGAGAACATGAAGAGATTCTATATAATTATACTACCCTGTAATTTTATGTAGAGCCCAATCTCAAGCCTATGTCATGGGCCCAAAAGGCCATTAAGGGGTGCATAGATAAGCTGAGAATTTGCATCAACATTGAACCATCAAATCTATATCACCAAACAACGGAGAACATAAATATAACTCTTAACACAAGCAGGAATCGATGGCTACCGAGAGGTCCCAACTACACCTTCGAATATCACACCTCCCGCACGACTCCTTTTCTCCCGCTTAATTTCTACCTCCTCAAGCGGGAGAAGGGGTCCACTCTCGAGTACAAATCGTCGATGCCATGCGCCGACAAACAGGCCATCAGGATCTACACTTTCCCGAACCTTTCGCCACTGACGTAGACTGTTGCCATACATGCTTTCGATCTCTGCGCCGTCTGTCTCGAAGTTCTTCGCCCAGTGTGGTCGCCCGCCCAGATCCCGCATCAGCCACTCGAAAGCCTCGTAGTACCGAGCCCGACACGGCGGGTCGCTGTAATAAGGTCTGTATAGGGTGGCGTTGAGATATAGTGTCGGGCTGTCCTCTACTGTCGGGTCGAGATATGGCCTGCTGTTCGGCGTTAAAGACTTCAGGTTAGAAGGCGATGTGTTAGACACTCGCACTTCGACAGGCGCGTGCACGTAGAGGCCCTCGGCTGAGAAGGGTATGTTATGGGGTACGTAGTCTGGGTCCGAGGAAGGAAGCTGATTGAGCCAACTGCTCAACCGTCGAAGAGCCTCAGGACCCTTGTGAAGAGGAATGGCCCACTCATTCACAAACTGCGAATATAAGCAGTTCATCAATAATGCCTTGCGGCTGGGTTGAACGGCACCGCTAGTCGTGCCGTTCTGGAACCCATACTGCATGCCGAAAACGAACCACTCGATCCAGGGGATAACTCGTGGGAAAAACTGTGAGGCATAGAGCAAGTTGTGGTAGACATAGTAACCAAGAGTATTATCGTAGTACGATACTTTCGGATCTATCAGCGGCTCATCCGTCTTCTCCGCAGTCCATACTACTGCGCGTCGGGTATACGGGTACCACCAAACCCTAACGAACTCGGTCTGTGTCCAGAGATCCCTTTCCCACGCATTGAACATCTTCACGTCAGCGTCAATAACCTGCTTCCACCGTAGAGTGAATTCGGGTACGGCTCGGAAAGTAACCTCAGTTATAATACCGAGCGCACCTAAGGAGAGGAGGGACGCCCGAAATAGCTCAGGGTCGTCCTCAGAGGAGCAGAATTTAGTGGTACCATCTGCGACGGTTACGCGCAAAGATAGAACGTCCTCGGACATTAGACCATGCTTAAGGCTTGACCCGTGGGTACCCGTGGAAATTGCACCGGCAATGGACTGCTGGTTAATACTACCAAGGTTCGGCATGGCAAGACCGTACTTCTCAAGCTCCTCGCAAAGCGCATATAGCCTTATGCCCGATTGCATGACTACGACGCCGGTATCTGTATCTACGGACAGTATGCGATTATACTTGTCGAGATTTACTAGCCAGGACGAGGTGCAGGTCAGCGAGCTGGGCGAATGACCGCAACCAGCGGTAGTAAGACGGCGACGACATTTGTGCGCAAGTTTTACTATCTTCTCGATCTCAGGTAATGTCTCCGGTTGAAAGTAGAGTTCTGGCCGCGACAGGAAAGTTTTCGCCCAGGTGCTGTGGACATGATTTTCCTTGGCGTGGAAAGGAATGCCATCAGCGCTCTTGGCGAGCTCAGAGGCGATGAGAGGGTCCATTTTATAGGAGCCTACGTCGACGGTACAATACCAATATTATATGTAGATAGCTCTTCCCCAATATCGATCTTCAAGATTTTCAGGGTCTTGTGGAGCTGGAGGGCCGAGATATCGTGTGCGTCAACTTATCCCTCAATCACCGCAACCGGGTACGGGGGTGGTCAAGATAAATAAACATAACAAGTACAAGGATAATCTTTACGTTCCCTCAAATTATAGATTATAAAGCAAATAGGATAAGAACACCGAGTTAACAATGGTTCGATTGAGGTGAATTAGTTAGAGATGAGGGGCGGCACTTAATAGATTGATTCTAGAACAATTCCCAACTTAGAGACGTTAGTGATGTCTTGGCAATGCAGTCGTAGATCTTCGTCTTCGTCTTCGTCATTATTGAGATGTGTGATTGGTTTATCTGAATTATATAATGCTATTATTCCGACTATTGGATATCGGCTCGAAATATGTACATCATGCATGTACGGTATTAGAATGGAGAGTATTGATAAATATATTTCTTTTAAAATATGCCTTAAACGAAGTCTTTTATCATACGAGGCCGCTTTATTAGATCTCTCGGGAATACCCGAGCGGAATTAGCCCTAACTGACCCAAATGTTGACTTGAGAATATCACGCAATAGTTTCTTTGCATTATTATGCTAGTTGCTTCTTACCTTAGGTATATTGATATGTGTAATGGTGAGAGATTAGGTTGGATTTATAGAATTTATTTTCAACTCGTGTTTAATCCTATTTACTGTTGTTAATAGGTATCACAATGATTTCTCATATGGTTGAAAAAACACGATCACTCCTGGTCATAGATGAAAGAAGCATCATCACCCGTTTGACAACCGAGGGTCGATCTTCGAGCATTATATTCGTAAATAAGCACATAATCAAGAACGTAGAAAATTTCTACAATTATTATGGTGCATTATGAAAATACGGCCAAGATAAGCAAACAAGAAATATGGGAACAGGCCAATAAAGTCTTCAAACACTATAACAGCCTCTCCTTACTTAATTCAAGTGATAGAAATAAAACATTTTATGAATGTAATTATAATTGCAACTAAAGAAACCCTCCAACTGCCTTGTAAGATAAGCAGGCAAGTAATGATAAATGCCTGGGAAATAATACGTAACAATTAATAAAGATGTGTAAACGGCAAGGTATAAATGTGATACATGATAGCATCGAGCCTCTTCTACAGCCCTACGACTTTAAGAGTACATGCAGGTACATACACGTATTATATGCAACGTATAAAGATGTAGGTACCTCATACCTAACGCACCTGCCAGGGCATCGACGCCACTAAACTAACAGCCATACGTTAGGTATTCGCTGCTGGTCCTAGCTATCCTATGCAAGTCCAGCGCGACTTCCTTAACAACCATCACCTTCCGAGATTTAGAAACCGTTCATCATGTACACCTCATATTTTTATAAAAAAGACTTGTACAAAACTTCTACGGTTACAATTCAGAAACAACCTTCTCAGCAGCCACGCCTTCATCTTCCCCCCTTTATTTCTCAAACATTCTCAGCATCATTACGATTCCCACAAACACTTATCCCTCCTTAATAAATGAAAATTATCATTATTGGGGTACTATTGACCTATAATATAACTGATATTAAGGCCATAGCTTTCACTTCAAATCGATTAGACGCGAAACGCGTCACGCGCCAACCCCCCTAAACCTCCTTAACCCCTTTTCACGATGTTCTACAGCCACGAAAGTAAGTCATAAATCTTTATTAACTCCTTATAAAACGTGTAACCTCCACTTACACCATATAATAGTTCTCACAAGCCGCCAATATGGCGTTGCGACTATTTGGTAAGTACTTTGTTCCTGGTGCTCTTCCTTACAGTCTATCGTCTGCTATGTCGGGAAACGATATGTTGACTTGGCTAACGCGTCGAAGGCTCGTCGCGACTGTTGGAAGTCGTTCAAGTACTAGGAAGGTGACCCGAAAAGCAATACAAGAAGTCGATGTGCAAAAGGCATGTGGAAAGATCATCGAGCCAGGCGCGCCAGTTGCCCTGCGCCTTCAGGGTCATCTGCTCTACGGAGTATCACGCGTCTATAACCAGCAATGTTCTTATATGCTTTCCGACTTGCAGAAGATCCAGGCGCATATGCATATATTCTTCACCAAATTTGGTTCGAACCAGCTCGACCCAGAGGCAGGACAGACAAGGTAAGAACTCTAGGCGCTTAAGATAGTAGATACTGCGCACGAGAAACCAGTTGTGACTGACTGGTTCTTCGCCAGACCAGAGAATATTTTGATCATGAACGATCCCGATTTCGTACCAGATATGCGTCTTCCGCAGTTCGATCTCGACGCATTGGTAGCTAATAGCCAAGCGACCAATAAGACATCCTCCCAAATGTCTCCTTTTGACAATACCCTCCTTTCAGGCTCGGGTAGTCAAGGTGCGGGTTTCAATATACATTTCGGCCTACGCCATTCAGATTCCCCTGGTCCCCAAGGATCCCCTTTTGGTCTTCAAGGGCTCTCATCCTCGCAGAAACCCGACGCGGCTCAATTCATTATCGACCAAGAAGATGAATTCACAGGAGCAGGCGACTGGGGAATGGAGATAGACGAAGATGGAAATATCATCGAGCTAGACGAACCAGCCATAGTCCAAGACGAAATGGAGCTACCTCCTCTCCCACCAATGGAAGACGAGAACCAGGAACACGTGGATCGCGAGCAACAGGACCAGCAAAATGTTGATGGCGAAGGCGACATCGTCATGATGGAAGGAGCGCAACCAGAGGCAGGAAACCCCCTAACGGAGCAACCTCAAGACGAACATGATCTCTTCTTAGATGATAATCCCCAGCAAGCACCTTCCCGACGAAAGAAGAAAGCCCATATGCCGGTTGTTGACGAAGAAACGCAACTCTCAAGAACTGTCTTAAGAGAGTGGCAAAAGGAATACTTGGATAACTGTGGCGCTAAGAAGGGGCGAGCCGGAGCAGCGCAGGCAAAGGCGAATGCTATGCTACTTACATTCGGCCTTGGCTTAGGAAATATCGGACAGAACTTGGGTGTTCCTGGAATGGTCCATCCGCTGGCCCTTGACTTCTCGGGAGACTCCCTATTTACTGCCCTTACTGGACTTGGAATACCTGAGAAGCGCCGTGGTAGACGTAGACGCCGATCTGCAACCGAACTCATTAAGGATGACGAGCAAGATGAGCGCCGAGTCAAGCCGCGACTTGATAGTGAAGCCGACCAGCAGGGCCGTGGCCTAGAAGACGATTATGTCTTCGACCAAGACGCACAAATGGTTCATAGTCCACCTGAGGTTGGCCGAGACGCCCAGGCGCCTATGTCCGATCATCTTTCTTCCGCCTTGCGTCTGCCCTGGAACCGAGGTTCTTCTGCTGTGCTGGGTTCATCTGTTCGCGGCTCCGCGAAAAAGGGTCTAATCCCATCTAGTCCCCTAGCAAATCGCGGCAATATCCAGGACATCATGCGCTTTAGTGACGGTCCAGCATTTGGCGATGACGGCTTCGATCTGGGCGGTCTCCACTCTCAAGACGACTCTTTCGATGGATTTCAACTAGCCGAGGATGAAGTAGAAGAAGGCGAGCAGAAGAAGGACGAGTGGCCGACTATCGATATCGAAGGAGGTAATTTCCTCGTGTTCATAGACTCGGCGATTCGCGAGAACGGCGAGCGTCTCCAGGACGAGGATTTCGACAAGAATCGCAGATGGGTCGCCTTCGACGACGTGTTCGTCCCCCGCGAGACACCGCGCGCGACAGCCGCCCAGGCCTTCTATCACACGCTCTGCCTGGCGACGAAGGGCAGACTAGAAGTCCAGCAGGATGGCGAACCTAACGTACCCTTCGGCAGCATCTGGGTCGGCGCCAAGCTAGCTGATACTGCTGATGCTGAGGTGTGACTGGAGAAGGACTAGAGTCGTACGCATATAATATCCAGGCTCATTGCTCAAGTTAAGCATTCTTCACCGACGTGTATCCTTATTACGTCTGGTATACCTAGGTACTTAGGTACTTAGGTATCTACTATTACGATAATGAGATCTCTGCTGAGGCTTAGACAAGTGAGTGGGCACTAATACTACTATCAGTGATTCCTTCTACTTCTGGACAACCCTACTGACTACCGACGCTAGGAACCGAGGATCTAAGCTACTGAGATTCGGAAAGGGAGATGATTTGCGTTGTTAATCTTGCTCCAAGTGAGTATAGTATGTGTTGGCTTTTCGAACTGGTATACTAGAGCCGGTGGATGATAAGCGCTATCTAGGTCATTTGACCGGATATCGCGAGGCAAGATGAGAGTGGTCATGGACTATAATTTGCGTCGTAATTCACTTCTTCGACGAGGTACGTAGGTTTAAGAAGTTTCTAGGTAAGCTAGGTAGCAGCTTTGTCGCTAGCTCAAAGGACGGGACCTAGCACAGATACGATACGCTGACTTAATGTATAAATGGATAAATAACATCAGTCTTATTATTCATTCGTTGCTTTAGGTATCTGGTGATTAATTGACTATGTACTCACACCTAAGCGCACTAAGTAACTAATCGTAAACCTCTTCATCATCGCCTACACCCTCGCGGTCTTCGAACACCATGTACTCGTCTCCCGAGACGGTATCGCCCATAACTAATTTCCAGGCATCTTTAACTGGGCCTAGACAACCGTCGTCGAAAGAAAGGTTTAGAGGTGGTGATGGGAACGCGAAGGTGCGAGTTTCCTCGCGGGTTACGCTTAAGGACTCTCGCGTGCTGAGGGATTGCTCATACTGTAGCTTATACAAACATACAGGGATTGGACTTCCCTCGGGAGAAGCAGCGGTCAGAAGATCGCTTAGAGCTGACTCGAGCCGCTGTGCCGATTGAGGACTTGCTAGAGTAGTCAAGTATATTACGCCTATACCATAGAAGCAATGGTTAGCTATGTTTTCTTAATTTTCATGCAGTAATGAAGATGTAAAAAAGAGAAGTTGGTGCAATCAGTTTGTCAGAGGTTGTTTTCCTCAGCGCGTAGCTCGGACAATGTAGATAAGTATTCGTTATGTTGGATCATCATAACACCAGGGAGCAGTGGAGTGGAAAATATAATAGGAAAAAATGAAAACTTACTTTGACCGGCGGGACATTCGCCTGTTTCATTGGAATGCACAAATATGTAGATTGGGCTGTCATCTTTTGTTGAGCCTGGGAAGGTTACTACAGCGACAACTGGGGTCGGGGCGCCTTCTACCACAATCTCAAACAAGGATTTGAGGGGCGAGTTGACTACAGCGATGAGCCGCGTGATGGTTTGTGCACCAGGAAGAGCGTCCTGTTGTGAGGTGACCAGCTTCGTCGTGCGGACTGATATTCCATTTGACAACTCAAGCGAGATCTCGTGGCCATCTGAGCTATCACTAACCTTTGCTTTGGTATCAAGCATGTAAATGCCACCACCTACCGCTCCTGCACGACACGCCACCTGTGCAACCTCCGAGGAGCCGCCCCATTTGGGATATACAGCGCAGAAGCCGGGACCGAATAGACCCATAGAGGTAAGGTGACGATTAATTGTAGTCAGGCCATCCGCCACCGTAATGCGGCCATCCAGCGTCAGAGTCAAAGCGAGGATATACTTCTGCAGATCCTCGCTTAGTTTGAATTCACTAGCCAGGAATTCCGGTAGCAATTTTTCTTCCTGGCCCTGCCAGACAGCCTTCTGCTCCTCAGAGTCGTAGTCGATGACGAATTTGAGAAACTTCATCAAGGACCGTTTGGACTTGACCGGTATAGCTTGTGTAGCGAATACATCTTCTCGGCTACTGGGAATTCGGGCTAGCTTCGAATTGGGCTCGTTTGCTTCTGCATCGAAGACGAAGAACGAGCCGACTGCGAGGAACTCGACTTGCCTGTATGCCCGAGACGACACGAGCTGCTCTAGAAGCTTGGAGCGGGTGTGAATGATTTGGGGTGCTAGTGCTAGTGAGTATGCTCGAGGGAAGGATAGGCCTAGATCTGTCGCATCTGCATGTTTCCACGCTTTGGCATTCTTGAAGATAGGCTGTTTCCCTGTTGTTGCATGTTCTTCACCATGTGTAGCAGCCCAAGCATCCGCCTCTTGTAGACTAAAAGCAGCTTCATGCTCGCCGTAATAGTCATTCGGGTCAACGTGTAATATGCGTTTGTTCGACCGCGAGAGAGCTCTTCATCGCGGAAGCAGACTGGGTCAGTCAGACGAAGCTCCCGACAATACGTATGCTACTCGAGAAGAGAAAGATTTTGCTTACAGAGCCAGTAGCGACTGCTGCAGTCCCGTGCCGCAGATCACTACGTCCCATGGCTCGTCTCCTAAGGATTCCATGATGGAGGGAAGAAGAAGGTCATACAGGGTTTGCTTTTCGAAAATTTGTAGGATGGGAAATGGAGCTTTGAAGGTGGAGTCAAACTAATTATTTACGGAAGATGACTAAAACCGAGAATCCGACACTAAGTGGACCCACCCGCTAGCTTCACTAAAATGGCTTGGATTTTTTTTGTCGCATTTTTCTTCTTTCCAACAACCACCGCTCGCCAGTATCCAGCGTTCTGCTTCTCCGAGGCGCCATGATGCTGGCAATAGAATAGCCTTTCAGTAGGCTATTCGCTTGAATGAGCGGGTAGACCAATTATTCGTCCCGTATCTACTGTCCTGGAATATCGCCTGATAGGATGGTTCGAAGGGTTGATACATCTCATTTCAATTATGTCTTTGCGACAGAATTCTTCAATTACTATGATAGAAATTTCAGGCCTAATATGCAATAATAGTCTCCTGTCATTTAGTTGATGGCTTTCTCGTAGTAGTTTTATATTCATTCCACATTCTGGGTATCAAGTGATTTCTATTGTAAGACAGCACGGAACTCTTTCCACCGTGTTGCAGCTACAGTAGCAAACTCTCTCATGAGAGCAGGACCAACAACTGTTCCACCACTCTTAGATATCGTCAAGACCTTTGCTTCTCCCTCAGTATTATCAACCACCATCGTCACGGTCTCATCGCACAAGCTTTCCTCCAACCTGTCCGGGTCCACCAGGATCCAGTACTGTCCGCTCCCTTTCTTCTGCCTCTCCCTTGCTGTAAATACGGCCGCTGTGCAAGCTACTGGTAGCCCGCGTATGCTTAACGGGATTGGTTTCTTTTCAGTTGGCCGAGTGCATAGCACCAACTCGCGATCGACATCCCAATATGCGTAAGGGAGCTTTGTATCTCGTAGAGCAGCTATTATTGCTGCCCAAGCTACATCGAAGGGGTTACCGTCGAAGGAAATAAATAGTACATCAATGTATAGTACCCAATATGCCTTGACTTCCTTTGTTATTTCACCGATCTCTTCTTCCTCAGTATCTCCCCCACCTTGTATTTCGGAACCATCATGGTATATTCGCAAATCTTCCGCATTCAGGAGCTTCGAGCTATGTAACAGAGAGAAAAGACGTGTGCTCAGGGTCTGCGCGAGTGTAGTCGGTGGTACCCCAGGCAGAAAGTTGGGTGCGCAACCAGTTGCTAGTTCAACATTCGGTACTAGCAGATCGTAGTCTCTCAGTTCGTCACCAATCGTAGTATCATCGGCTTGCGGGGCACGGTAATTGGGGATCTGAGAGGTAAAAATGGTCTCGCCACGTACACCACAGATAACGGTTGTGTCACCAGAGCGTACCACAGCACTACCGTGCGCGTGTGATAGGGATGAAGTATTGACGCTGTATGGGCGTGCCTGGCGCGGTTGTCGCCCATTTGTGCGTGAGGACGGTGTTGACGAATCTGAAGGCTGGAGGTTTGCGAGAAGGAATGGATGCGGGGAGAGCTTTGCAAAGGTCGCGCTCGATAATGTTAGGGAATTAGATGCGGCCATAATTAGTGCTATAGAGCCAGACTCGGACTCTAGAGTAATTGACCAAAACTGGCGATTTGGAATTCGCCAATGCCGTGCAAATGTTTGGAAGAGTTGAAATTTGAGATGGATCCAACCCAGCCTTGCGGGGCCCTGGTTTAAAGAGAGGGACAAATTAAGTCATAGCCAATTAATGATGATTAGTCCATAAGGCTACAATTTCTGTGTAACATTCCGATAAGATAAAGCTGAATTATGTACTTCGTACACCAAAATGTACCTAATTTTATAACTTTAGACTCTTCAGTTCGAAATCTATGATAAATCCTAAGACGACCTTTGAAGTGCTGCCATTAACGGAGCACCATCCATATAGTACGCAGCTTGCTTAACCAGGCCTCTGTTTTCCCCAGATACCTCTAAGCAGATGAAAGCAAAAGCCGGAACCACAATTGTCTCCTTTTCTGGATCATTCTTGACTTTCCACGTTATATGGCATGGTTGATAGATCTTATTGTCTATCATATCTACCGTGCATAGCTGTTAGTTACCCCTTATGTGCATTTTAAGATTGATATTTTTCAAATTTCATCTTACCAAAACTGTCGATTTCGTGATGCATCATCTCGAGTCCTGCCCAAGTTCCCTCAAGGAATTTGCGTAGCCCATCCAACCCGTCAAAAAGGGGCATGTTACCAAACTGCACTTTCGCATCTTCCGTGTATATATCTGCGAGTCTTGACACGTTGAGGGAGTCATTTGATTCATGGAACTTGGGGAGTATTAGTTTTAGTACCTCTTTCTCAATGGGGCCCAACTTACCCTGAGAAGCCATTCTCGGATTTCGGATTGTGTCGTAGGTACAAAAGCCATAGTTCCAAATACTCCTAGTTGTATTCTATATCAAGATAAACCATTGATTATTTATTGAATTACTCTGGTACTCTCCGTGATACTTATACTTTTCTGTAATATTCCTTGCGACGTTTGAAGGCTGACTAAATCGTGGTGACCATTTTCCTCTTTAGGAATGGTTGGGTTTAAGGGGCTTGTCAACAAACCAACCCTATTACAAAGAAGCAACATGAATACCTTAATATGAAGAGTATGGAAGAGGCTGGGCACTTACTGGTTTAGGATATATATATTATAAATCAAGTTGATTATCGTCTAACTCTATTCATCAACGTACCCAACCTCCAGATTACTAGATGGTACTAAACTTGCCACCAGACGTAATTAATACCTTCGCCCCTTTAATAAAGCTCTACCAAACGAGGGATCTAACACCTACTAGTTGAGCCATGTATATGATGGAAGTTCTAATATATTCCTGCTACCATACTCAGTTAATATTAAGGTCTAGCATGGTTTAACTAAAATCAAAGTTCTTATAACTATGTCACATCGCTTCGGGTTCCAGAGATACTTAATACTATGCAGGTACCAGGAGTTTTCTTTAAGGAGAGCTTATTCTAGTGCTAAGCTGGCCTTATATAGGTCACTTAGTTTACTCATCTGAACCTATCATGTTTGGTATACTACCTGGATAGAGTACTCTATCCCGTATGATTGACAGAGCTTCTGTTATAGATGTCTCATTTAAAACCTAACAATACATCACACCTTTCGAATTGACAATACTGAAAGGTAAGCTCTGGAATCATGGAAATCTAGGGCAAAAAGTACATGGCTACCCCTATCAGTAGTCTAGCCCTATATAACTTGACAACTATTTATATGATAATAGTTTTTTTTTTTATTACTTTCTACCTATATCCTCACAAGGAACATATTTAACATCCATAATGATGTGACAAAATGATTATCAACACCCTAATATGCTTTAGGTACATATATGTATAGTAAAATACTACTAACTAATTTTAGGTAGTTACCTTAACTTAGGTATTCATAAGAATACTACCATATCTACTACTGGTCAACAAAGAGAGACCTGCCTATATAGAAATATCCCTACTGAGTTTCTATCAATGAATCATTGACAATACGAAATTGGTATTTAACAGATACCTGTTACTTACAACCTTTGGTATTTGTAGGATAAGACAATAATGATAGACCTATGTAAGTATTGGTAAGACAGGAACTCTTGAACTGTTGGGACAAAGTACCTAGCTTCTACGGTAAATCAGGCTATGGTACTTAGGTACTCTTTAGATCTTTCTAAGTACATAATATAGTTGAGTGAACAACAGAATCTCTTTGCAAAGTAAACCTCAGGACCATTAGCGCTAGAACACACGGACCTTTCATTAGACAAAGTATCCTTAACTGCCATGAAGAAGGTACGCCGTGAGGTCTTTCTATGGCGCGACTTCCAATAGAACCTGCTTGTGAATCATCAATATCATGAGTTGCCTATGCTACGGAAGTTGATGCCTTAGAAACCTTCTCATGTAGACCGTGCACCGGGGACGCTAAGGTGTTACCTACGGATAGGAGGAAGGAGCTAATACGTACTTGTTCTTTTTTGAAGGGTTTTCATAAGGTAGGTACTTACCAATTACTGCGGCGCACGGACATATATTTGTTGAAAGTGACATGATTCACGGTTCTGTAGTTACTTCGTTAGGTAGTTACCTCGCAGCTGCTCTTTCGTAGCGCCGCAGCTGCCACGTTCTTTCCTTCTTCGTTGTTGCCTAGTCAGTGTTAATTCTACCGAAGGCGGTGAAAAAAAGATCTGTAGACTGATCGCGGTTTTCTATATATTTCGGCGGTCCCCCCTCACCATCAGAACTTTTCCTTCTCCCACTTCCATCTTCATACAACTCAGACATCAAACAACATATCTTCATATAACCTTAAGTACCTAACCTAACCTAACCTAACTTAACCCTTATACAACCTACCTACATTCCAAACAACCAACTATATTCATTAACAACCTCACATACCCAGCTTTCCATCGCGTTCTTCAACATGGGCACTTATACTTTTAACTTACAATCAACACATCCTTATCCTTATACCTTTACATATTCTCCTACTTCAATATCTCCTCCTCCCACCTTTATACTAGTAAGTCTTGTTTTCACACGTCCTATTCTAATGTATCTTCCCCCATCTTGCTTTGGTTTATCCTTATTCCTGTGTCGCTGTTGCTGGTTCTCTCTTGTACCTTATTTCCTTCGCCTTGCATTCATACATATTACCTTTAATCGGGTTATTACTTCGCAGTTCACACTTGAGCTCCATCATCTCTTATCTTTATATACTCTGTCCCTCTTCCCCTTATTCTTCTGCGCCGTATTTTTACGGCTTTTTACTCTTGTGGGTTATATTCTAACTCGTCTCCTTTTAGCTTATACTATCGTTCATTCTGTAATGGGGATATATTACGTTAAAACTCTTCAACTTTAACTCCCTAAAAATTATGGGCCTCTACATAATTTGGAAAGGCTATTAATCTACTATCTAACGGTATGTCTTAACTATTAAGTGTTATATGTTATTATCGCCATGCTGACAGATCTAGGAATAACTCCTTAATTAAATTTATAGTTAACCCACCGCGGAGGATAGGAACTACCTCCGTGATGTCTGTGGAGTCGCGCTTACAAATGAGTTCGACGGGGTAGACGGCGCTGCGCTTGCGAAGCCAGCGGCCGGCCAATTCTACTATGAGGTGTCCGGTCGGCCTTCATATCTTCAACCCTGATTTAGCTGCTCGGATGGCTACGCTGGTCGGCGAGCATTATAGCTTGGACCGGACACGGCAACAGCCATCGCGGGACCGTCGTGAGGAAGCGATACATTTGTTTCGCGAGGGTATTGACGAGATTCGCAGCAATCTCTTAAATGCTGAGCCCGTTGCTGAGCCCGCTGATGAGCCTGCTGACGAGCCTCCTGCCGACTCACCTGCCGCATTGCCGGTAGCCCAGCCCGCACCCCAGCCCACGTAAGAACTTTCTTAATTATTTTCTTATAGATAAAAGCTTACTAATATATTCACGGATAGGCCCTCAAAAAATATGAGGCAATATGGGGAGACAAGATCCTACCCTCATTGGGGCGAGATGAGATGAAGCGGCTCTTCGACGCTACTGACTTAGAGGCAGCTAACGAGTATACTAAACAACACTAAACAACTACTACTCTATTTCTAATATTAAAGTACCATAAAAGAATACTATCTCCCTAAGACGTTACAGTTATCATCACTCACCATAACCACGGGAGGAGATGGGGCGGCTGTTCAACGCCGCTGACACGCGTTTCTTTAGGAAGCGCAAGAACAACCACCTCGGTGCCCGTCAAAACGGCACAACGTACCTGGAGGCCGCCAGTAAGTTGTTTTGGCGGTGGAAAAAGGACGGCCAGTAAGTTAGCTCTAATACGTGCTTTTATTGTGATCTTGATTCGCTAACGGAATACCTTGAATTTACAGCCGGCCAACTGTCAATGAGAGGGTGTACCTCCGTGACGTCTGTGGTGTTCGACTCACCAACGCGTTTGACGGGGTAGACGGCCGATAGTAAGTATCTCATTGTCTCTTCTAGTGACGCTGAACTTTAGAGAATATAAGACTAACTTTTAATTCTACAGATGGAAAGTGTTTCCTAACTTATCTCCCATACCTAACCTAAACATTACACGGCAAGCCAACCACTCCAGCGATCTACTAAGCTACGAGGCTCATGAAGTAAACCTATTCATACCACAGGCCAATCTCAATGAGCACATGGTTGTGGTGGGGTTATATAAGTACTTAAAGTATTAACTACCTACCTGTTATATTATACTTAGTTTTACTAGGCAAAGCTTGACTATTAGAAAACTTCACTGAATCAACATCAATTATGTACACCTTTACCAAACCTAACTTAATAATACGTTACCTACCTAAACTTTATTAACTACTACTTTATGTAAACATGTCATCTTATCTATAGCATGTCTCTAGGATAACAGCGGGACGATCTGCATGTCATAGTAAATCGGACGCGCGCCATTAACACTTGTTCCTTACTGTGCACTGTAAAGCCATACCCATCTATGGATCGGGTAGTGCGGGATCTTACGTGTCATGTATTTTAAGAATTTCCGCTTCATATTTTAGCAGCTTGGAATACGTGTTAAAAATGGCTACAAACTATAAGTCTATCACACAATCACAAATTCGTAGGTAGGTAGTTTCGGAGAGACAATTGACATTTGTCGTTTTATTTATTTGATTACTAAGACTTGTTTAAGCCATTAGAGCTCGGGTGGAGAACTACATAAGAGGTACTTAATTGTCAGCAAATCAAGAGACGCGATTAAGCGCCGAGTTCTATTTGCTTTTTGCTCCAATCCCGTTGCTTCGTCATCCCAAGCCCGCAGACCCCAAGGGTTAATTTCCCTGCTTATATCGCTGAGCCCTAGGGGAATATAGCTGCTTCCGCTCCCTATTCGACAGGTCTTGATTGAACCTCGCTTGGCCGTAAACCCCCAATCGGCCGATGGAATTAGCATGGTCAATTATCGCATGGTCATTATTAAATTTGTCCAATGGCGTAAGTGGCTGCAGCGGTTCATCGGTTCATCGGTCGGCCAACTTCGACAATTCGGAGCACAATAACCGCCGAATGACGACAAAAAGCTTATCACGTACTATCACGTACATAGTATTCCATACGGGGCAATCCTTACGGTGTAACGTCCCTTTTGGAGATGGAAGAAGTCACGATCGAAATCCCAAGTAACTATCTAATTTTCCCTTAGCTTTTTAAGTAAGGAAATCCTTGTTGTCTTTACCAACAAGCAAGTAATTACAACAATAACCTTTTTATTAACTATTAATACCTACCTACCTAGGTATATAGGTATGTATTCTATCGCTACATACTTACCTAGGTATATACTTGTCACCTATGGAAGCTTTACCTAGCTCGTGGTTCTGCATGATGCAAATGCGACGTACTGCGTACATATGCACAACTTAGCACAGAACAATGGACCCTTGCCAACGTACCGGCACGGCAAATCCTCCCGTGAGCTACAGTTAGCTTCTTATTCCCTACAATAGAAGGATAGGATAGGTATAACCCCTGGGCGATATGTATGTATGTATGTATATATGTACAAAAGTCTAGCGCCGACGCTTATTCCGTGGAACGTGCAGATAGACTAGAACTTGAGCAGTTCTGCGGGGAACAAAATCTCCCATTTCCCATTTGAACGACGCCAGCAGCCAGCCAGCCAATATCGAGGTACGGTCAACCGCTGGGTGGTGGTCCTGCTCATCAACCGATTGCAATCTACACACTAGCTTTGACCTCTCTTCCCACGAGGCCAATCTCGCAAAACTCCTATTGGGCGTCCTGCAAGGAGATCGCAGGCCTAATGTGGTAGTTGTGTGACGGAAGAGACTGACAACCTTGTTGCATATTTCTGCATTCTGCATACTACTACATATTGGCACCTCTTGCATACAACTTTACTTATTTTACTCATTTAATCATTTTACTCGATTTAACTTGACTTATCTGTCCAAAAGGGATCTAATTCCCCACCCTGATGCCCTGTCACCGCGATCCTGGCTATTCCCTGCTCGCTTTGATATGATATATACTTACCTGTCGTTCCCCGGTACTCATCTCCATTGTCGATCCGGGATCTCTTTTTTTTTTATGCTTGCCTTTTCGTCGTCGTTGTCAGATCGTCGCCATCTTATTCAATGGCTACCATTGCTATCCTTCAGTGTCTTTTAATTCTGTGAATTGGGGAGTCTGGCATTCCTCATCACGCGCTATATCATAGGACTTCATTCGTTCCAAACTATTCCCAGGATTATACCTAGTGCCGATGTCAGCGCGTAAAGACTACTATCAATTCTCATTCTCACCCATGTAGTAAGGAAATAAGTTAGAAGGAATTAAGAGTAACGTGGGCCTCCTGACAATTAAAGATCTTGTATAAGCCAAAGGTTTGGAGCTGGTCGGCATAGTAGGAATTGGGGGCGCGATATTAATGAACATATCGCCATTTCCCATCTCCTAGCCCTAATAATGGCCGAAAACGCAGCGTCAGCCATGGCGGGAGCGACGAGAACGCTTTCGGAACTTGCGAAGAGGATATATATCCCATTAACGGCGACAAGCCCGCCAGGCCTGGTAGAAGCGAATACAGTCGACCCGTGGAGTCAATCGGGGAAGTATGGGTTAGGATGGACTTACTTCAGTCTCGCGCTAATGGCGCTGGTGGTATTGGTACGGATATGGCATTGGTGGCAAGATAAAATTCGACAGGCGATATATAAACAAGAGGTGGAACAACATTACCGAGATATATACAGCCTCGACCCCGAGTATGCGCTGCCGACAACCATGTACACGGGCCAAACCGGAAGACAGTTCTTCCCCGAGGAAGCCGGAGTTGGCGAGAAGAAGGATTTTAAGCCGAAGTCTGACTTCTCCGCCGTTGGGCCCGTCTTAGACACGCTCGCTCTCTTTAGATGGGTCTTCTATAGACCCATACCGGACATCGTGTGGAAGAAACACCGGTTTACGTTTTCGTCGCTTGCCGTCTTGTTCGTCGGGTTCGTCGCGCTCGCATTCGTGTCCCTGTACGTGTTCCTTAAGCAGCCGCTTTACTGGGATAGCATCCAGTACGGTTCGCCTCCCGTGGCGATCCGTGCGGGTATGATCGCGATTGCTATGACCCCTTGGATTGTCGCGACTAGCATGAAGGCGAACTTGCTCACGCTTATCACGGGGATTGGGCCGGAGCGACTTAACGTTTTTCACAGATGGGCGGGATACTTGTGCCTATTCCTTGTTTTGGTACATACCATTCCGTTTTATATCCAGCCTGTCTGGGATGATGGCGGTATGATGGTTTTCTCGAAGTTATTCCCCGAGGGAAGTGGTGTTATCTATGGTACTGGTATCGCATGCCTGGTCCCGCTCCTTTGGCTCTGCGTTGCCTCACTCCCTTTTATTCGTAGGATGGCTTACGAAGTTTTCGTTACACTCCACGTCCCGGTCGGGTTCGTGTACCTTGGCTGCCTCTTCTGGCATACAAAAAACTACTTGGCGTCTTGGGACTACTTATACGCTACGATAGCTATCTGGGTGCTGTGCTATTTCATCCGAGTATTCAAGCTTAACTGGGTCAAGCCGTGGCGAATGTCGTTTTTGGTGGGAGACGAGGCAGCTATCACTCTGATGACCGAGAACGCTATTAAGATAACGATTCCTACGCAGATGAAATGGAAGCCCGGGCAGTATGTCTATCTACGGATGCCTGGCATATCATTCCTTGATAATCATCCGTTTACCATCTCGTCGCTTTGTAGCGAGGACTTCCCTTCCGAATATGGCGAGCAGTATAGAGACTGCACCTTGGTATTTAAACCCTATGGCGGGTTTACGCGACGAGTGTTGGAAACTGCTATTGATAAGGGACCTTTTCATACGTATCGGGCGTATCTTGATGGCCCGTATGGAGGCATGCGCCGGGAGCTGGCTGCATTCGATACATGCATTCTGATTGCCGGTGGAAGCGGTGTGACTGCGCTCATGTCGCAGTTATTGAATTTGATCAAGCGTATGAGAGATGGAAAGGCCATTACTAAGAAAGTAGTAGTCGTATGGGCTCTTAAACGACTTGAGGCGATGGATTGGTTCCGAGAAGAGTTGCGTATTTGCCGAGACTCTGCACCGCCGGAGAGTGTGACGTGCAAGTTCTTCGTCACTGCAGCTAAGAGACAGTCTCGAGCCCCGCCTCCTCGTGAGCGCGGACCCCGGCCACTTAGCAATATGTTTCATGATAGATTAGACGGATTCGTGGCGGGTATTGCCTCGAAGCGCAATTCCCAACTAATAAGGGATGAAGCGCAGGGTAACCCAGACTACGAGCGTGAGCTGCGGGCAGAGGATGAAGACAGAATTACTGCCCTTCCCCAACCAAAATACCTGCAGCCACATCACATCCCGCCACAAGGTCCACCGCCTTCAAATCGCCTCTCTGCTCAAGAGGAGTCTCTTCGCAGACTCGAGGGTCGGGATCTTAGCGATACCGAAATTCAAGAGCAACCGGCCCCGGCCCCTACGGACGAATACCCCGAAGACAAGCCTAAGCGGGAATTCCACTTCCCACCGCTACAGACGCACCCGGACAAGCAACCGCATTTTAACTACGCGCCGCCGTCACCGCGGCGATTCCCGCCCACTCCCAGTCCGGAAAACGTTTCGGGGGAGCCTTCTGAACCTGTCCTAAGACCACCCGAGTTCGCTCACCTACGCACAACAAATCTACCTCCAGCACCACCCCCGCAAGCACGTCCTACATCGACGTTCGGCCCGCCATCCGGGTTCGACTTCGGGTTTCCGGAGACGCCGACGGAGTTCCAAAAGAGCCTGATGCGGTTCGCGTTTCCAGTGCCGCACCAGATCGACGGGGGGTGGAGCGTCGAGTACGGGCGACCGGATCTGGGCTACATGCTGCGGGAGTGGACAACGGGGGGTTCGGACGGGAGAGGGATTCTAGGTAGGAGGACGGCCGTGTTTGTCTGTGGTCCACCGAGCATGAGAGAAGGTGTTGCGACGACCGTGGCTAGGCTGCAGGCGGAGATTTGGGGCGATCCGATGCTTGAAGAGATTTTCTTGCATACGGAGAATTATGCCCTATAATGGAGAGGAAAGCGTGAGAGGAGGGGTGGGGGGGGGTTGTATATAAATAAGAAAGATGATATCTTGGATGAGCGATGGGCGTTTGGGACGGATGCGAATGCGAGATACCACGACCCGATGAGGGCTTTCATATATCAAGTACGTATATATATATATATATATACCTCGATACCTGTCTGGTGAACCAAACCAGACGTGTATTTATAACAGATAGGTTGGTCTGGTCGGTGGTGGGTTTGACGATACTATACTGCCTCTGGTCAACTGACCGATGGGGTTAATGAGCTAGCTGCTATGTTATATCACTCCTATATACCCTGAATAATTAATACATTATGAGTCTATGTTTATTGTTAGTATGCGATTGGGATAGAAGAAAGAGACGTAGGTAGGATTAGTGCTGATAGAACTTGTATCTACTCCACAATCATCCTCCTGTCGAAGCTATTTTAATATATACCTATATTTGAATAGTTGGCTTTGTAATATGGGTTGATTTAACGATTATTCACCATGCTCACTCTCTACTTCACTCCCCGAGTCGCTACCTGGGGCCCTTCCTGGCCAAGCTATCGGATGCCTATCCTGGTTCCTATGCTTTCCGGCGACGCCTCCATTCGACTACTTATTTGGACCAACAGAGATACGTTAAGACTACTCTACTGCATATACTCTACTCCAACCATATCCTACGCATTACTAAGTCGATTCTGATTATATATAGGTCCCATTATACGACAAGGTCCTAATGAATTCGTATTTAATTACGTCGCAGCTCTGCGAGGTACTACGACCACGACGCATAATTCTAACTATTAACCACTATCCTATAACCATAGCTAGGTAAGTCGACATCTACCAAACCGAAAAGGTCACCAAAGCCAACGCCTACCTGGTCTCCCAACCCGCCCCAAACATCTTCAACCTCTTCAATTCCGTAGATAGAGATCTCCACCGCACCAAGCGCAAGCTAGTCGGCACAGCTATCTCAGAGCGCGCAATCCGCGCCTTCGAGCCCGTCTTATCTAGCCAAGTCGACATCTTCCTTAGACAGCTGCTACGACTACATATTTCTTCTCCGTTCACCCAATGCTACTCCTGTAAATGCGACGGAGCGCAGTAGATATCTAGGCCTCGACATCGTAGGCCATTTTTCTTTTAGCTACGATCTCTGCCTGCAGACCGAAGAGACAGACCAATCGCTTCCTCGTCCGCGCTATTCAGACGGGGAAGTACCGCGGTAATCTAAATATGCAGTTCCTGTATATATATAAGGCACACTTGCATAGCGCGGTTGGCTGTTTTTTGTATCCGTCTTAAGACGAATTTACGCGCTTGTTGGGTGGTTTGGTTGTTCTTGTCTTTACCCCCGGGGCACTTGAAGAGGCTTTGGAAATGATTACCTCTCGTAGTGTATGACTTTGACTATCTAGACGGCGAGTAATTGAACACTGGCTATGTACCTAATCCATGTGCAATTATTTTTGGACCAGCTTTTAGTTTCTGTTGATTCCAAAAACCCCCCTTTTCTTGCTGCTTGTTCACTATCTGGCGGATACCCCTTTTCACCCCTATTTCGTAACTCCTCCTTCCTTAATTCCTAAAGTGGTGTGATGTCTTTGGAGTAAAAGATGGACGCTGTCTGTCTAGCTAAGTCATTCTGATTTTTATTCTTGTTTTATATAGAAGAGCATGACTGCTGTAATTAACTTCACGTATCATTATCTGGTTTGGTCTCTTACCGGAAACACTTTTGGGTTACTATTCACTTTTGTAACTTAATATAGTATCTCCCAGCATATTAGAACACTTTTGTAGGTACTTTTAAGCAAATGCCTCAGTACGAATGTTGTTTCTGGCGTATATCGTAGTTCTATCACGTTAGTCGCGGTCTTGCTTGACGACATGGTGATAGGTCTAGACCAGGCTAAGGTAGCAAGTTAATACACAACAAAGTATTCTTTTTTTTATCTAATTGATATTTGTTTTGTTTAATTTTACAATTTGTTCCTCCTGGTACAACTATGACACATGATCCTCACGAGCTCGGAAGTGAGGCAGACCTTACTGCTTATTTCCTGACGTATCTGTTTAATGCCTTATTATACTTCTCCTCTTGGCGTAATTCCTCTTCCAATAAACATTCGGGGCATTGAATGGATGAACGATGTTCCCAAGATCGGATATGAGAGTCGATCATACTCAAGCGCCAACGTTCAGGGAACTTACCCCGGATATGCTTCCAGTAGCTCTTCTTCGTCGGACGATGCCGATAGCAATAGGAACAGACGGCTACCGCTTTGTCGGGTTTGCCGTTGGACTTGAATGGAAGTATGAGGTGCAAAAGCGTGCGCAACGCTATGCAGCTATGCAGAGAAAATTGACGATGCTTAATGGCTGAAGGTATTTCCATGTTGGCCAAGGACGAGGCACGTAAGAGGTGTTTGCAGGTGAAGGCTAGACAAATCTTCCCCAAAGGATCGAGAAACTCAAATATTGAACAGAGGAGCTCAGGAGGGAGTCTCGCAAGTATTGATGACTGAAATGTCGGCGATGGTCCGAGAAGCTACGATACGATAAGGTCAGCTAACAGATCAACCACATCAGACCAGGTTTTGGTTTACCGTTTCTGGGATGATGAAATGACCCCAGAAGATGGGAGCGTGGTCTCTTTGACATTGATATATTGCATTATCAACGTAATCCCATGAATACCGACCGTGATAGGAAGACATTGCTGATCTAGGTTTAGAATAGCCGTCGGGTTTCGACTATTAATTGAAGAAGTTCGTTGTTGGTTTTATTTTCAATCTATCTGGGTATTTTGGTATATGAGGGATCTTGACAAGTGCCTAATATTTACTGTATTCATGATTGTATCTATGGTGATGGAAATACATCCTAGCAAACACATAGGCTGATGGCAGCTGACAACAACTGATTGCAGTTGCACCACAGTGGTAGTTGTAACATTATCATGATCAAATTTTTATTCCCAAATTTTATTATGTCGATAAGTGTTCAAGAGATATTGTGTGTTACTCATTTTAAATTTTCTTGGTTATGCTTTTTACATTGTCTTTTAAGGTGAGCGTATCTCAAGTCTTTTCATAGCCTTGATTTGTGAACATAAATAAGTGGAATAATGTACCTGCATCTTGCTGGCATTCGAGAACATTTTTTTATAAAAAAAAGGGTTTAAATATTTAAATGGATAAAATGACTAATAAAATAATCGTCAAACTCCAGGAATAGAAAGTTTCCCGAATTGAGTCCAGAAATTATCTCGGGTAACATACAGAATAAGTTTAATACAAAGCACGACATGGACTTAATACGATGGTGAAGAATGGCGTGCGCTGGTATCCATATTGCGCAACACCCTTGGCAGACCCTATATCACTTTTCAACACATTCTGGATCTCCTCGGGATATTTCAGCTGGGTTTATCAATAAATCGTAACGTTGTAGTGGGGTATTACCACACATTCGACCGAAATGTAAACCGTGAGGGTGCAGAAGTCCCTCTAGATCTCCTAAGAATACTACATATTATCACGTCTTAGAACGCTATATTATAACGCCCTCCACTAGGGCCGCTAAACAATGCGTCTTGGTCTTTGATCGTCTGCCCGGGTGTCTGGAACCCCCTGTTCAACGCGTGTACCAGTTGATTGATAAATTCTTATATAGATGAAGGGTACTCGTCTGCGGCTCCCTATTAATATACTCGATTTGTTATTCCCAAGAAGTGATTCGTGCAATAATATCCTTCTCCTTTGAGTATAGACGTAACATGTCTTTTCAACAACCGACTACCACGCCTTTGGGTGTCGGGTCCGCTGCGACGTCCGATCATGACAGCGTGAAATCCAAAGGCCATCCCGACGACAAGCTTCCCGGCAACGTTACACCCCATACTCCAGCAGCATTGGCACCAAGAGAGGCTGAGCGTATGGAATCGGTGATCGGTGATGCTATTCTACGTTTCTTGGGCCTTCGAAAAGGCCCGAAGGTTAAGCCGTATGACCTTGATGCGGTTCGTAAAGACCTTGGGCTTGATACATAGAACCAATAGCTAACTCGACTAAGATCGCAACACAACCCAGTATATGGGATTCCGAGAACGTGGAAGAATTGAAGCAACTCTACATTCACCCCCAATGGGAAAACTGGTCTGCTTTTGACCCTAGTTTCCGATGGACGTGGAGAGAAGAGAGAGCGGTTCGACGGAAGGTTGACTGGAAGATTATGGTAAGAGATACCTATTTGAATATAAGCAAGAGAAAATGATGCTGACTGTTTAGGTCTGGGTGTGTATTATGTTTGCTGCCCTCAACATCGACCGAGGAAATATTTCCAACGCCGTTTCGGACAACATGCTAGAAGACTTGGGCCTTAGTCGCGCCGACTACGTAAGTCGCATCGTTAGCTACTTGTTAGGAGTCCAATGTTAACGATCAGTAGAATCTTGGTCAAACTATCTCGCGAGTTGGCTTTCTGGTAGCAGAACTACCTTCCCAACTTATTTCCAAGCGGTTGGTTCTTAATGTAGTTAATGTTCTAGGTTAAGAGTTTAGCTAATTGAATTTCCCAGTATCGGTCCTGATTTTTGGATTCCGATCCAAATCTGCATTTTCAGCGTTATATCAGCAATGCAGTTCTTCCTCAAAGGCAGAGCTTCTTTCCTCGCCACTAGATACTTAATGTGGGTTTGAGTTGTTATTGGTGGTATAGGCTTGGCTAACACCTAAATTAGAGCAACGTTCCAAGGTGGTTTTATCCCGTAAGTATTCCTTGCTTACCAGACTATAATAGCTTTACTAACCTTTTGATAGGGACACGATCCTTTACCTTAGTTACTTCTATACTGGTAGATCTGTAAGCGGCTTTCCTCTTGGGTATTGTGTATATCGAGAGGCTATACTGACTTTCCTAGCTTCCTATTAGGTTAGCTTGGTATTGGATGTCTTCACAAATGGGTAGGTCTTCATAACTTAGGGTTAAAATAACTTTCTAATCTCTTGTTTTAGTCGATATCGGTGTCGGTTTCGCTGCTGTTGGTCTCCTATCCATGCGCGGTATCCTGGGGTACGCAGGTTGGCGGTGGTTGTTCCTCATTGAGTAAGTTTATGAGCTTCGCGAATTATACGGTAATAGCTAACATAATTAGGGGTGCTTTTACTTGTAAGGATGATCTACACTCCAACGCCCGCGATACTAACCCTATTGTAGTCTCGGTTGGAGTTGCTTCCTTCTTCCTCATGCCTCAATCTCCGGCTAAGACAAAGAGCTGGTGGAACCCTAAAGGGTATTTCACCGAAAAGGAAGAGAAGATTATTGTCAACTCGGGTAAGCTTGTCGAGCATATACACATATATATACTTCAATTCTAACTCCACTACCAGTTATCCGAGACGATCCTCAGAAAGGAGGAATGTATAATCGACAAGGTCTCTCCCTCAAACAAATATGGGAAAGTGCAAAAGATTACGATATGTGGCCATTATATGCTCTAGGTCTATTATTCGGTATACCGAAATATCCCGTCAGTCAATACTTGACGCTTTCCTTCCGAGGCCTAGGATTCAACGTCATCCAGACCAACTTACTTTGGATTCCGAACATCGTCGGTTCCAGCATATCCATGTTAATCATCACTGCGGTGAGCGAGTTGATAAATAATAGGAGTTTCGTATCGATGGCGGAAGATGCTTGGTTGTTGCCCTGTTTCGCTGCTTTGATAGCCCTGCCGGATCCGATCAGCCCTTGGGCGTACTTCGCCATTGCAACAGTGTTGTTGTCATTTCCATAGTGAGTACTACGCTAAAAGGGGGAAATTATCAAGAACTAACTGAGCTTAGCACCCATCCTATACAAGTCGCCTGGACGAGTAGGAATGCAGGATCCGTCCAGAACAGAACAGTCTCTGCTGCGTAAGCTAATTCCCTATTCTAGTATTTTATTATTCTAACTTTATTCGTATAGTATCTACAACATGTGGGTTCAAGTCAGCGGAATGATCGGCGCGAACGGTGAGTTTTTCCCTCAATAAGAAAAGTATAATTGCTGACTTTATAGTCTACCAACCCAGCGACTCGCCGCGATATTTCAAAGCAAACAAGGGTTTACTAGTTATCTGTATCTGGATGTGTGTAAGTACCTATAGCCTTGCAACTCTTCTATCTCCTCATTTACAAGAGAATACTCAACTATTTACAGATAATACAATACCCGGGTACATATTATTACTACCGATGGAGAAATAATTCAAAGGCGAAGAAGTGGGATGCTATGACTCCAGAAGAACAAGACAACTACAGGACGACTACAACCGATAAGGGTAACAAGCGGTAAGTTCTCCCCCTTTGCCAGTCTCGGAACTTTTTAACTTATTCGTTTGATAGACTCGATTTCCGTTTCGCAACTTAAAAATTGACAATCATGATCAGCTAAAGGAGGAAAACTAAAAAGGGGGCGGATACATACACTGCCCTCAAAATTGGTAAGATTTTTGGTGCTGTTTTGATCCTTTCGATTGGAATAGTAGCCATAGCATGGTGAATATGGCTTATCGCGTATATGGTAGTGGTATTTGAGTCTAGAAAGGCCGGCCGTACTATATGTTCAATATTGATACCTTCTTTGATACCCTATCAAATTTGTACCTAACAAACAGTTATTCTAGAGCAGCCATTTGTTAGAATTATGGTTCAAGGCAATTGTATATGACCTTTAAATAGAACTATATATACTTACCTAGATTATCAGTATCGTTCTATTAGAAGTGAAAAGGAAATACACTGGAAACTCTACTCCAGCCAGAATATCCCGTGGCAGGTAGTCTTTCCCACTCTGACATTATACTATTGCTGGAATCCAATAAGATTATCCGGTAGGATATCCGCTAGATACTTGATCCATATAGCTAGAGAAGCTAGAGAGCGTATGTCTCCCTCCCCTTTTTTTAAAGGGGCATGGATCAATAAAATTCCCAACTATGCTACTACTGAGCCCTTATCTTTCACTCCGTGCTATACGATACCTTATGGTTATAGACGTTTGCTTTTTAGCTAATAAATGGACCATCATCTTATAGGTTGTAAAATCCTCCACAAACAGCCTAAGCGTTTGTATGTCAGATTTTAAAGGTGCTCCGTGTTGAACGAGCCCTCTATATATTACTATTGAGGGATAGCCAGAAGTCAACCGCTTTATTACTACCACGATGCCCAGTATTATAAAACATAGGTAATCCCGTCTTCCTGATTACGGCAAATACACTGGCGGCTATTTGTTGCAATACTACTAGTTATTGGTGCAGCTTGTATTATAACTGCTTGTATGTGCAGATTAATACCTTTGATTGATATCATACATAGAATGAATGTTAGGACAAATATAATTAAATTACTAATACGCTCCCTTCTATACTTTTTCGAAGGCGCTACGCGCTTCTTATAAAATAGGTACCCAGTCCTAACAAATTTACCCCTGAGTCTACCCCTAACCCATTATTTCTTGACAGTATGTAAGCCCATCGACACTATAAAAGGAGTTTGAATAAAGCGCGCTTAAATAAACTTCAAATAATAGAAACCACGGAAAATCAAAGTTAGCCTAATATTCTTACACTCTTGTAAGTCAAATATAACATCATTTAAATGGCCATGTTTTCATATAAATTGTAAACTATAGAAACAGAAACCATTATCTATGCAAACGATACTTGTTGTCGAAAAATAATACACTTTACAACTTGAAAAATGCTACCGATGGTCTCTTAGCCACACCATAGCTTTTATGATTGCATTATCAGAACGTTCGAAGCTAATATGAAGTAGTTACATCTTCAATAACTCAACTCTTTATATAAGCGCACCATAACGCAAATCCAGCGCATATTCGCCTTCCATGTTGTCAAATACGTACTTCGTGCTTGTGATCTTGTAGACATTATTTAATTAGGGGCCATATGCCCACGTCTCAATTTTAACCCATAATTCCCTTTCTCGCATAACAGCCCTGGTTCATTGTTGCTCACTAAATACCCATATATCAAGACTTCAAAGGAGTTTCGAAGGACGTGCCTTGATACTTACAGTGCGTACGATTATAATGTATATATAGCCACAGGCGAATATCCAAGTAAAGACGTCACAGAAGAGAACGCCACAGCATCTCCCAAGTCTTAACAGGTCGCGCCCCTCGGCGCCCAGGTCATCTACAGAGATAAGGTACAACTTACCAAAGATACCAGTGAGCTCGTCGATGGACGTCGGCGAGTATTAGGTCACATGGTCCTGAAATAAAGTTTTCTTTTTCTTTTTCTTTTTTACACACCCCTCTTAGACTCTCCTCCACTTCCTTTCCTCCAACCATCTGTCTTCTTCTATCTTCATCCCATCTCTATTTTCATCCCATCTCTCTCAACATCACCTCTTTCATCTTCCTTAAGCCATCTACCATACCATCAGCGTCCACAGCTATTACATTGTAGGCTTGCCGAGTATACGCTCGCCTGACAACACTGTTACTGACACTGACGCCGAGTATACCTGTCAAGTACCAAGTATAATCGCCGCCTATACATGTCAGAAGTATAGTCGACGACTATACCTAATACTTGTTACTTTGGTCCCCACCTGCCTCGAATTTCTAGCTGCTTCCAATCAGAGTGGTCTAACCCTTATCTCACGATCTTTTCCACTGAGCACCCGCCTTACAAGTGGTTATCCAAGCTGCTCCCGCCCTACCAATTCCCAACTGTACCCGCCTTACAAACAAATTCACTACTCTTTCCTGCCTCGAAAAAAGTTAAACCCTAAGCACACAAATTTCTTCAGTAAGTTCCTACATATTTATTTATTTCTTCCATCATCCACCCAATCCTTCTTCTCTCAACTTCATCACGCCACCCACTTCTGAAATCAGGTTAACTGACATCTCATTTCGAATAAGCATAGTCCAAACTCCACCATATTATTTAGACATGGCCGATAACCAAGGAGCACCTGGGCGTGGCCTGTTCACACCTGAGCTGGCCGAACAGGTTCTCCAACTAGTCGGCGTTCACGTGGGTTTGGACTCTCGACCTGCATCCGAGGATGTACGTGAGAGGGCCATTCAGCTCTTTCGACGAGGCATCGAGGAGCTTGAAGCCGGCCGCCAGCCCGGTGTCGAGCCTGATGTCGAGCCCGCCGATGACTTTGCTGCTGACCCTGTTGTTGACCCTGTTGTTGACCCTGTTGTTGACCCTGTTGTTGACCCTGTTGTTGACCCTGCTGCCGCGTTGCCGGTAGCCCAACCGGTAGCCCAGCCCGCACCACAGCCCGCACCACAGCCCGCGGCCCAACCAGCGGCCCAACCCCCCGCCCGCGTAAGAAACAAACTTTCTTAATAATTTTCTCATAGATAGAAACTTACTAATATATTCACGGATAGGCCCTCAAGAAATATGAGGCGATATGGGGAGACAAGATCCTGCCCACATTAGGGCGAGATGAGATGGGGCGGCTGTTCAACGCCGCGGACACGCGTTTCTTTAGGAAGCGCAAGAACAACCACCTCGGTGCCCGTCAAAACGGCACAACGTACCTGGAGGCCGCCAGTGAGTTGTTTTGGCGGTGGAAGAAGGAGGGCCAGTAAGTTAGCTCCAATATGTACTTTTATTTAGTGTGATCTTGATTCGCTAACGGAATACTTTGAATTTACAGCCGGCCAACTGTCAACGAGAGGGTGTACCTCCGTGACGTCTGTGGTGTTCGACTCACCAACGCATTTGACAACGCGGATGGCGCTGCGCTTGCGAAGCCAGCGTCGGGGGAATTCTATTACGAGGTGTTCGCCTCTTGGTACACGGTGGTGGCGGCGGCGCCGGCGGGGGGAGCTTAGTGTTGTTGTGGTTGGGGTTTCGTTTTGTGTGTTTGGTCGGTCTTCGTGCCGTATAGAAAGTTTTTATCACCTTGGGTGATCTATCATTAGTTGATATGGTGGTGCCTTTGGCATCATTGGCGGGATATCCAAGCCCAGTATCACGGAATTGCAAGCAGTTTGACTGTATTCTTTTGACGATGTCTTATAAGTGATATGAATATTTCCCGTGACCATCCATAAATTAGATGTCACCTATCTTATTAGTTGGGACTAGGTAAGACTACCTAATCTATGTAGGTAGATAGTCCCGGTGGGTTTCATGGAAACTACCTATTCATGGTATTTCATTTCCTTATCTATAGAAGTTTCATACATCCGCAAGTCCTTAAAAAGATATGAAGTATTTTGATTTCGTTACCCCTGATGTCTTGGCAGCGTTGTGGCTTATACATATGTAAGTTGAAGAATAGGGGTTGTGTACTTCCGTACTGTGCGAATAATGTCATTATCGGGTGTTCGATAACGGTAATTCAAACGCCACAATGCCACATTCAGTACCAGCCTCCAATTAGCGTATCTGTTTACATGTACGGGGAACACTAAGGTTCTTAAGACTTGCCTATGGTTTCCCCTTGTTACATAGTAAAATACCTTGTTAAATATTTGTCTTCACCAAGTCGCAGCATTCATCTCATTTTGATATAAAAAAGGCTTTGCGAGGAATTACCAATTGTTTACTCCAATATTTACCTATTCACCTCTAAAATATTTGAAACGAAAAAAAAAAGAAATCAATTCCGTCACCAAAGAAAATGCGAGCATCATCAAAATTCCAAGGTGTTGGTCTTCTTAAGTGAGATCCCTAAAGAAAAGTGTCCTTATATTAATTTTACTCTTGTACCAGTGGTCAAAGTTCCCTCCTTAGTGAATTTTTTTATTATTCTTTTGGCTCCCCTTGTACGGGTTGGGGATTAACCAGTCATATTCTTCGTAATGGCGGATCCTCGCATAACGGCGGATGCAATATCCAGTGAAGATGTTGAGATGGAAGGTACTAATTCGCATCTCGGCAACGGCTTGGGTGGCAAGGTTGCCAATGGAAACGGTGACGCCCACCTTCGGGCTGCTGATTCACTGCATCACCTGGTCCAAACAAATACACCTCAATTTAAACCAGACCCTGATGATACCCAACCAACTTCTTCTCCCCCTCCCTCCCAGGCTGGCTCTAACAAGATGAAGCCTGCATCGAAGAAGAAAGGAACCGCGGCCAAGAAAGGTCCTAGAAGGTCTAGGATCCCCAAATCCAAGACCTCCAAAAAGGACCCCTCGTCAACTGGCCCCGCGAATGGTGCCCAAGACGGTAGCTCCGACGACGAGACTGACAACGGCCCCTATTGTATCTGCCGTGGACCAGACGACCACAGATGGATGATAAGTTGTGATGTCTGTGAAGATTGGTTCCATGGAGAATGCGTCAACCTCGATAAAGAGGTTGGCGAAAAGTTGGTCGAGCGTTTCGTCTGTCCTAACTGTACTGATGGCAAGCTCAACTATACCAAGTACAGGAAAACTTGCTCCTATACAGGCTGCAAAACTGCTGCTCGTCTATATACTAAGGATCCTAAAGAAAGAAGTGCTTTCTGCTGCAATGATCACTGCGACCTCTGGTGGTCATCTTTGATAAACACGCTGCCAACTAAAGCCGCCTCCGAAAAGGCTATCGAAGTCCTTACTCAGGAAGATTTCGTCGGTCTTCTTGTTAGTACTATAGAGAAGGGCGGTTGGAAGCTCGGTGATCAACCCTTTGGTATGTTTCATAGTTTCCTCGTCTTGTTTTCTACCCCTAATCAGCTTTATGTGTGTGCTGACTTACTATTTAGGCAACGTAGACGGCCTTTGGGCCAATGGTCTCCCCACCCAGCCGGACGTTCTTAGTGATGAGGAGCAAGCCTTCTTGAAGAGCTCTGCCGCCGAACGCCTTGCGCTTGGTAATGAAATCGTGCAGTATAAGAAGATGATGCAGCTTATAGATTGGGCCAACCATCGTCGGCAGCTTGCTATCGAAGCGAGTAAATTCGCCAAGGACAGCTGCGGTTACGATTGGCGACTCGACACGGTCTCGGTTCGTTACCAGTTCGCGGAATGGCTAGAGACTCCAGAGGGCCAAGCGACCTTCAAAGCGGGGAAACTCGATACGCCCCTCGATCCCGACTTGCAAGGGGACCCGACCACGCGCGGCATGTGCGAAAAGAAGCGCTGCAAATCGCATAACGGATGGTATAAGTTACTGATGAGTGCGGTTCGAACCCTGATTAAGGAGACGGCGACGGCGGCAGCGGACAAGTTGAACTCCGAGGATGTTATGCGTCAGGCGGCGGAAGCTAGATTCGAGAGACGCCAGCTGGAGAACAATTCGGTGCAAGTCTTGGAAGACTGAGGGCTGGGCTGATCGACATGCTAGAAGCATTATTAAATTAATAATACTTGTAAGGGGAGCGGTCTTGCTTGTAGATAGCTAACAGCTAGGACTGTAGTCTGTCTACGTATTGCGGTGTCTTCGTCTGGTTTGATCGCATGCCTTATAAATACACAAGCTCTACTTCATAGACTCTCAAACTTGTTCTCGGCTCTCCTGAATTCCAAGTATGCTTTTTCTTACGAATTACTAACATCAATTCTATTTGGGGAAGGCCTTATGTGTCTTTCTCAGGTTTGTTCTTAGGCTGCCTAAGGTACCTAAGGTAGCTGGGTATCTTGTAGCTGTTGTCTTCATGCGTAGTAAATCGTAGGCGCGCCGGATCTTGATCGACGCGTCGTATAGTCTTTCGAGCTATTTGGTGTGGCTTCGCAAGTCTAGTGAAAGGGTCGTATTGGTGGATAGGTGTTTTCGTAGTTGGTTTTCGTTCGAATGTAGGTGCTTGGTTTGTTGAGTAGCTGATAGGTAGGGAAACGAACCCAGCTCCTCCCCTTGCCAATGGATTCCTTCCTTATACACGTCCATAAGACTATTACGCTGTGAGAATAGAAAGAGCTGTCGGTGTTGTAGGTTAGTACTAGTTCGTGAAGCTCGGGAAGTTGTTGCCCGTAGGGCGAGAGGGTAGTCACATAACAGGCAGATATCATCAAGGGGTAGTTACCATACTACTCTCATTATAATCTAGCAGTCCCTCTAAGTAATTTTGAAGGCTCTCGTAGTAGTTTTACACCCCATTTCAGCTCGGAAGCCTGATAACTCCATCCGTAATCATCGAGTTCTACACGAATAACCTCTATTTAGTGCGCCACAAGCACATCATCACACGAAGATATTACATCGCTAATCATTCCTAAATACTACGAAGAGTTACTCTCCAAAGTTTCATATCATTATAGGTGCACGCTGTCGAGTTATCGTGGATCGAACGAGCCAGAGATTTCGACAAACGTCCCTCTCGACCCTCTAGCCTCACCCAGATGACCTTTTCATCAACCACTCCACAGCGAAGGCTGCGATTTTCCTATAACTTTCCAATATGATCTAAGTAATATGCCGCTACATTCACATATATTTTTTAATTTACAATCTCCCCAACGCATTCCACAGTTGATGGCCAACGCCGTTCTCCTCGTCAAGCTCGCTTATACAAATATGTAGATATGCAGCAATAGCAGTCCTTATATCCGTATAGGACCCTAACAGATTTGTATCAAGACCATATATTACACTTTTGATAATGCTACTATAAGGTAAGAAGCTAGGAATTACCGCTTATTAGAATGCCCCTAACCTATACGCGGCGTGAAAGTATAAAGGCGCGTCTCGCTATAGACTTGTAGCTCGTTCTATCCTCCCTCTGACAACTCTCTTCACTTCGCACTTCACCTTTCACATAGCTCTTCACAAAACGCTGTAATAATACAACACTACAACTTGAATTCATCTCTCATCTGCAATGCCACCAGTCACTCCTACCAAAGCATCGGCTGTTCTCAGTCGTGGGTTAACTAGGTCCCACACCAATAACATCTCTCCCCTTCCCTCAACACCTTCTCCTCTTCCTCGCTTTTCTTGGTCACCTATCACCCCTCCTACTCCTCCTACCCCTACCATACCCTACAACCCAACTCCCGTCCAGTCTCCTATCTTCACTCCTATGGGTTCCCCTTTCTCTCCTCTCGCTCCTTTCCCTGCTACTCCTTCCCCTCCCTCCCCCATCGTCTCTCCTCTCTCCTCTCCTAACTCAAAAGAACCTATCTCTCCCCTTTCTAAGTTTCTAGTTTCCATGCGTGCCCGTGATCAAAGACGGGGAGCCCGCCTTGGTACTAATCTTCCACCTAAACCCAAAACGCTATGCCCCGGATGTGACAGAGTAAAGATGTTGCTCCCGGCAAAGTGGTGTGGTCATCAAGTAACTCGTAAGTACCTTGTTGTTGTTTTTTTTTTTTTGGTCTCTTTTAGTTACCGTTGAACTCCTTCCCCTACTTTGATATTCCCTATTAGCCCCTTTCCCTAGTCTATTACGTGTCTCTTTTACCTATTTCTATCATTAAGCTAACCTGTCTTTTTAGCATCTAGAATGAAGAACGGCTGGCGAGTCGTTCGACTTCCGAAAAACTTCCCAAACGACAAAGCTACTTTAGCTAAAAAGGCACGAATCAGCGAACAACGTAACCAAGCAAAAGCAAAGACAGTTGCCACTGACTTGAAGCACAAAAAGAAGACGAAAGCTCCTATCGCTGATATACCTATTGTCAAAACAATAACGCCTAAGCGCGCTATTGTAGAGGCAAAACCGGAACCCAGCATCAAGAGTTCGCCTCTGGTTCACACTCCTTTCAAAAACCCAGACTTGAACGACAAACCCCTACACTGGTCACCTCGCATGTTCAAGCCCGAGATCGACCGTTACAATTGGACTTGGTCTGATTGGGACTCTCCATCCCGGGAAATCGAAGATGTCACGTACCAGACTACCGATTGGCCCATTCACGATCCTCTCGCCCGTCTTCCACCACACATCAGGAAGAAGTTGGAGGAGATGAAGAAGTTGGAAAAGTTGTTGTTGGAACAGCAGCCCAACAGCAGCCTCACAGCTGACACTATTCGCTACGAAGAAGTCGATGTCGCATCGTCACTTTCTTTAGAAGCATCCACTCGCTCGAAACGCACTCGTTCAAAACACACTCGTTCAGACTCGACGTCATCTTCGGAATTCTCTTCCTGGGTAGACGTGAATAGCCGTCCTTGGCCTCCACACGTCCTTCAAATGTTTAATGAAGGCGAGGAGGAGCGCAAGGAATGGGCAGCAAGGAGACGTAACCAACCGACCATGTCTCCTCTTTCTGAATCCATTTCGGATGTCTACATTCCTTTAGGTTCCCCAAAGCCTATCCGCGAACCCTCCCCTGAACCTACTAACTCTTCCGGAATATCTTCTCTTCTTCAGCTTTACGTCGAAAGCGACAATGATCGCCAACGGTGGCAAGCAGAGAAAGAGAAGGAGAAGGAAGAACAGGAGGAGAAGGAGTTGATGGAGATGGTGGCAAAGGCGAAGGAGGCATATGCTCATGAGAGCTCTTTCGAGGGCTCGACCTCTCGTTCAAATTCAGGCTCTTTTGCCTCTTACAACTCAGACGTCGCCAACCAGTACGCTCGTTCTATTCAGCAGATTATGCAAGATCTTCGCGCACCACCTACTGCTACTCCAGCTCCAGCTCCGGCTCCGGCTCCAGTTTCAGTTCGAACTCCTTCTCCTATTCCTGCTGCTGTCTCTCCTGTTCACGATAGCCCTCCTGAAAGCCCAACCACCCATTCCGACTCTTATGGCTCTTATAACTCGGACGTTGCTCTTCAGTACGCTAGTTCTATCCAGCAGATTTTGCGGGATCTTCGCGCACCATCTGCTGCTGAACCTGTTGCTGAACCAACCCCCGTTGAACCGATCCCTACCGAACCCACTTATGACGACTCTTTCGAGAGTCAGGACACTCATTCAAATTCATATGGTTCTTATAACTCCGATGTGGCGAACAAGTATGCTAGTTCTATCCAACAGATTATGCGCGATCTTCGTGCATCGTCTGCTGCTGAGCCTGCTGCAGAGCCTGCTGCTACTCCCGCTCCTGCTGCTACCCCTGAAACTACTTCTGCTCTCCCTACTTACGACGACTCTTTTGGCAGCCCCGACGCTCATTCTAATTCCTATGGTTCGTACAACTCTGATGTTGCGAATCAATACGCTCGTTCTATCCAGCAGATCATGCAAGACCTTCGTGCATCATCTACTGCTGCACCTGCACCTGCTCCTGCTCCTGCTACTGCTTCTGTTCCTTCTTCTACTTCAGCTTCGGGTTCGGGTTCGGCTTCTCCTTCTCCACCATCTTCTCCTTCTCAGCACTTCTCTGCCAAACGTCAGCTCCCATCGGCTTTCACCCTGGAGCTACCAAGGCCTGTAGAAGTGCCATCGAAGGAATCTGGCTTCGGTTGGAAGTCTCTTGCCTGTGTTGGCGTCGCGGCTGCGGCTGTTGGCGCGGGCTTGGCTTACGCTTGGCTTTCTTTTGCGACATAATCTTTCTCTTCGGTTCTCTTCGATCGGTCGGTCCGGAATTCGGTTCGGTGGTATATTAGCGAGGCGGTTTTGCAGTGCCCATGTATTGTGTTTTGGATATCCCTTCTTTCTTTTTCTTGTATAAGTTGTCTTGGATGACTGGATGTTTCTTGTAAACTGTTTCACTCGTTTGCATTCTCTCTTTTTCATAACTCTATTCCCCCTTGCCCCCTTACCCCTTACCCCTTACCCCTTTATCCCCTTGCCTTAGTCATCATCCCTCTTCGCTCCCTTCTCCCTTCGCTTTCCTTCCCTTGTTCATACTTTTCCCTTCATATTCGCCTCTCTACATCCAGCACAATTTCTCTTTCGTTCATTTGATACACATTCCTTTCTTATTCTACTCATTTAGAGGTCATTCGTTTCTGGGAACTGCAAAACCGCGCGAGTACAGAGGTCGGGGTATTACGGTGTTGCGAGGGGCATTGGGAGAAGGTCATTGGTTTTGGTTTCTGTTTTGTTTTCATTTGGAGTCTTGGGTTTGGGACTGGTCCTGGTTCTGGTTTTGGTTTTGATTCTTGGTTTTGTTTTGGCGTTTGGATTTTTGGGATGGGGTTTTTTTTTTCTTTTTTCCACATTTTGCCTTGAGCATCGACTCGGCCTTAGTTGGTGGTCGCTCGTTTGAATTCACCTCTATTTCACTACTCTTCTTCTGCTTATTTTTTTATCGTAAAAGTTCGGGTAGTCTAGTGACTATCCTCTTAAGTTTTGTCCTTATACCCCTATTAACCCTGTAGTATATTCCTCACACTGTCGCGGAACCCATGGCTCGCTCCGTTGAGATGCCCTACATGAAGGTAAGTTTAGCTAGGCCACTTTTCCATAGAGATAGTAGACATTTGAAATATAAACACTATCGATTCATATAAGCTGATTGGTTTATTAAATCAGTCCATCTTACTAAGCCTGTCGCTTATTGATGGCCATAGTCTCTATAGATGGATCAATATACTCGAACATTAGCTTTCATAGCCGTTAACATACTACCAGCAGAGAAAACTCTCGCAGCGATAGCTACTCCTCTGCTTCTTCTTATTCCTCCTCGTCTGAGTCCACCCTCCGTTTCCGCTCTTCCCCATGCTTCTCCACAATCCACTTCCTAATGATCTCATCACCCTTTGGTAACAACTTAGGCTCTAAGTTAGGTCTGATCTCACCGTACGCGTCGATGAGCCAGTCCCGGGTCATCCAACCGCCCTGGGGAAACAGCACGCGGTCGAAGAAGCGCCGCTCGTCTACGTACCTACACAAGCTCTCGAATTGCCGGCCTGTGACGGATTCGTAGGACAGGTCCGATTTAATTATGTATTCTAGGACCTGCCGTTTGAACTTGGCGGGGTCTTCTGGTGGGCTGTTAAGGAAGTCCATTGTATGGTAGGATGGTGGGAGATTAGTGAAGATGGATAAATGCCGAATTAGACAGGGGAAGAATTAATATAGAAAGATGTAGCATTGAGGCACTTGAAAATGATGTTTTATAAATAAATGGCTGGAGTTATGGTGAAGTAAGTGGCTTTCTGGCTCGAGCTCTATTCACTGATCGTGGGACTTACATACCTAGGACGAAGCTCGAGACACATAGTGCGACCAACTCACTACCACCCACATGTGAATACAATATATGTGTTGTAAAGGCACATAAGTATAAGAGTTCCATATAATGAAAATCAGAGTCGGAGCGAATTACTTAGCTAGGTAGTCAGAGCGTATTTTTGGAGATGGCTTCGGGTATTAATAGCAATAGCTGAAAGCGGCCCCGGTCCGATGCGCAAGGAAACCAACTTGTTTTGGTCTAGAGTGGGATTTCAACCCATACTAGACTGACTACTTCGTCTGTTGTCCTCGTTACGAAACGCGACTGCGTTTATGCGAGAGCTGACGAGTCCTCATATAATTAATAATGAATCGTTGAGGAAATTCATTCTTTTTCTTTTTTTTTCTTTTCTTTTCTCTGGTGTTTAACAACGGACTTTGACTAGAGGGAAATTAGAAAATGCAGCAGAAATTACTGTACAGGCCGCTGCTTGGCCAACATGATATTCGTGTCATTCGACTTCTGACGCCGGTGGACGATTCTGTTCACGCTACGGGGCCGGTGCACTGCGAAATTGTGCATGCTGCGCTTGGAGAAGCCGATCTCGTTGCCAATGCCGGTAATGCGACGAAGGGATCTAATGGTACTTGGCCGGTGAGCGTGGACGCCGCTGTTGATAACCAGTCCAAGACATCACAGCCGACGGGATTCAACGCGCTCTTTGAAAAGAGCTTGGTAGAACGCATGACTCCGCTGGCCAATATACCAGTAATACCCTACTTCGAGGGACCCAATTGTCTTAAGGAAAGCCCACCAAAGGTCGGGGATCGCACGGTAACAGCATGGAACCCAAGTCAGGATGAAGAAGCTAGTCTACCCTGGCGATATACCTGGGGTGATTTCGTCGCCTTATCTTACGTCTGGGGCGACCAATCCATCAGGCGCGAAATAATCGTCGACGGCATACCTGTCTCGGTAACAGCAAGTCTCGAGGGTGCTCTACGAGAGCTACGACATCACAGCCGCATACAGCAAGGCTTTTTAGTCTGGGTCGATGCGTTATGTATCAACCAAGAAGATCTAGATGAGCGCTCTGCCCAGGTCGCCAAAATGAAGGATATATACCAAGCCGCATGGCACGTTGTTATTTGGCTCGGCCCTGACGAGAACCGCAGCGATCTAGCGACGCTGGCGCTCAGGTACATGAGTCTCCATTCGGAGGATGAAGATGTTTTGGATAAACTGTATAAGCATGTTGAGTTTTACATCGTCCGAGTGCCGTTTATGCAATGGAAGCATGCGCATACGAGCTTGCGCATAAGGAAAGCCGTGCTGAATGCGATATACCATCTCCTTGCTAGACAGTACTGGCGTAGGCTTTGGATTATCCAGGAAGTTGTCCTAGGGTCTCGAAACTCACCTGTTATTTGTGGCAATAGTTCTATCTTACTAAAAGATATCTTCAATGCCTTAAGGGTGATGAAGGCAGACGGCGACGCGCTAGGCCAGTATATAATCTTCGCTGCAAAAGGGTCGAGCAGAACCCAACAAAGATGGAATTTCATAGCCGAAGACACGTACGGTATCTCGGAGAAGCTGTGGGAGCGGCCGATCGCGATAACAGCGCTCAAGTTCTTCGATATAGATATATCGGCATTGCATAACGGCGTATACGACTGTCTACTCGTCAGTCGAGAAGCTAACGCCACTGACGAACGCGATCGGGTCTACGGTATCCTTGGTCTACCGCAGATCGCAAACACCATCCAGCTCATTCCGGACTACAACCGCACGGCACCTGAGACTTTCATCCTCTTCTCGGCACGCCTCCTCGCAAGCGGTAACTTAAACGGTCTTAGACTCGTGAACAGCCCTATTCCGGCGATCGGCACCCGGTACTACAAAAGCACGCACTTCTCCCGCCCGCGCTCACCGAAATTCATCCACGGTCACCGCGTCGTACACCGCGGCTGCGAGCATGGCTTACCGTCGTGGGTCATCTGCTGGTCGTGTCCGCGGAACCCCGCGCAGCCGTTCCTCGACCGCACTCGATCTTTAACCCTTCCGGCGCTCACACCCGCAACGCTACACATCACAGATAATAACGTGCTTATTGTTAAGGGCGTCGTGTTTGACACGATTACCACCCTCAGCGCCTGCCACGCCACCGAATCCGATAAGTCGTACCCCCGCAGCGCGCCCGAGCCCCCAAAAAGCGCGTACGGCGATCGTGCCGCGACGCGGGAGGCTCTGGCCCGGACACTAACTGGGGATTTCGAATCCAAGAGTGATGATGCCAGCGACAGCGACAACCCCGACATCGACAATCCGTCCTTAGCTACCGCAATAATGCACCCCAAGATCTGGGACATAGGTATCAACGGCATCGACAACAACATCTTCGGCCTAAAAGACTTCTACCAGCGCAATCGCGCCCTCCAAATATTCGACCAATGGACAATAGATTCCCTAATACGCGATCTAAGTAGGAACGCGGATATCGGGAGGAGGGTCAAGGAGTCGGCGCGGTCTCAGCCTAGGATATTGAGGGTCACGACGGCGCATCGAGAGGCGCTGACGCAAGCTATGCGGGCACTAGGGTGGAGGAGACTGGTGGTTACTGGCACGGGGTTCTTGGGGCTGGTGCCGGCTGCGGCTAAGGAGGGGGATGTTTTGGCTATGGTGGGCGGGTGTGATGCCCCGCTGCTTTTGAGAAGGGTTGAGGGTGATGATAGAGTTGAGGAGAAGGGGAATGGGGTTGAGATCGGGAAGGGGAGATTCCAAGTCATAGGTGAGGCGTATGTGCATTGGGTTACGGGGCGGGAGATACAGGAGCGGGTTGAAGGGGGAGCGTGTAAGGTGGAGGATATATCTATTTGTTAATTAAGCATTTAGGAGGGTGGGTGTTATTGTTCTTTTTTATAGTAGAGATACCATTGTTTATACCAGATCGTATGGGATAGCACATACGGTGTTTGGTTATTGAGAATGATTGTATAAATGCCCCTATTTTGGGTGTGGTGTGGACTTACACGGCCTGGAAGTGCCTCTTATATCCAGACTTATAGCTACAAGAACCATATGAATCTTATCGATATTGGACATGTTTTGAACACTATACTTTTAAAATATAGTTAAGATGTCGAGTCAAGTCCATAGAAATAAAGATAGTGAGGTAGTTGAGGGTAATGGGATTGATATAAGAGGTATTTTCTACAAAACATACTTTAACTCCTTAGTAACTCCTAAAATGCATGCACCCAAGTTGATCGAATACCTAACCTACATGTAGGTACTTGAAACATTGTAAAGTTCAAAATACTTACCTTATGTAACTACCTCATAATTGGTGCTTGAACTTGAAACAAACGGCGGAATGGCGCACTGCACGTAATTAAGGGTACATAGATACATGTATGTAGGTATTTGCACATGTTTGCGACGCTAATGAAGCTGTACGATTGATTGTGTGGGGAAATAATAACCTCGACTTTTTTATCAAACAACATTATTAGCATTAACAAAAAAGCTCTTTATTACCTATTCTATAAGATCATATAACAAGATGCAATTAAGAAAATTCATATATAACCGCTTAATAAATTTTAATTTTTCGTATTCCATATCCCATATCCAATATCTAATATCCATAGTAGTAGTCACACTGATTTTATAAAAAAAGACGCCGATTTGCTCCGATCTACAGTAGTTCCAGCAAAAGTTTTCGAGAAAACACTTCATCTGGGGTAACGACGAAAACAACGCACCAATCAATTCGCTCATTTAATCGACTTACAAGATTTTAAAGTTAACCACCTAACCACCACATTATCATACGTTGAGCGCATCGCCAATTCGGATCTCGTAGATAGGTGGTATATATTATACCTTATAACTAAGGTATCTTAGAATCTAAGGATTTAAAACTAGGACAAAGGAAAAAAATAAGAAAAGAAAGAAAAGAGAAGCGAATATGGCTTCCAACAATGTCCTCACAGAAGTGACTCTGACGTCACTCCCCAAGATCGCTACGGGCAAGGTCCGCGACTTATATACCGTCGACGATAACACCCTGCTATTCGTAACCACGGATCGCATCTCCGCCTACGACGTCGTCATGAAGAACGGCGTGCCCAACAAAGGCGCCCTACTAACCCTACAATCCGTCCACTGGTTCAACGTCCTGTCTGAAAAAGTCCCCGGCCTAAAAACACACTTCCTCACCACCGACGTCCCGCCCGCCGTCGCTCCCGAGGAGGCCCAAGTCATCCGCAACCGCAGCATGCAGGTCCGCAAGCTCACCGTCTTCCCCATCGAGGCCATCGTCCGCGGCTACCTCACCGGCAGCGCCTGGAAGGAATACAAAGCCCACGGCTCCGTCCACGGCTACCCCCTGCCCCCCGGCCTGCGCGAGTGCGACGCCATCCCCGGCGGCCCCATCTACACGCCGAGCACCAAGGCGCCGCTGGGTCAGCACGACGAGAACATCTCGCGGGAGCAGGCCGCGGAGATCGTCGGCGAGAAATACGCCTCGCGCATCGAGGACCTCGCGCTGAGCATCTTCCGCGCGGGCCAGGAGCACGCCGCGGAGCGGGGCATCATCATCGCCGACACCAAGTTCGAGTTTGGCCTGGACGAGGCCACGGACGACGTCGTGCTTGTCGACGAGGTGCTGACGTCGGACTCGTCGCGCATGTGGCCCAAGGACAAGTACGAGCCGGGCCGCGACCAGGAGAGTTTCGATAAGCAGTTCTTGCGGAACTGGCTTACGCAGAACGGGCTCAAGGGGAAGGACGGCGTCGAGGTCCCGGATGATGTGATCAAGGCGACTGGGGAGAGGTACGGGGAGGTATTTAGGAGGTTGACGGGGAAGACGCTTGAGGAGGCTTTGCAGATATGAGCTATGCGTGGGCGGATATGAAATCAAAAATCCAAGGCGCGAGATATGCAACAGAAGTAGATATTTCTCGAGACTCTAGGCAGTAAGTGATTCTTCACTCATGTAAAAAATGCGAGAAGATAAAGCCATGAAAAATGCAATTAAGCTATATAAAATAAAATCCCACCCTATGACCATCGCACTCCCCGTTATTTAATACCCAGATGGAATAAAGTCTTATAAGATATAGAAAAGAAAATGTGGCAGCAGTTTGTAACCTAGTCGATCAGAATCATCGAGTCATGAGAACATACTCAAGATGTAAGTCCCATTATGTCCTGCCATTATAAAAAGCATCTCCATCGACCAATACTCCCTCCCATGTTAAGGTTTCGAGTTGTTTTCCCCAAGAAAGAGCATATTGCTAATGGTAATAACAAGCCAAATACAACAGAAGTATAACTCAACTAATACCCCTAAACCTAAGCAGAAACCAGTATAGGCGTAAATGGAGGCGCCGCACCATTCGTCATCTCCATCTCCGCAGCAGCGGCGGTATCCACAGCCCTCGGCACAACAGCCATATACGCCGCCTTACCCTCCTTAAGATGAGCACACGAGTCCGAGCACGACGTATCTCCACACTGCGAGACGCCCAGCCCAACATTTGATTTCTGGCAGTTATGCGTCCTGCACTGCTTGACGCAGTCCTGGAACTCCTTGCTCTCGTGCGCGCTAGCCACCGGCACGGTCTTGACGACCGGGGGGTCGGGGCCGGGGTGGTCTGCTAGATGGCCGGGGGCGTACGGGACTTTGACTTTGTGCGCGCTGACGCCGGCGTGGGCGGACTCTTTGAACGACGCGCAGGCGTCGATGCACGAGGTGTCGCCGCATTGCTCGATGCCGAGGCCGACGCCGGATTTTTGGCAGTTGTGCGTTTTGCATCCCTTGAGGCAGGCTTCGTACTCGCTTTCTTGGGCTGCGCCTTTGATGGGGATGGATTTGTGGCTGGGGGAGAGACCGTGGTGCTTTGGTGAGACGGGGGCGGGGGCAGGGGCAGCAGCCTTCCTGGGTCCCCCTTTGACGGCGGGAACTTCGGGGACGGCGGCGACGGCTGGGACCTCGGGGACCTGAGGTGTAGGAGGCACTTCGGGAACGGTAGGGACGGTAGGGACAGTGGCGACATGAGGCACGTCAGGCACGTCGGGTACGTCGCCAATCTGTCCAGCCTGCCTGGTAATAATTATAGCCTGTCCTTCCTTGTACTTGGCGCACGACTCCATACACGAGGTATCACCACATTGAGAAATGGAGAGTCCAACTTCCGAGTGTTGACAGTTGTGGGTCTGGCATTTCTTCATGCAGTTCTCAAAGGCCTCGTTGTGCGTGGCGGCAGCTACAGGCTTCTTTGGCTTGGGGAGCGGCGTGTCCGCCTTAACCTGGTCGGCAACAGGGCGAATATGCTTCTTCTCAATGCTCTTGATGTACCCAGACTTGGACGACTTGTATTTGGCACATGCGTCTTCGCATGAGGTGTCACCGCATTGCGAAATGGAGAGTCCGACTTCAGAGTGCTGGCAGTTGTGAGTCTTACAGCTGTTCATGCAAGCCTCAAAGTCCTCGAACTCGGCACCGGCAGCTTCATGTACGGTCTTGGCTGGACGTGGGTGTCTAAACTTGCGGTGGGGAGGTAATGGAGGTGGTGCCGGAATACTCCTTCCACCAAGACTTCCTAAGAGTTTACCGAGAAGATCGTTGTTCTTCTTCTCGTCATCGTCGCCATCACACTCTTTGGCACATTTCTTAACGCACTCCATCTGGGTGGCCTTTCCGTCCTCGTTGGCACAGGCACTGATACAGTTGCAGCTATGAGATACAGTGGGATGCGCAGAATTCGAAGTTGTAGCAGTAGCAGAATCTGAAGGAGTAGTAGAAGAGGTTGGGGTCGCTTTCGCTTTCCTCACTCTCGCAGTACGGGGCACAATAGGGTGGCCGGTGGACATGGCGTTGGCCACTCGAGTTGCCCAAGACATGACGTCTGCGGAAGCGCCATTGAAGATAGTAGAGGCGGCACGGTTTGTAAGCTCAGACAACTGGCTGGGATTAATCTGTCGACGCTCAACATGGCTCATGTGGCTATTCTGTGATGTATCCCCCTCGGCCGAATCGGAGGTCTCTATAGCCTCGGCGACCGCCTTCAACGTGTTATCGCGAAATGCGGCAGAATCAAAGATCGGGGAATCATGAGCCGGGGAATAATGAGACTCTTGCAAACCAGTCATTTCACCCCGAGGCCTAGTTTTGTTAGACAGAGAATCGTAAAAAAAAAAAAAAAAAGAGCATGATGACGACTTACACGATGGGCGTGGCCATCATGGCCGGGATGAGAGCCGCAAGAACAACTTGGTTCCACATCCTGGCGGTAGACTGGTTGATCAATTTATCTTCGAGCTGCTATGTCTGTACTGAAGAGCTTCTTTCGCTGATGCTCTATAGTCAACTCCTTGCCAATTGCCTTGATGAAGATATAAAATTTCCAATGTTACAGGATCGGCCGCTTATTATATACGTCTCTATTATGGCATCTATTATGTTATGTTGTTATACCAAATTTTAAGGGGAAATCAGACATGCTCTAGTCTCCCCAAGAACATAGCGCCCCTGTAATGTCGATCTAATCAGCCTATAGAATAAGGAAAATACCATATCGCAGTAGTCTTGCGATGCGAAAGATACATCTTTCTGAGACAGGCAATGTTATCAGTGCTGAGATATCCCTGTTGGAATCGTCCTGTCTCAGGGAGCACAACTATAATGAAGCCAGAGAGGGAGGTCCATCTCGAAACACACGGTTTCCCACGCACATCCATTCCATCTGAGAGAAGATCGAGATTTCGCGAGGAATATTAACAGCTCTTCGGAACGTATTGTTATATGAAGGCCCTGCCGCACGCCTGGCGAAGAATTCCTCTTAATTGTATTGAGATCAAATCCTTCAAGTCTCATTGCGACGAGAGATTGCTTCAAGCCTTAGACGAGACAAATAACGCCGAGGAAGAAAATACCAAATTCTTAACTCCTGGTACCTCTAAATAGCAAGTGTCCATCGTCAATCAGGTCCTAAGGGTTCATTACCTCCTAGAGTGGTTTTTCTACACTTTTCGGTTTAAAATTCCCTAAGCTTTCGCATAAATAGGTAAGACTAGAACTCCCTCAACACATAAGCTCACGTCAAGGGAGGAAAATTGAGAAGCATCAGGTATGTTGCTATGACCTAATCAAAGACTCATATAGTTAAAAGTATGGCTGCAGAACCGGTTACCTGTGAGTTTTAGCCGTATATGCTAGATACATATCAGATTTGAAGTTGGAAGAAGTTATCTAACTTCTTAATGTATGTCTTCTTAGTGTATGTCGGCGTCGAGATGGCGCCAGTGGCTTGCAGAATTTATACAGCCCTATCGAACATGCATAAATACCCGTAAATTAAGTTATCGTGATATAATTTGTATCATGTATATTGATATTCGATAGTCATTAATCGTTCCTACGGGACCTCTTTAGATCTGACTTGTCCTAGACTGTTCCCGGGTTTATAAGAGTATGTTAGCGCGATAGGAAGTGAACGTTTTATAGGAGTTGCCAGCAAAGAGCATTAAGTTAAAGAAAAGAATTGAAGCATAAACCAATCAACGTGAAGAAATATATATGGATTATGTAAGCTTAAGCTGTCAAGTGCTGGCTAAGAGGTAGCTGCCAAGCCAAGATACCCCATACAAGCTTCTGTAAGTGGATCCTGATGGGCCAAGCTTCGCTGGCAGTTCCAAGGTTCCCACTCTTATACCCCTGCATGCCCTGTTCCACTGCCCCTCACCGTTGGTATCGAATTCTTTATCAGTATCTTCTACACATACAATCACTATTATAAGTCTCACTTATAGGTTATAATTTACCAGATATTTTATTTTATTATAAGAAAAAAAAATGATATAAGACGCATCTAGTATAATAATAAATTTTACATTCGTCAATCCATTTACATACCTACCTGATATCTATAGTTAATATATGGTTTCATCTAGCTATGGGCTTCATTCGGCGGTGGCTGGGGCTGCCCAACCTCACTGCAAACCAGCCTCTCGATATGCAGGATGAGATGGCCCAACCTCCAACCATATTTCAGACTTTGTATCTCTCCTCATGTATCTCTTCATGTACTCTTCCGTCTATCTCTACCTAAGAAACACCAACTTGTGCTACTCTTACTACTAAACAAACAATTGGTCAACTTGTCCAAGCGGAATTGTCGCTATCGTCTTTAGCACGACAAAACCGACAGGACGAAGCATGAGTTCCCACAACTACCGCCCCGACTACGTCGAACTAAATCGTATGCCAACTTATATTCTTATTCTTACATCACTTTCTCTTTAGCTTACCTTTATTTTCTTAGGACCGAACCCTTCTTATAGAGCCAACATATCCAATTCTGACGTCTCTCCCCCAACGACAACGTCACAAGTCACTGTTGTTCACCATCTTAACTCGCGGCCTGGGCCCAGCACATCTACTCAAGAACCCTCGCCTCCATCTTCGCAGCAAACCGTTGTACCCTATGCGCCCACTCCTCCATCAGCACCCTCCGCCCCTTCAGTGTCATCCGAATCAGAGATCTACGGCCCGGATCGACTTTTCGGGGCCCCGCTAGTAGCACCAGAGAATGCCGATCGCTCGCTAATATCAAGCCCGGGTGCCCGCTTCGACCAACCACAATATCCGGCTATGGCTATGTTTCGAGACACCACTTCTGCGGATGATTTTAAAGATGATCTCACAAGAGCTGCCGGCGTTGTTACCCCTGGAGTTGATGATGGTCCTTATATTCAATATGCTCTAGATGCCCTTACTCGTGATCGAGAAGCATCAGGTTATCCTTCTTCTAGCAGCGATGAATCAGCCCGACCACCCTATCACTTTACACCAACTGCGGTCCCGAGTCCCTTCAGACCGCCCTCGGTACAATTACCTCCGCAAGCAGTCAGAGGCAACAATGATCCTCAGCAATGGCCCTTAGTTCCAGGCCCTCGCGTTATTGCTCTGCCCCCGAACACCACTGCGGAGGATTTACGTCAGGGGTGGCCGGAGCGGCTGCGTCGAGCAGAACTAGCAAGTCAACCTCTTTGGGATGTAATTCCGGATACTACCGACGAAAACGAAGCCTTCAAAGCTCGCATTCGGCCCATTCCTCAAACACACGACGAGCGCCTCAAACTAGAACAGAGACCACTGGACTCGAATATTCCCCTACCGCGAAATTTAGACCACTGGCAGCCCCGGTCAGATCTACTGATCGATTCCGAGACGGGATTACACCATTGTGGAAAAGCTTTACAGTATCAAGCGCCCCTGACGCTGAAGCCCTGGGTCCTACGGTCGCAATCGCTGTTGCTTTTGGGAACGCTTTGCTTATTGATGGTTGCGGCCCTGGTGTTCAGCGCTGTCTACTCTATGGGCCGCAACGGTTTAACACCATACGCCGGTTCAATCTACGGTGGCCAATATTTCCTTTTCCGAATGCTGCCCCAACTATTGGCGATAATTATCCTAATTTATGCCCAATGTGTTATTAATGCTGCGTTCTGGGTCTTGCCATTCTCTAATATGGCCGCGGATAATCGCAATGAACGACGAGATGCTGTATTTTTGCCTTTATTCCCCAAGTCGTTTCTCTGGCCCCAACTCGTTGGGAACTGGAATATTTGGTTGCCCATATTTAATGTTTGGCTTTTGAACTTCACAATCCCGCTGCAGAGCAGTCTCTTCACCGTCATTTTCGTGGACGGGACTTGGACCTGGGCAACAGTACAGGGTGTAGCGTGGACGTTAGTGGCATTATATGTATCTTTTCTACTGGCACTGGTCGTGATGGTAGTATTCTGGCATCGGCGGACAACCGGAATGATGCGGCCCTGGAATCTTCGAACTTTAGCAGATATCATTTTTCTCATATCCCAAAGCAATTCGTTACATCGATACCGCGGGCTCGAGACGGCAACGACACGAGAAAGCATGTGGCAAAAGCTAAGTGGAACTGCCGAGAGGCTTGGATTTTGGTTCTGTCCCGAGGCACCAAAAGTCGGAACGTGGTACGGTATTGGAGTATCGACCGGCGCCGAAGATATCATAACCGAGAAGATGGATAATCCAGGATGGAGCAGTCAACAAGAAGCCCCCTTAGAGGCTGGCGAGCAACCCCTGAGCCCTAGCATCCGTTACCGCTACCTTCCGTGGTGCTTTAGAGATGGTCAGATCATTTTCTTTGCCGTTGCATCTTCGATTCTTCTGGTCGCTTTGATCATCGTATCGTTTGTCCCTGCCACGGATATACGCAACGGTTTCCTCCCTCAACTAAATCCTGCTCCTATTACAGGCGCATTTTCGGCAGCCAACTTCGTCTATTCTTTTGTCCCTTCGCTCCTCGGACTCATACTGTTCCTCATGTTTCAGTCTCTGGACCTAACATTGCGGATCCTAACCCCGTGGGGTGAGCTTGCACGCCCGGAAGGTTCACGAGCGGAGACCTCGCTTCTCTTGGACTATTCTACCTGTCTCCCTTTCGAGTCGACCTACAAGGCTTTGAAGAACAAGCATTGGCGAGTAGCCGTTGTGTCTTTTCTATCCATAATTTTTGCCCTTCTACCGGTCTTGGCTGGTGGACTGTTCATGGCTCTAACTCCACCTTCCGGAGGAGCACGCATGTACCCCAACGTACCTGCTTTCGCCATTATTCTTGCCCTCTTAATCCTCTACGTAGGCGGGCTCATCTGTTTGGTGCCCAAGAGACAACAGTTTTGCCTCCCCCATGCCGTCACTTGCCTGGCTGAGATCATTAGCTTTTGCTGCGACGAACAGCTGCGTACGGATGAGGCGTTCGACTTACACATGGTCTTGGAATCCCACGACCTCGCCGGCAACCTTGATATCGGCAAAGACTGGCACAGACAGGGCCGATGGGCTTTCGGCGCCGGCCGAAATAATGACGAACGACTTGGCGTTAAGCGGTACAGCAAGTACACTGTCAACCCGAAGAAGCTGCGCGCTTACGACAAGAGAGCTAGAGGCCAGCTTATTTCGGCACCTCTGCCTCATAATAGCAGTTCACTGTTCAAGCGCTAGGTTGTAGCGGCTTTTACATATTACATATTAGTTTGCTGTTTAGCTTGTACATATTTTTTCATATTTTTCATTCAGCTACTAACTCACTTTACCAACGGATTTAACGACGACAGATTGATACGTTGTATGTAGAGTACGGAGTCATGGGATCACGGATAATCATGGTGTTTACGGCTAATGGATTTATGGTTTATGGATCACGGATTACGGATTACGGATTACGGATTACGGATTATGGTTACGGATTTCAAAAAAAGAAATTATGGATAACGGCACGGTTGGCCGTGAGGTGAATGGCGAATGGTGAATGATGAGGCCCGTGGAAGTAATGGAAGGGGCTGTTTTACGATTCCACGAGAACGAAGACAAGATTGATACAGCTTGTTATTGAAAGATACCTTTTTAGATTGCAAAGGCGACTACTAGAAATGAAGTCGGGAGTTTTGGAGCTGAGAAGCTATTTTGTTTGAGTTGTGTTGATTTAACTTATGATTTGCTTCTGATCTGCTTCTGATCCGCAAAACGTGTTTTAAGTAACTATACGGTACTATTGCTATAGTAGTGTGGGAACGTTGGTCATGTGACCTGGGTGGGACAGACCCACTCATCCTGTATATATTCCCACGTATTCTAATCCTGGATTAGAGTACGTACAAAAACATCATCAATAACAACTTTACCCATCATATATATGATACCCTTTTGTGTTGCATGCAACATCCTTGTCCATCCAACAAGTAGAGGATTACGTATGTAGAAAACATCGTCTCCTGAATATTTATATTTAATTTCCGTAGAGAGATACTATTTAATTACAATTAAATAGTCATCGCGGTATATCAATTAGCTAGTCGCTTTAGCGCCGTTGTCCACGACGATAGCTCAATAATACTACGGTATAAAAGTGTCAAGAGTCTAGATGCGAATCTAGAATATATCGGCAAGATCTAGATTTATATGATCCCGGTCTAAGTACGAACTATAAATAATTATCCTAACTTGGCATATATGCGGCTTTCTATGTGGCTACGCGAGTAGTATGCGGATTGGACATATTAATTAACTAAGTTATATTAAAACCAGTTAACGATAATAGATATAAATTAGGTACAGGCATGATGTTAATTAACCACTTCCACCATACCGGGCACCTATTTGGTACTTACCTAGGTTAGGTAAATAATATTATGTATACCCGTTGGCACGATCATCAACACGGGCAAATAAATAGGCCCGTCAAGTTACCCCAGCAATTAGATACCTAGGTAGGTAGGGAGGCTCAAGCAAGGGAGAGAAGGGAAAGAGAGGAAAAATCCAAGTCACGCCGGTCCCCGATCCCCGGTCTGCTAGTAAGTTCCAACTGTGCGGTTCGTTGGCTCGATGTATCACTGATTGTGGTCGTTCATGGGGAGTTATGCAAATTTCCAATTTCGGGTCGTTGTTTACTTACCACTATGTCGGTATCGGTATCGGTCTTGGTGTTATGTGGTTAATGACGGTGAAACGGTGTTTTAATAGATACCTATGTTAGGTATGTATGTATGTGTATGTGTGTGTGTGTTTATGTACCTACCTTGCATGAAGAAATGATGGATGTATAGGTAGGTAGGAAGGAGATGATAGGTTTGGCAAGTCAATATTTACTTTAGCAACAAGACAGATATATTAGGTCACTATTTACGAGTTATTGAAATTCTTTCTAGAATGCCAATTTACCTAAACCACCCAACCTACTTAGACAGTAAAACAAGCAGCAAACCGTTTATCCGGGGAAAACGGCAATGCAGAGACCATTGGCTACCGACATATGTATGTCTTGTCTCGTAGGTCTACTATCCAACGGGACGGGACTTAATTACTGCAATATTGCCAAACTGAACATCAATCACTTAGAATAGGCTCGTAATCAGACAAAGCGGTAGATGAGCATAGCATGTAGAACTGATGCTTGTTTATATGTAAACTACCTATACCTAGCTTCGTAGTAGATAGCTAGGTAAAGTAAGGTAAATTTGATGTCTCAGACATTCCCCGTTGTTTAGAAAAATAAAAATGGTAGTATTGTACACAAGAGTAATAATAATCGAATGTAAATAAACAAGGAGAGAGAGAGAGAGAGCCCAAGCTTCGTTGATCGTGTGGATTGATTAGATGAAAATGAAATGGAATGACCGGACTTGAATTCTTAATGATAATGTTGAATGTAGGAACGCCCTCGTGACCACCGTCGTACCCCTGTATTTTTTCATCGCCGTCGCCATCGTAGTCATTATCGTAGCGATCGATACCGGGAAGTGAGGGATCGTACAAACCCCCTGTGTGCTGTTTTCCTTTACCCCCTTTTTTTGCGCCCCCTCGCCCGAGCGAGTTGTATGCTCTAATCAACATATGTAACGTGACAAGATTCGTGGTCTCCAGTATCGTACCTCTCATACCCCCCCTCGTACCCCTTTTTGTGTGCTGGTCGTATGCGCCTTTCATCTCATTGACCGCTGTGTGCTTCGTGAACATCCTCGTACGAGTTCGTAGAAGTCGGGAAGTATGATTATAACAAAGGAAATGACGTTTTAAAAGCTCGTGTAGAGCATTGAAATAGCAGGCAGACTGCTCCCGGATGACCCCCAATTGAATACAGAAAAAAGGAAAAAAACATAGGTAGAAGAGGATATAGTGATGTTGGCTTTTTTTCTTTTTTGGTGTTTATGGAAAAGAAATTTGTTCAGCGACCTTTTAGTCCTAAAATGCGACCTAAGCTACCTCCACGTTTGCGCTTCTCCTTGTCTGAGCCGTGGGCTTCCGAGTCTTCGCTCCCGCGTCGCCCAATACTACGCTTCTCGCTTGTACTCTTCTTGTGGAACCCACGGGCAATGCGCTTAGTAAAACTGTTGCTCTCCATGTACGACTCGTGATCTGAATCAAACTCAAACACTGAAATGTAAGGCTCAACTTCTGGCCGTGAAGTGGATTGAAATTCAGGCGTTGGCGTCATTGCTGGTGAGCTGAGAGGCGATAAGGGCATCGCAGCGTTGTGCTGCGTGCGGTTGAACAAGCCGCTCTTATCGCGGAGGTTGAAAGCTGAAGACGTCGGACGCAGAGCCCTTGGAGGTGGAGGTGGGGGGTAAGCTGGTGATGCAGGAACAGAATTTGCTGACACAGGTGCCATTGGCATCCTAGATATAGGAGGAATTGTGTGATTAGGCTGAAGGTTATGATGCGATTTGCTAGACTTGAGGTTCACAATCGACTTGGCTGGTTTTAGAAATTGCCGCCGAGGAGGTGAAAGAGGAGCTGGAACCAGCGATGAAGTTCGTGGAGGGAGTGGATATCGCAACATATTATTCGGCTCCTGCTTAGGATAGATGGAATACGTAGGCGTGCCATTTCTCGTCACTGGGCGCGGAGGCGATGTCTGAGCTGTAGAAGTCTCGCATGAACCTGTAGCCTTCTGGGAGGATGACTCTGGCTTTGATACAGTGATTGTATCATCCGTCTCATTAGATGCGCTTTTCGAAAACCCTATAGGTAGAAAATGCGGCGTCTGTGACGCTCGTAAAAGTACGGGATTTTGTTCTCCAAGACCAGCTACATTATCGAGCCAAAAGCTATCCCAGAGCTCACTAGCTGATGTGTTATAATCCTCGTCGGATGAAGTCTCTGAATCGGATGAGTCCGTCATTCCCGGCATGGAGCCATTCGACGTCAGTGATGATCGTCTATTTTCTGACTCATGGCGACGTAGGTGTTCATACTCATCCAGTATAGGATAGGAGAAGTTGCTCGTAAGGCTCGACTTCCTTGGCAACCTTGGTATTATGACGTCTGGCGAGTGATCCCCTTCATCAACGACAAATTCTTCTTGATATGGGTGGTTGGTGAGCTCCATGATTTCAACTGTTCTGAAAGATCGATCACGATCGGAATACGATTCTGAGTCCCTATGACGGATATTCACAGTTTATAGAGTAATGTCGAGAGGAAGTTGGTGTGCTACCAAGACAAGCATACGTCGACAGAGCAGAACACTGGTCTGCAGATCCTGGCAGTCGAGGGCAGGATTAGTAAATAATACAACGAAGAAAAAAGATAGGCCGAGGGTTAGAATGTAAGTCGATCATCCAACCATAGGGATGGCCGTATTTATCAAAGATTAACACAACTCCTTGACTCGCGTCTAAGCCTGAAAACACCTAGGAGACAGAGCGAGGCAATGTTTGTGCAGAATGCATAACAGCAAGGGAGACTTCAAATACCTTGTGCATGTGTGAGATACGTCTTGCATTTTAGATCTTATTCATGTTGTTCCAGTCGAACGGTACGCTACGTCAGAGACTAGGGAAACGGAATGCAACTAGGCACTGGATTAAAAAAACAACAACTATGGTACGGGAAGACAAACGGACTTCTTGTCGGGAGCTGTCGTAGTAGATGTGAAAGTCCCACATCCGTACATTGGTGGCGGGAGCGAGAAGAAGTAAATTGGGTGATGCAGCATTATCTTGCATTCTACTCGGCAAGTGTAACAACAAGGGCCAGAATATCAGTCACAATGTGGCTACACCTATCCGCTGAGGCCAGCGAGGGGTGCAAGAACAAACAGCAGAGAGGGAAGAGGCATGGAATCTCTTCCGTATAGTTAGCGGAAAGAATGTATCAGGTAGTACCATTCCAACCACCACGAGGGTACTCGGGCCTACCATCGGGCATCATAGCAGACCCCTCTGAAGTGATGGGTCAAAAAATGAGGAGGGAGACGCGTAGGGAGCGCTGCCGACTCGTCAGAAACGCGCTTGCGCTTCAAGTTTAACCTGCATGGCCGAGTTCGATTCTGCATGTAAGCCTAAGTTGCACCGTGCTGACACGGAGGGAACTGATTATGCCGCTTTATGCACTTGACAATATTTAGCGACGGCTATAGGCTTGACAATTCGATATTGTGCTTTAGGTATGCTAGTACCGACTTGTGCTGTTGTTTTCTAGCTCAATATACCTCTCAATATACCTATTCGGCCTACAGTATCCGTGATTCACTGAGCGCCGAGACATCGAGGCGATATCGACGTCATGACCAACTCCTGTAAAGCACCGAATGCTTGTATTGTTGTATTGTAGGAGGCGATTAGATACTATAGGTATGTATTCCTTTTTGAGGCTCCGGGAGATCGACACTCTTGGGGTATTTGATATTGCAGATCGTCCAATAGTTCGGGTTGTGTACATACATATGCATATTAGTGCTTCGCGAGACTGAGCAATCGATTTACGATTCTTAATTGTAATCCCGTCCCGGGCTCGCTAGTGAAGAAAAAGAAGAATTGAGGCTGCGAACGAGGGTCTTGGCTTTTTAGGCCGTATCAAGCATCAAGTAGTAGCTGGGCGGACCGGCCTTGAAACATACGGGAGTAGTAGATATGTCTCCGAATTAACAACTTATAACTAGAGATAGTGCAACATGGTAGGTTAGGTAGCAAAGAGAACTGAGATCACTTCTCATACGGCTATGTACACTTAATCGGGAAGAGATATCATACTCACGGAGTATACCAAGTCAACTAACTAGGTACCATAGAGGGTAGCCCTCGATCGATGCATCAACGGGATAGGGAGAAAGCAGCGATGAAAGAGGGTAGGTTAGAGTGGATAAAGGAAAGGGAGAGAAGAGACGGGAAAGGGGAGCTCGGGCTCCGGCACCCAACCCCTGCTTTCACCGTCCCGGCGGTCTTTTAAAGACCTGCGCCCCCACGGCAAATCTATCCACTAAGGCTGAAACCCACAGGCTTCGGAGCGTATCCGCTGCATTTACCTACAGCTAAGACCTACAGCCAAGATCCCGACAATCGGTATTTTCGAGCTAAACACCAATGCAACTTTTAGATAGCTCAGGAAAAAACTTGGTGATTGAGAGATTGTTGAAGCCAAGCAAGTCTGGACTGTATAACGAGGCCGCCACTAATCTTGGAAGACGTGAGAACCCGTTCTATGCTATGTGATATTGGCTTGGTCTATCTAGACGGTGAAAGAACTTGATTCTCCGGGATTCGAAAATTCGGATTCTCCGTAGACGTAGAGACGTAGAAGCATAAGAGATGTAGAGATATAGAATTGTGCAAAGAATAATTCTAGCTCGTAAATATGTTTAGCCTAATTGGAGAATTCAGAATTCTATGCTGGAGATCGACACTGCGTCCTGCAGGTCCATAAAGTCCAGCGGTGCCAACCTCACGGAACCGGACCTTATTGATCGCCTTCCGCAACACAGTGGAAAGAGGATAATGCCGACAGCCGCAGCAGCTTTGTAACCTCTCGACTTTTGTTCGAGGGACCCAAAGTCTCGGGTTTACGTTGATGTTTGCCGGACACCAGCGCAAAGCAACATTCGTCAGCGTACGTGTTAGAAATATGGAGGTCGTGGTCGCTATATGAATTTTCTATCTGCAGTATGTCAATATTCCAACGTTTACTAATGTTCGAAGACTTTTTCAGCTGTTGTCTGCTGCTAAAATTATTACTCCAAGACAAGTGTCGGGGAAATACATGGCTCGATGGAGTTTGAGGCTCTCGTTTACTTTTTTTTTTCTTTCTTATTAATGGGAACCGGTCGTTTCGTTTCTAATTGACTCGAATAAAGCAAAATATGGAGATTAGTACGAGATATGTGAGGCAACACATTTCGACTAACGTTTTATTTGACAAGTCGTAGAATTCGTATAAGAGTTGTATAAGACGATTTACAAGTCAAATTGAGTACCTAATGAGCGATTCGCCGAGATAGCCTAATGAAAATATGGGTACCTCCTATGAATATGGATATGCTGTTAGTGGAAGTATTAGGTACCTAGGTACGCAACTATCTGCACTCTGTAAGTGCAATTGTATGGATACCTAGGTATCTTATCCGTATCGGTACCTTTAATCGGTACCCCAGATAAGCAAGACCATATGCAGATCAAGCTTTTCCCCCAGCCTTATTGCTTCCAAGAATATACCGATACAGTAACGCCATCCCCTAAAAGGCACCTCCAAGTCAATAAATCCATAAAGGCCACAAGGATGAATATGCGAACACCCTTTAATATTGCATCTCACTTACCTATATAGGTACGCATTTAATTCGCCGATGATCCGATTGCACCGCCACGAAAATCTAATTACCTACTTTACCAAGTGAAAAAAATGTGGGAAAACTCCTTTTATTAGTTTTATTGTATGAACAGATAAGGGGTAAAGTAAAACTGGAACTGCTTGGATTAAACTGGATTAAACTGGATAAGATTTTATGTTCGTTACGCAGTATGTTAAGTACCTACATATGTACCTAAGGTAGTAATACATTAGGTACGATGCGCGTCATCAGCGGTTCCCACGCTTTCTCATCTGCCAATACATACTTACATACTACATACATACATGCATTTTTAAGATAGGAGTTTTGGGTCTTGGGAAGCGGTCCCGATATAATAGGGGAGAGAGAGGGGCCGAACTAAACACCGTTGAATTCCCGAGAGCTTACGGACATCCATTTACCGCCCCTCTCTAACTTTCGTAACTAAAGCAGTTAATAGGAAATTGCCGTTCGATACGAAGCTTCGAATTCTGCAATCAGCCCACATCATGCACATTAAAAATAAAAATACTTACTAACAGTTTTATTTTTTTCTTGGGTCTTTCTTGGGTTTTTTCTTTTAGGCTGGGCATGGCTCTAAAATATGGACACGGAATGCTAACCCAGTTAAGATCTCTTAACTAGAATCCATGAAAACATCCAATCTTCTGGTTGGCTGCCTGACTCCCAGGTCCTGAACTACGGGGTTTTCGGGGTTACATATAACCAATTCTCATATCCAATACCTAAACGCTGGTGTGGTAATTTCAGGAAGGTATCTATGTATCAAAAACTACCACGTCAGCCCCTGAGCTATTTTCAGCTTCAGATCGTCACGTTATCTTAAGAACCGTTGGATAACTTGACACTTAGAAATCTGCAAGTCACATATTATTTCAACAACTAAGATATTAACAACAATAATAACATCGTCGTCATCATATCATCATCATCCTTTATCTACGATTAGAGACATATCGCTGAACAGATCTTAGACGGCATGGCATGGCATATCTCCTTTTACCCTAACAAGCGAACTGGAAACCCCTCCACAACATGCAGGCGCCATCTTGAGAAGGCTAGTCCCTCGTATCCAAAATGTGATGAAGCCGGGTCCCATCGTGGCCAGCGGAGCCGCTAAGGAAGCCCCGGCCCTGCATCCTCTTGAATGGGCACACTTCCTAATTGGTTAAGAGTAGGGCTAGGCACCGCTGTCGACAGGCTGTCAGCTCCCCAATTCGTACCGACGAGCTTACTTTGTATGGTTATGATATTCGATCCAAGTTAGGATCAGACTTCCCCCTGTTTTTCTGTGCGAAATCTCCGCTAGCATCCCCTTAGTCTGCGCCACAACGATAGTTAATCTCGTATGCTGGCACAGCACAGTCAGCTCCTGACTCTCTTCTCGCACCGCGTGGTCAAACGACAAGATGCCGTATTACCTAGATGAAGGTAATAGTTACACACCAATCCGGCATCTAAACGTACCACCTCTGACCGCAATGATTCTCGACCCAAGGGTCGGTATAGAAGCGTGCACGGCCAATTCCCCCCATTCCATAGTTCCATAGGACCGGGGTACGATGTGTAGGCTTTCTCATCCATACCTACATGCACCATACTACGTAGTAGTCGGCAACTCACTCCACAAAGGGCTCTAGAAGACAATGAATGGACCCGCAGCTAGTCGAGTGACTGAAGAGGGTATATAACCTGGTAGGCGCCTCAATGGCAGCTTGGCTTAGGCTTTGCTTCCTTAACGGTCTCGATCGTCTGTCACTCGTTATTTTTCCTATAGTCATCGTATATATATAGATATATACGGTTACTATTCGCAACCATGAAGGTCTCTGTCGCTCTTTTTGTATCGGCCGTATCAGCCGCGTCGATCCCGTCCGTCCAGCAAGGTCTGCCTCTCGACCACTTCGGTCAGGTCCATTCGATCTCCATCGAGGATGCTATCGCCAAGATCGATCTCCTAGGGACTAACTTCAGCGCTCTGCCGATCTCGACCAAGGCCAAGGAGATCCTCCATGATGTTTTCGGCCTCTCCAACGACGAGAAGATGAGCACCGCGAGTGTGGCCAGCACCGCTGCCAACGGCGACTGTGCTAACCCGGCCATCCGCTACGAGTGGGACAACTACTCCTCCTCGGACAAGCAGGCTTTCGTCGATGCCATCCAGTGCTTGATTAAGAAGCCCGCCTCGGGCAAGTTCTCCCCGGCAAAGAACCGGTACGAGGATTTCGTGCGCCTGCACCAGTCGTACTCGCCCAACATTCACAGCAAGTCTACGACTCAGCAGACGCACAAGTTCCTGTTGTGGCACCGGTACTATACGTGGGCTTTCGAGCAGGTTCTCCGCGACGAGTGCGGTTTCAACAGGGCGATGCCGTGGTGGGATGAGAAGAAGTGGGCTGGAAAGTTCTCCCAGGCGACTATCTTCACTTCCCAGTACTTTGGGAGCCTGCCCGGCCCCAACAACGGTGCTGCCGTCTGTATCAACAACGGAAAATTCGCTGGCCTGCAGCTAAGTCTCGGACCCGGCATGGCTACCAACAACCCCCACTGTCTCCAGCGTGCCGTCAACGAGCAGACTACTACTCAGACCGGCATTAACTCCTGGAACGCCTGCATGTCGCGAACTTCGTACCCCGACTTCCACAGTTGCGTTGAGTTCACGTGAGTTTATTTTCCTGCTTTTTGAATATCATTTATACGCTACCTAGTTTCTAACATTGTATAAAGTTTCCACGCTCAAGGTCACAACGGTGTTGGCGGTCTGATGGCCGATGCCATTGCCTCTCCCGGCGACCCGGCTTTCTTCATGCACCACTTGTTCGTAGACTATGCGTTCCGCAAGTGGCAGATCGATGATGTATCGCGCCGCACAAGCATCAGCGGGTGTGCCGACAGCGCCAACTGCTCGCCGTTGACCATGGACACCATGGTCTACATCGGCAACATCTGCGGCTCCAAGTGCCCCGACCTCAAGGTCCGCGACCTCCTCAACACCCAGCAGGGCCACTTCTGCTACCGCTACGACTACTAAGCGCGTAGCTCTTTTTTCTCTCCCCGTGATATGAACAACCCACTGTACCTAGAAAACACTGCCATGGCTTAGACGAGGGGTCGGCGCGTGCCGGACGCAAATAAAGATACCATCCAACTACCAACTACAACAACACACATCTACCTGACTCACGTATATAGAAACTAATACTATTGTAATTAGACAAATCTACCTCTAATGTTCAATGGCACGACTCCCTCACGCTACTGACTCGACGTGACATGAATATCCCCGTAGACTATACTGAACTCCTGTATGTAGCCGCACTAGTTTTATCGTACATGACATGACCCCGATAGTCTAGTAGGCATGTTGCGTTCAATTAATCTACAGAATCCCGATGGCGAGAATGGGAAGAATGACGCGAGCAAGCAATGCTAAACGTATCTATCTAAGTGGCTAGATACGAAGCGTCGTACCGAGTATAGGTCTGGCCCATGAACAACACATATATAATTACCTACATAGGCATCGTACAACGTGAAGTCCTAAATCACGCGCTGCATTCGTTGTCTAGATCTTTTCGGTCATAGGATGCGAGGGCTACCATGCTTACCTATTTTTAGAGTTGCCTTACACGGCGTCCTGTATGTACCTATGCATGCTTGCTTCTAACCGCCGTATTAGGCATGTATGTAGTATCAGGATTACGACTCAGGGTTTCTATTCCCCGAAGTTGCAAATTTACTATCCTATGCAGATCTAGTTTCACGGTTATTAGGGTTATAGATATATCGCTGTTTCGAGCTTTTCTATGTATGTAGGTCTTTTTTTGCTGGTTGATTGAAGGGTCCTTGACTGATCCTAGTCGTATGTTCTGGAATCATATTTGCTTTTGGCGGCTCGATGCTCTTCGTATTACTCTCGGTGTATGTATGCCCATATGCAGTAAGCACAATACAAAAGAAAGAGAACGCCTACCTATGTGTGCGTGCCGTCTCGGCACTCGCCCCTTCGTAAAAACGGTTTCCCGCTAAACGAGAAAATACTTTCAACGCCATCTCTTAGTAGTGATGTCTTGGCCTCAAACCGATCAGGTGGATATCTAAATGACGTTCTGGAAACCTCGGGCTTCCCGTATTTAAAAGATGATGGCATACTAGATGCTAGCGTTGATCTATTAAGCGAAACCGTCGACGGATCCGGTATATTCCCATAATTTTGGTATGAAGTCGAAGAAGTCATCTGACATGACAGATCAACAGCTTTGAGTTTTCTTGAAAGAACAAGCTCTTGTTGCTACCCCGCCCTGTTTGCCACGCACCGACGTTGACCCTATGCTGAGCTCAAGCTTAAAGATCATAAAACCTTTGTTGAAGCTTCTGATTGGTCAATTGCTTAGAACTATAACTTTTAGGTGGAGGGACGGGTCGTCCCATGTTACTTTCGATGGGGTTCTATGTAGACAAAGGATGTCTTGTAGCTTTTGGTGATGAGCTCATCGAGTCTGTCGTCGATCTATGTAATTCTTCTAAGTTTTATACATATATTGTAGTAGAGCCATTAATGCTGGGATAACCATTTGTAATTGCTGCAGCTCTCAGCTTCTTACCATATACTAAGAGCACACTATGCAAATTGTGCATAAGTTAGTGCACCGGTTCCATGGCATGGCGACCAACTTAGGTACATACAAGTACCTTTCCGTTCCTAATAGCCGCCCCTTTTACTGCTAGAGTAAGCTCAAATAAGATTGTATGTTCGAAACTGAGGCTATCAGGCTGAATATACTTTAAATGTCTTTGGATCTTCAGGAACCAACCGAGACAGATGGGGAAACCTAGGGTAAATATCCAAAAGATCCTTGACGGGATGGGTGGGTTTTAAATGCTAGGGTTGGTGTGCATCCAGCTTTTTGGGACGATCTCAAGCTTGTAAGCGTTTGGTGAGTGGGTTTTCTCTCTACCAGTGCCTGCATGACACTAATAAGGAATGTTTCGTCACCAAGCTGCCAACGCACACTTCAATTTTTTTTTTACTTCAACCTTTTCCTTATGACATTCTCATGATGTTGATGACAGAAAATGTTCCGGGTATCCTAGCCCCCACCGAGTTTTATTTTCCTGCCTTGCTCCCGTCTCCTGGGTATTATCACTTCTGCGATATTAGTGAGAATGTGCACTGTGCGATGAAGGCTGGGCAGATCAGGATTATTGCGGCGTCATAGCCCTTCCCCAGCTTTGCAACTATCGCGGAATCCTCGAGTTATGTAAAATTACCTAAGGTACCCAGTTCGATGATGCTCATTGGAAGAGATATTGGAACTCCGATAACCTTATCGCATCAAGACGAGTATTTTGATGCAGTCGAATTCTGACCAGTCATCTACCGAGTATTGGATAACCAGCTAGAAAGTTCGTCCAATGTAAAATAGTTGTTGAAGGATCCCAACGGCGAAATCAAGTAAATGCATGTAATCCTAGGACCACCGTGAATTTGGACGTCTGCGTGTGATATACATATTGGGTCTTCATACAACAAACGACAAACGGGATGATGTTATGTGTTATAAAACAATGATGAAGGGAACCTATTGAAACAAGTAAGATATTAAGAATAATCTCCGTGTCACCTCTTTTAATGTCTCTTAATACTACAGTGATAATGATGCAAGTCTATGCAAGTGCAAGACCAGTTGGAAGTTGGGAACTGGAAACAGAAAGTGGACCGTGCAGAAAGCGGAAAAGAAAAGAGGTAATCATCTCAAATCGTACCTTCTAAGTCGTGTGTCGTGTCTTAATGTCGTGTCCAGAAGGAGCGTCTCTTAATCTTTAAGCCAGCTCTTTTCTTGAATTTTACTTTAACAATAAACCATTGAAATGCAAACATGATAGCAAATACTTCTTTATTATTCAAGTATTCAAGTCCCCTAATTATATCATTCGCTAAGCCTGCAGCTATTCTAGCGACAGGGCGGCGCTGGCGCTGCTGTCGCCGCCGGGTTTGCATGGTAACCATAGGCGGTGCATTTTGGGCATCCGGTTGCTAGGATATTTAGGAGGGATGCGCTGGGAAAACAGAAGCAAAACAATTGTAAAAGATTTCGACGTCAACATTTACGATAATACGCGTTGCACTCCTTTTTTTTCACGATTAGGTTATTCACCGTCTTCACGTTTGAAGACCGCCGTTACGCATCCCCGCCGACCGGGTCGTCGCGATTATATCCATCCTCAAACACAAACCAGCCATCTTATATTTTCCACGTTAGCCCAGCCTCCCTCTTTACAACTTTCATCACCGATCTTACCATCCCTCACAACAAACACCTTCCCCCTTGAATCTGGAAGTACCAATTCCTATCTCCGCTTACCTAGAGATACCTACTATACAATTCCGCATACTTTTCATTCCCTCATTTTCCTCCTCGACTAAGCCCAGCCGCCCTGCTGTGTTCCTTGGTCGTACACATCACTTGCCTACATACATCTGCACATCAACCTAAGTCTTGCAGCCGACCTCTCATATCTCCGCGCTACCTAAATCGAGGCTGAGGGTTTGGCTTGTTTTTTTTATACGGTTTTGGTGTATAGCTAGGACGTATTCTTTTTTTGCGAGTGTCTCACCACAATTGTGGTGACTACTCAAATTGTCGAACTCGGCTTCATATTGCGCTGGTGGGGAACCGACAGCAAAGTTGACAGAACTAAAGTCTACCGCACCTTACGACCGTCACGACCGTTACGAATTTTCTACGCCAACATACCAGCGCCAGCAGCACGGACTTCATCAGCAATCACCTCAGCAACCTACGCCAGATCGAAGATCGACAGCCACCCCTTCTTCTATTCACCGACTTCGTAGGACCCCGCGCTTTTCGGTTTCGCCTATTTCCCAGCCAGACGCGCAACAGGCGCGCCAACAAGTCAATCGAGTTACTGTTACTCTCGGGCCTCAAGGGCGATACGTTCTAGCGGGTGCTGACCAGCAAGCTCAGAGAGACCGTCCAAAACAGCCTAGACGACAGCTTTCCCAAGGGAATTTAAGTCACGATTCCGAGGCGACCTCAAACAGCCCTCCCGAGCCACGTTTTGAGGCAAGGCAGTCTATTCCAGACCCGAATAGACCCGAACCGCACCCAGCCCTTCGCATCTCGAAGCAAACTCACAGCGCTATCTTATATGCTCTTGAGCAAACATTACGTGGCCCTAGAGAGATCTCGGAAGACTTGGTCGAGCTATATTCGCCAATGGCCGATCTTATGGGAGGCAGAGGCCCTGCGACCTCTAATGGCAATGGCGCCTCGCCTGCACGGCCTACTACGGCGCGAGCAGCCGTCGGCTCTCCTTCCGGAATAAGAGGTCCTAGGATAATTATGCAGGAGAGAGCTGCGCGAGAAGCCGCGCGAGAACGACAGCGCGAAGAGCAGGAGCGTGAACGCCTAGAGAAAGAACATGCCGAAAGTGAGATGCGTTTGCTAGAAGAAGCAAAACTACGAGAAGCGGAGCGAAAAGATGCGGAGCGCCGAGCTGCCGCTGCTGCTGGCGCTGGCGCTGGTACTTATGGACCCGGTACCGTCCCCGTCGGCACTGATCCCACCACTACCCGGCGACCGGCGCAGCCAGCCGCGCCTGGTCGCACGACCATAGATAATAATACCCGCCAGGCGGGACAATCGCGAGTTCCTGCGGCAGCCCAACCGTCGCAGTCGGCGCGACACGGGCGAACTACTTCCGATACGCAGGGAGTTCCCGGTACCTCTTCCGGCCCTAGAGTAGCCGGTCCTTCTGGGACCCAACCCCAACAGCAGCAGCCTCCTCAGCTAGGCGAAACTTCGACAGCTCTCGGACGAGGTAGAAACTCATTTCCTCATGCATTTGAGCGCTGGGAAACTTTATCAGCTCATTGGGAAGGCCTTACTAGCTTTTGGATCCGTAGGTTAGAGCAGAGTGCGCAGGAGATAAGCCAGGACCCTATCTCTCAGCAGCTATCACGACAAGTGACAGACCTTTCTTCTGCAGGTGCTAATCTGTTCCATGCCGTGGTTGAACTGCAACGCCTACGGGCTTCGTCGGAGCGTAAGTTCCAACGCTGGTTCTTCGAGACCCGCGCCGAGATAGAGCGTTCTCAAGAGGTTACTGGTATGCTCGAGGCGGCTCTCGAAGAGGAACGCAGGAGCAGAGCCGATGCGATTCGCGAAGCCGTCGAGCACGAGCAAGGCACCTCCAAGATGCAGAAGCAGATAAATGAGCTACGCAAAGAATTGACCATTTCTAAGGAGGAAGCGAGGCGCGCGTGGGAGGAACTTGGACGACGGGAGCAAGAGGAGCGCGATCGCACTATGTCCTTACAGCTTGGTCAACCCACTATCGTTGGCGGTGTTCAGGTCGTCCCGATGACGCAAGGTGTGGGCCGCGGCCACTCTCAACGAGACCCTCGCTCTTACAACCAAACGGAGCCGGCGGATTATGCACAATCGCATACCTCGCCTAGCGCTGATCGTCCTCAGTACTCTCAGGCCCCCGCGGTTAAGCCAACCCCGGCTTCGCGTGATAATAATCCCGCTTTCCAGACACCCTCGTCTGTTCAACACCAGCAGAGCTACGGTTCCGAAGGAACCTACAGCGAAGGTCAGTACATCAATGGTATTGTCAATAGCGCAGCGAGAAACCCCGTCCGAGACACGCAAGAGCACAATCCTTCTACACGTACCAATCCAACCCGTACCCATGCTTCACAGGGTTCTGACGTTGCAGCAGAAGAGTTCGAGACCCCTGCTACTCAGCCGGCCGTCTATCAGCCGACCGGCGCGAGTTCTCAGCAGCAACAGCAACAGCAACAGCAACAGCCGCAGTACTCGGCGGCTCCGGATTATAGCGGCGCTGGATACTCGGCGCCTTGGGATGATATAGGTAGTGCTCCGCGTCACCATCACCCCACACGCCTGAGTGACGTGCTCGAGGAAGAGGAAGAACGGAGCCGTACCAGCGCGAGCCAGAGTCAGGTCAGCCGGCCTTAATACTTACATGGTACCGATCTCTTTATACGGATTCAACTTGTTTTACAACCTGAAGTCACCGAGATTGACATGCATCATCAAATCCTGTTCTTGTTTCCGCAAAATTCCAGAGCCGTAACCACGGATCTTTTGGAGGACGACATCAAGCCGTTCGCTTGTGTTGGCATACTATCGGCGTTCATATGGGATTTCCTAATAATTTGATGCCAGCCAAGACTTCATCCATTGATGATTTTACCTAGAGATTCTTTTTCTTCGCTTCCTCCTTACTAATATCAAGACGAAGCTTTTCCTTCGGCGTATGGTGGCATTGACAAAGATGGATGCAGCTGCGTTCGCCGGGGTTTTTTTTTAGCAGAGTATGGCTAATATTGAGTGGTGAGGATAGTGTAAGGAGTGTACGGGAAATGGTCTTGGTTCGGCAGGTGGGCATTCTGACGGCATTTGCGAAAAAAAAGAAAAGACTTGCGACTTGCATTGGGCATTCTATCTTACCATTCACTTCAAACACTTGACCTTTGCAAAAAGGTATTGATGATTGATGGATGTTTCTTTTTCTTGGGAGGGCTTTACGACCCCTATCGGACTGTGCATAATGAAAATGAGTTAATAACGTCGGTTTCGTTTTCGGTTTCGGCAGGAAAGAGGTGGCGAGGAGAAGATTCAAGGACAGATGAGGTTTTGCCTTAGTCTCCCTTTCTGTAGAGAAACTGTACGAACTGGCTCTTGTAAGTTATAATAATAGATGATGACAACGGAATGCAATTTGCCGTTGCGGTTCCCCTCCATTCCGGAACGGTGTACTCCAGTCTTAGCATCCTTGTTGAACGAAGAGGTTGACATAGGTTACCAGCCAATCCGGCTTTGGAATTGAGCTGTAAAGACCTTAAAAGTAGGGTTGTGCTACATGTATGTACTTGAGCTCTATAAGACTCGATATAACATTTGAAGGTTGGGTAGAGACATGGACTGCTTCATAGGTACATTAGGTACCTAGATGTACCTACCTCCTAATGTGGCTGAAGCTACCTCGACATGGAAGCGACATATCTAATCGGCTAGATGCCAAGACCTCCATCGGAACCGGCCGATAAGGTTCTCAACTGACAATTTGTCGAAGCTCCATACAATAATTTTTGAGCTGCTTGAACAGTCTAAATCAAAAGGCAGACAAGCAACCTGTAAGGCGCTGGGGTTTACAAAGATGTCGCGCTCAATAGCAGCTCCGCAACCGCTCTTACGATCTCTTCTGCAAATCCGCCCTCGGACACAACAATGCCGTCGCTTTCTCTCGACATCCCCCTCCACTTCGACATCCTCCCCGCGACGACCCACAGCAGTGCTTTCGCACCCTCAGCAACAATGTACAACTAACGCCCGACCCCTCGAGCAGCGACGTTATAAGGCGAAGACAGTAGAGGAGGCGCGTAGTAGATATCGGACGGGGCCATTCTCGTGGAAGGCAGGCTTGCTCTTCGTGCTCACGAGCGCCGGGCTCGTATGGTACTTCGAGTATGAGAAGCAGCGCATGCAGCGCAAGCGTGTGGCCGAGGCTACCAAGGGTGTCGGGCGGCCGAAGGTTGGAGGGGATTTCGATCTAATCGATCAGGATGGGAAACCATTCTCAAGTAGGGATTTAAAGGGCCGACATTCTCTGGTGGGTTTTTATTACCTCTGCTAAGAATATTAGAATTGGTATAGAGTATTGGTATGAGGAATTGCCGGCTAACTTCCTATCTACAGGTCTACTTCGGATTCACCCACTGTCCAGACATCTGCCCGGAGGAACTCGACAAGATGGCGCGGATGTTCGACCTAGTCGAGGAGCAGTCGCCCGGAGCTATGACGCCTGTGTTCGTGACATGCGACCCGGCGCGTGACGACCCTAAAGTGCTCAAGTCGTATCTAGCCGAGTTCCACCCGCGGTTTGTAGGGTTGACTGGCACATACGAACAGATCAAGGACATGTGCAAAGCATACCGTGTCTACTTTAGCACGCCGCGAGACGTCAAACCTGGTCAGGATTATTTGGTCGATCACAGCATTTACTTTTACCTGATGGACCCCGAGGGCGACTTCGTAGAGGCACTAGGACGTCAGCATAGCCCCGAGCAGGCGGCGAAGGTTATATTAGATCATATAAAGGATTGGAAGAAATAGGGGAAGAAACGTATGATTCTGAGATACTCCCTTACTTAACCTGTGATATTATCTACTTGATTGATACTATGATGTATCAGTTCTGCCCATAAAGGCGTGCTTGTGTATATTATATAGACAGGAGTAGATGCGCGAGCTTGGGCTAGATAATTCACCTCTACGTTGTATAAAGATCACGATTAACAAAATATCATATTTGCCTTAAATATAAGATACAAAGTCCTCCTACTCTATTACACCAATGAATGTTCAATAACTATCTACCTCCTATGTACCTTGTATGTAGGTATCTATCTATCTATTAAAGGTGATCGTCATTAATTGAATTTATCGAGTTGCACGGGCTCCGAAATGGAGCTCCGATAAGAGCCGGGTCTACTTATTTTGATAACGCATTGGATGGAATGAATGAGTCGAACTTACCCAATTTATTACAGTGATCAATTTAGTTTGTGTCTAAACTTACCTACACTTACACTACTCACCTCCTATTCTACCGCAAGGGAATGTGGCAATTGTGACGGTATTTATAATCTAAGTGAGTGAGATATGATTTGTAGGTAAATTTACCGGCCGGTTCTTAGTGCCTTTCTCCCGCTTCTCATCCTTCACAATGAAGGCATTTCGCGCTCGCCCATTTCTCGGCGGCGCGGTGTCGGGCTACATTCCTTGGCCCCACTCAACTACTCGAGCACCGTCATGTCCGCTTCGGGCTATTAGTAGTCCTGTGCGATCGTCTATACGACCCGGATCCTTTGTCGGTCGTCCCTATAGCATCGATCATAAGGCTCCTAAACCACCGCCTTTCGCTTTTGCCTTTGAGTAAGTGAGAGAACGGAGAAGAAGATCCTTGGTCCTATGGACAACTGGCTTACACAGCTCCTAGTATCGATGGCGTTCTCCTCCATGTCGCAAAGCCGATCCCCGGCGCGACGCAGACTTTGGAGTTCCTCCAGAAGCACAACATCCCATTCATTTTGCTGACAAACGGCGGCGGCAAACACGAGACGGAGCGTGTGGCGGACCTAAGCGCCCGTCTTGGCGTCGAGCTGTCTACGGATAACTTCATCCAATCGCACACGCCCTTCCAGGAGCTAGCCCACGGCGGCGAAGGTGGCCTCCGCGACAAGAACATTCTCGTCACGGGTTCTGACGCCGCCAAGTGCCGTGTCATCGCGGAGCAGTACGGCTTCCGGCACGTCATCACCCCCGCGGATATCCTAGCAGCCCACCCCACAGTCTGGCCCTTCGACCCGCTCATGGAGGAACTCTACGCAAAAACAGCACGCCCGCTGCCGTCGCCAAACCCCAAAATCGACGCTATATTCGTGTTCAACGACCCGCGCGACTGGGCCCTCGACATCCAGCTCATCCTCGACCTGCTCATGTCGAAAGACGGCGTCCTGGGGACCTACTCCCGGCGCAACGGGCTCAAAGACCTGCCCAACAGCGGGTGGCAGCGCGACGGGCAACCGGCCCTCTTCTTCTCGAACCCGGATCTGTTCTGGGCGGCGGGGTATCCGCACCCGCGGCTCGGCCAGGGCGCGTTCCAGGCTGCGATCGCGGGGATCTGGAGCGAAGTCACGGCGGGCGCGGCGGAGCTCGAGCGCGTTACGATTGGTAAGCCGCACGGAAGGACGTATGGGTTTGCGGAGCGCGTGCTTAACGCGCATCGGGCGAGGGTTCTTGGTTTAGACCCGGAAGGTGGGAAGCAGGGGCAGGGGGTGTTGGAAAGGGTGTATATGGTGGGGGATAACCCGGCGAGCGATATCCGCGGGGCGAACGAGTACGAGAGCCCCGAGGGCACGGAGTGGAAGTCGGTGCTTGTGCGCACGGGGGTCTGGAGCCCGGAACGAGGGGGGGATCCGGTGTTTAGGCCGAGGGTTATTGTTGATGATGTTAAGGGGGCGGTGGAGTGGGCGTTGGGGCAGGAGGGGTGGACGAGGAGGATTTGATGAGAGGTAAAGGGGTTGAGAGTAAGGGGTAGTTTGAGTACCTAATGATTGTAAGTGACTATAGGTATAAGTACAGTTATGTGAAGTTGCTTGCCGGATGAAGCTATAGAATTGTGTGTAAAGGTTGAGATTAGGGAGACTATGGTTAATTTATATTTACATATCACGCTACTTATGGGCTTTAAATGTATGTGTTATTATAATGACTTTTTTCCACTATTACTTTTTTCACTATAAGATTATTATAGATAATTTGTTTAGGGGTATTTAAAATATGAATATTAAACATACACTTATATTACTATTGTTAATTATCTAAACAGTTATTTTAAAAGTCGATTGGAATTAACTCCTTGTATAGGTAAGTTAGGAGACTTTAAGATCTCTAATGTGTATAAATCACTTGTATATTAAGCAACTCTATAAAATTAATATTATACTTTCTTAACTATAGCTGTTAGCTTACTTGAATGGTGCTACGCTTATTATATAAAACTCACATCTTACATCATTCTTCGAAATTGAAATGAGTAACAGCCCATTCAACTCGTAAGTTGAAATATTATACCCAGTAACTAGCTCGATTCATTAGCTGTATACCGCTTTTGAGGAGTTATGAAAGAGGTTCCACACAGCTAAGCTGTCAGGCTGTAGACAACCTATCTATGTGCGTATTATTACGTCATTCAAGTCTAGCACGTGCACCTACAAATACGTCTAAGAGGTCGGACGAAATATAATTCTAGATCAATACATTTCAATGTCAAGAAGCCCGATAGCCGGTCAATTGTAGTTTCTTACCGCGGCGTTGTTATATAAGTTTTCTAACATCACCTAGCTGTTGTTGTACAATCTAGATACCTTACTACCTACTATGTAACGGAATTATTTACGGATAACTAACACACTATTACCTATCCTTGGAACGGAAGCAACTGCTTTTCGCAATTAATTTAAGGTTATCACAAGGGTACATTCCCTGCGACGTATCCTGCAAGGGGTTCCCGGTACTGCGGATTCGCGACTACCCGATAGCCCTGGCACTTACCCTATTTGACAATACTTTTTTGTTATCATTTTCTTGATATGCGACTTCTTATCAGTTCATATTCTTCGGTCCTTCAGCCAATTCTTCGTTAACAATCTTTCGCATTCACTTTTGAACCCTCGCAAAATAAAGCCTCAATTCGACTAGTGAATCCTAAAGCCTGTTTGTTTCCCTATTATACTAAGTGGCGTATATCATCTGATCTTTATCTTTTATCTTTCGACAAAAGAAGCCTATTTATTACTAGCTTTCTATAGTCTAGACACACACACACACACACACACACATACACATACCATCATCGCCCCCTGCCCCTCATTCATTTGGAGATCTTTCGACATGTCTACGTCTACACCGATCCTCACGGGCGAGGGACAACCTCTTCGGTCTGTCTTAAAGCAGGACGATGACCTGGATAGGCCGTCTTCCCAGAATACTACTACAAGTACAAAAGGTTGGTCAATTTAATTATTTAATTATCTTTACGCTTCACCGTCGGGAGCTACCATGTCTCTCATGTCCTTCGTCTTTTCACTAAGCCACCTTGTCGTGTGAGTTCTTGATGGTAATCTCTGTATTACCTTGCTACCTAGAAGGATGCTGCATATGCAGCCCCTTTTACTAGAAAAAGAAATAGGTAGTCCTAGACTAGAGAGTATCTTGGTCACCGAGCTGGAGGATACATGCATGCAGGCGCCAAGCGTCAACTAGGCGAGGCTTGATGTATAAAATAATAAAAAATAATAAAAAAAGAAATTGACGCAGGTATCCGTTCGTGGAAGCCCATGAGGAAGCTCTTATGTACTTTCTACTATCCGCAAAATTTCTCCCTTACAGTCACACTATGCTTACTCTATCTTAGCCGTACAGATAGCTGAACCTGAACCAATTCAGGACAATTTAGAGGAAATACACCCTAAAAGACAATATTCAGCTGGACTTGCGAAACGCTTGAGCGGCCGTCCACCTATGTTAGACCACAACTCTTCTAGGACTTCACTCCAAAGTCAGAACAGTTTAGAGCCACAGAGTAGCCATACTAGCAGCCAATCCCCTCATCCTAACCTACAAGATGGTGGTCGTTCGCATTCTCATCATCACCATCACCAATTAGATAGGTTTGTTGCTCAGGTTGCCGATTGGTTAGAGCATGAGCGAGTCAAGAAGCAAAATAGGCGGTCGCGGAGGGTTCATTCGAGTAGGCGGAAACATGCCAAAGATGATGCTGACAAAACCGATACGCAGCAGCCGCCCGAGAGAGCCAGGGCGTACTCTATTGATTCCCAATCCAGTGACACATCTTTTGAAAGGCTGCAAAAGATTGTTGACGATGGCATGAGTGCTTTGGGTCTCAATGGGATCCCGCACTATAGCCCAAAGTTTGGGAAGAAGTTGTCACGGAAAAGATCCATCACTATGCACCGAACGATTTCATCTGACACAGAGTACCATGACGGCGATATTTTGGTTCCGGCATGTGACGCAGTTCTCGATAATTCCAAAACATTGGGCTATTCTGGGGGCAAACCTTCTTCCACGGATGACATTTCTTCTTCGAGCAAGAAAGAAGAGAAGGAGCGGAGAGCTTGGATCACCTTCAAGAACGAAATCATCAAGCTAGCTCATACCCTAAGGCTCAAGGGCTGGAGGCGTGTTCCTCTGGATAGTGGAGAGAGTATCGATGTGACGCGCCTTAGTGGAGCTTTGACAAATGCCGTCTATGTTGTTTCTCCGCCAGATAACATAACGACGATAGGCGAAGGATATAAGAAAAACCCCGCGAAACTATTATTGAGAATTTATGGTCCCCAAGCCGATCAGATCATTGACAGGGAGAACGAATTGAATGTGCTGAGAAGGCTCGCGAAGAAGAAAATTGGGCCTCGTTTGTTGGGGACATTTACTAACGGCCGGTTCGAGCAATACCTCAATGCCGTCACTCTTACAGCAGACGATATCAGAGATCCAGACACGTCGAAGAAAATTGCTAAGAGAATGAGAGAGTTACATGATGGAATAGAACTCCTAGATAGAGAAAGAGATGGCGGGCCTATGGTTCTGAAAAACTGGGATACTTGGCTCAATAGAACTTCACGTGTGATCACCTACTTGGATCGAAAAATCCTCTCCGGTAACCCTGGTCCCGTCAGGAGTCCAGCAGATACGTGGAAGCTGCGAGGTCTCGTCTGTGGAGTTGAGTGGGCGGTATTTAAGGAACTAGTGGACAAGTATCGGAGATTCTTGGTCGATTATTATGGCGGCTCCCGTGCTATACGAGAGAGTCTGGTGTTCGCACATAGTGATGTAAGAGCATATATCCAACTCAATATTCTGAAATGACATACTAATCTATGGTAGACTCAATATGGAAATATCTTACGCATCCGGCCCGACGATAAGATGTCACCTTTGCTTCAACCTAATTATGAACACAAGCAGCTCGTAGTCATAGACTTTGAGTACTCGGCTGCCAACACGAGGGGTTTAGAGTTTGCAAACCACTTCACGGAATGGTGTTACAATTATCACAACGAGGATGCCTCTTACGCGTGCGACACGACGATGTATCCCACGCCGGGAGAGCAGCGTCGTTTCATCCGGGCGTATGTCAACCACCGGCCCGAATTTCCACATCCGGGTGCTTCGACGCCGAACCTGACGCCCCTAGCGACTCCGACTTTACAGCCCAGTACGCCCGGCCTAGTAGCTACGAGTCTTGGCTCCACAAGCTCGATCCGGGAGTTCATGCTGGACTCACGTGCGCCACCGGGCGGCTGGAAAGAAGAGGATCGCCGCCGCGAAGAGCAGGCCGACACCCAAGTCGACGCATTGGTGGAAGAGACGCGTATCTGGCGCGTCGCAAACAGCGCCCACTGGGTGGCTTGGGGCATCATGCAGGCCAAGATACCCGGGTTCGACGAGAACGCTACAGATGACGTAGAAGGAGCCGTACAGTCGACAGCTGTGGCAGCACCGGAGGAGGAAGTAGGCGATGCGGCTGAATTCGATTACCTTGCGTACGCACAAGACCGCGCCATGTTTTTCCTTGGGGACTGCATCAAGATGGGCTTGATCACAGAAGAGGATCTACCCCAGGAGGTGAGAGCGAAGATCAAGTACGTGGATTCCGAAGAACTGTTTGTTGGTGGTGCGATGGGGAAGAGGTAGCTAGCACATATATGATTGAAAGGGGGTGTGGCAAGCGATGTATTGGCCTTGGAATGCGCGTTCAGCAGACGGACAGATAAGCAAATATACTGGGCTTTTTCTAGGAGAGGGAACAATACGGAAATAGTTTAGGTGTGGTACAAAACCTATTATCTAGTAGCGAGCAATATATGCTTACCCAGCGTATCTAGGTACTTGTCGAGTAACGAATGAATTCCAACTGAAAAATAAAATAGAAGCCAAGTGTATTATATCATGATTCTTTTGAGATGTCTTAAGACTTGCTCATTTTATCATAGTAGATAGCATAGCCCATCATCACATCCCCAAGTATCCAATCCGTATATCCCACATCTGTAATAGTCCACCATGTCCTCAGAAAACATCTCTCAAGATACATTTGTTACGATCCCCCCCTGAACCCCGATATATCAGCACATATCACATATCCATAACGCTCCGAAGGACTTACTTGATACTACGTCCGGTAAGCACTACATGCATCTGCACCCATCAGCCTCATCCGTTACGCACTCCGCTCCGAACGATTCGGGAGGAAGTACGGTATTATACTAACTATTACTATGGTACATACCTACCTACGATACCTACATCTAATTCATATATAACTACCTGGTTATATATATGTAGGTATATATATATAATTGTGAGGCACCTTACAAACAAACAGTCGCGCAATGTAACCCAGAAAGAGAAAATAAATGTCAAAGTCGGAGTTGAGAAACATCATCATGGATGTATGGTAATTTAGATACCCCCGGTCCCCATTCCTGGTGTCCGGGAATCCTTCTCGGGGAGTAAGTCGGTGTCGAGTACGTAGCTTTTATGTACACCGAAACAATTCCCGCAAAGAGGTAGCTAGGCTGGTTGACTGTCTGATGGCATCTCAATACCGGTTATTCCGAGATATTCACGATTTCCCTCTCCAGCTGTGACTGTTTGAGCAACTTATTACGCCCGTTATGTTTTGACACAAGGTAAAGGGGTTTCTGAGTAAAATATATAATATAAATATCATAATACCACTGATGTAAGCCACATGGCATTTACCCCTAAAATCTCACACAACAACCAATATTTCAACAACAACAATAATAAAGAGCCCACGGATAACGGAGCATTTCTTTTCTCCCAAAGCTTTTCGGAACAAACATTATCTGTATACAGAAAAAGGCATATTTTCAAACAACGAGCCCAACCAGAGGTATCTTTCCGTAGTAACGACGCGCAGCCAACGATATGATATAATATAATATGACAAGAGATATACGAATAGATAAATAAAAAGTATATAAGCAGGCTTTGCTCGCTTATTCGCAGGGATATCCAATCTCGTGACGAAGGGGGTATTGTGAAGAAGAAAATTAGTACAAATGATAAACGGCAAGAAAATACCAACGCCGTAGAAGTCCCTAGAAAAAAAGTAAGCCGTGAGGCTATCCCCTTCTTGTCCAGCCGCGAGGCTCCGTTCATCTTCGATAAGTACGGTATGAGAAAGCAGTAGATATTTTGTTTTTCTCCGTAAAGCGTGTTTCGTCTCATCGACAATGCCTCCCCGAGGCGGTGCTATGGTTACCCGCCGGTGCGTCCGAGGTAGCAATCGACTCAGTACCTCGGTCGTTTCCCCATAGTCGTGTGACCTTGTGCTTCTAATTCACCCGTGCCATAAAATTTTGATACCCCTTTTCTCTGCGTCCAGCAGCAAATTTTCCATTAAAGACTGTAAATCGAGTAGGCCTTGATGCCCTTCACCCTTTCGAAGCGGAACTGCGTTCTAATATCCCGATCCACGGGATAGCAGCTAGGTTTTCTCCATCTTAATAATTATTTTTAGTGTCTATGTCGGCGACCGGAAGAGGCGCCTTCTTGTCGATGCGAATGGCTGTGGCGGTGAGAGTGGTGATGATGATCTCGGCGTGATGCGTTCTCGAGTCCGCGTTCGAGATTCTCGACTCGTTGTCGGTAATCCCTTACGATGTCTCTAATGTGGGCGATGCGATCAAAATCGAGCTCAAGTTCGTCGATCTGAGCCATAATACCCTGAAAGCGCGCAATTTCAGCATCGGCATTGTCCACCAGGTTGCCTGCGTGGTCATACTGCTGCATAGTCACGACGGAGCTCTGTTCGCTGAGATACTCGATGCGCTGCTGGATCTGCTGCATCAAGCGGTCGAGGTGTCGTGCTAGCGCAGCGAGGCTAGAACTATCGAGAAGGAGGCGGCCTTGAGAAGAGGCCCGACTGGCAGCGCGCGAGGAAGAAGAACCGGCCTGAGCTTGGTGGTATCGGAGGAGATTTATTTCCTCTTCGGTCAGGCCCAATTGCGTGTCCTCGACGGCATTGGCTTCTGTGGACGGCATGGCTCTGCCGTATGAGGCGACGTATTTACTCGTGCGTCTACTCGTGCGTCTGCGTCTGCGTCTGCGTCTGCAAACTCGCTAGGAATCGAGCGTTGTGTAGCGTCGGTAGGGCAGGGGGTGAGAGCACGGCGGTGGTAAGCGGGGAGGATTCGGATGCAACGTCGTGTACTGCTGGTACGGTAGAGGTTGCGACACCGTTTTGTCAAGCGTCGTGTCGGCCGCGACTCGCGGCTTCATTGTCTCGAGATGGCGAAAGGACAGTATCGCAGCTTAGTGCAATGGCAGCATAACAAGATTGTGAGTTGTGAGGGGAGTCTGGAAGAAGTCTGGGAGGAACTCGGTTGGACGGGGGACTCGAAGGGGAAACTCTCTTGGAATCTCGAAGCTGGATAAGGGTTGGCAGGGTTTGTAGAAGATGGAGGGGAGATGGACGGCTGAATTTGGGACGGGCACCCTGTATCCAGGTTCTTTTTTTGAAATTTGGTGATACAACCGGCAAACGACCTACTCCCTCTTCGTCATACTATCTACCAGAAAATCTACCACACCCATACAAGGAGACCTTGTTGCTTTTACTCGGCGCAATCTGAATCCTTCGCGGGATAAGACAAGGAATGTTAGACGGACAAGACGGACAAGCCGTGTTTTGGCGGTCAGCTGCAGTAGTTTTCTGTCTTCTTCGTTTCCCCGCAAAAGAAAAAAAAAAGGGTATCCTCAGTTGTTTACGAAACGGTGGTCATATCTTCCTTCGATAACTTTGTGTTACCCTAAGATGGGAGCCCGGGGATGAGGTGATGAGGTGGTGAGGTAATTAAGAGAGTTTGAGAACCGAGAAACAACTATGTAACGTAGAAGTGAATGTAGATGTAGACAAGAGCTAAAGGTTGTCGTAAGTTGGTTCGACGTTTTCAAAAAATTAAAACCCTTGTGAACTGGCGGGGCCAATTGTAACCTGGGCCATCGGAGCATTTAGAGAAGATCCATAGGTCACTGGTCTAAATAAATATCGACATTTTTCAGATTAGCATCTCTTGAATGTTGAATAACCTACCAAGTAAGACCTGGTAAGTATTGAATATTTCAGGACTAATGTCCCACCTGAGCCGAATTGCTGGTTTCCCTTATCGTTACAACGCGCCAAATGATACAAATGGCACGTTCCCCTGCGTTGAAAGGGCATGGATCTCGCGTCGATCAGAGGTTGAGTTAGCGCTTATAAGCAACCCATGAGCACCCGTGAGCATTGGGAAGAAAGATGGAATCGTGTAATGAAATTCCATCTCCGAGCTTCCAATAGCTCAGTAAGAGATTTTAAATTTCCCCTGTAGTTGTAGAATTGCCACTTTTATTTTCTTTTTATTTAACGCACTGCCTCATTAATAAGAATTTATGGGTAGAAGGTGGAAAAGTTGTAAGCGAAATGTAAAGTGTAAAGTGCAATAATATTAATTCTTGTAGGGCTAAAACTCCGGCTGAAGTAACGGTATAAATAAGGTTAGAGGTAGGTACAGTTGGTACAGAACCTTATGAGATATAAGGTAATCGCAGTGTGTACCTTTTATTTATCAGTGGAATTACCGACGTCATAAGTTCTTAATATCTTTCTAACATGTACCAACATTAAAGTGCCAACATTAAACGTAAAAGTATCAACGTACTACATAACAAGGTCCAACTTGAGCCTCATTGACATATCGACATAATACATAAAATATATAATGGTTACCTTAGTTACCTACCTATCATCCTCTCGGTCATCCCTCTGCTATAGCACATAGGGCTTAGACTGACTCGGCTTCTCTGTCTAGTTAGGGTCTGCATCGCGTCTGCAGTTCGCTTCGCATATATTAGGCCGTGATCTACAATGCATTGCAGAACTTCCCCCCGGCATGTCTCGATCGAGAAGCGGGCGTCAAACCTCCGCCATATTCATAGCAACAGCAGACTAGATGTCTACAAACCTATCTAGATCGCATTGCGCAGTTACAATATAGACTTAGGTTACTGATTTAGACCACTAACGAGGAAGAATGCTCGGCCTTGAGCTACATCGCCCGGAATCAAGGGCCTGAAGAGATTTGGAGGAATGAAAGGCCCTGTAGCTCGTACGTTCTCATCGCGACATCGTAGTTAGATCGCACTTATAAAGCTGCAGTGTCCCATCATGCCCACGCGTTCTAGTCGTAGAGATGAAGGAAACGCCACAGACGTAAGACTCGGACACTTCTTCTCGATAGTAACGTTGTCCCGTCAGCGAGATGTTACTTAGGAAGCTTCCATGCCTCTTAGGCCTCTGCTCCTTAGCCGCAGGGACAATTCTCCAAAACGGTCAAGTGAGAATCACGGATTATCCTGATACTAAAATAGATATATCTTCGTACGACTTCCAGACCTACGATGCAAACGCTACCGAGCTGTCTTATAAGGGGAGATGGGACTCTAAGAAGGTTTCCTGGTGGTCGTAAGTTGTTAAAATTCATAGTTGAAACGACACGATACGTATATGAGGGACCTGACAGAGTGACGGTTGAACTAGAGCTCCTGGACTTGTCTTTGGCTTCACAGGAGATACTGTTGCCATCACATTCGGAGAGCTAACTACGGATACGACACTCATCGGATATCGAATAGGCGGGATGGATTGGACTTTCGGTAAGTATAAGAGCACATCGCCCCGATACCTTATACCCCTATTAGTATGATTTCAAACCTCTTGGCTTATAGTAGGTAGCTAACACGTAGTAGTAAGTAGCATAATACTCAATATAACCCATTATCTATTTCCATGCTATTGTCTAGCTCTCGGCCTAAGAAGCACGTTCAACTACCATGAAGGAAGAATTAGAAACTAAAACAACCCCCAGACCAACGTAACAGCAAGCACCACACACCTCCTAGTCTCGCCCTCAACTCCCGGCATCAACGAGACTTTCCCCATCACCCCCTTGACCTTTGAGCTTCGCGTCACAAACTGGGCCTACGGCGTCCAAATCGACAAAGTGCACGTAGCAGCCGGCGAATCGCTGATCAAGATCCCGCCGTACAAGCGCACGGTCGAGTTCATCGGCGACAGCCTTTCGGCCGGCATGTACACGAGCTACGAGGGCCTGTCTAGCTTCGCATATGGCGTCGGTGCCGGCCTCGGCGACACCGAGTATTATGTTACCGCGTACCCGGGCATCTGCGTCTCGGACCAGGACTGCTGGGGGAATCCGCGCGGGCAGGCCCACCAGTGGTTTTACGCGTCGGATACGAGCTGGCGGGCGTCGCAGATATGGGGAGGTGCGTTTTTATTCTCCTTTTCCGGCTACTCTCATACATATAACTGTCAAGACTTTCTTTATAGTACCTACTATAAGACTATAAGTGGCGGGGGTATGACTGTTCGGTGAATACGTCGTGTGCTAATAGAGGACTCCTGTGGCAGACGAGCCGGAGCCGTGGGCCTTTGAGAAACAGGAGACGACTCCGGACATCGTGATTATCAACCTCGGCACCAACGACAACAACGCCGCAAATAACGTCAGCACGGAGACGTACGTCGACGCTTACAAGAAGCTAATACAGGGCGTTCACGGGAAGTACCCCAAAGCGCAAGTCGTCGTGATGGTACCGAACCCCTTTTCCCCCTTTCCCCTTTCCCCTCTACTCTCACCTGCCTTTCCTTTTTAAAAAATTCCCACGCCATTCTGAGATACTAAAACTTACCGTCTCATTAGCAACTATGGATGGGCTTCTACTCCTACGGCAACAGCTACCAGCAAAACTTAGGCTACGAGCAGGAACTCAAGGATATCGTGTCCTACTTTAACTCGGACGAATACCTCTCCGCGCCCGCGATATGGGACGGTACGACGAACACGACGACCGTCCTGGACACACCGAGCGAGTCTTTCGTGCATTACTTTAGTACCAAGGGCATCAGTAAGTTTTCCTTGGCCTATCTATCTATCTACCTACCCATCAATATTCTCTCTGTCTAGGTGGTAGGGTACCTTGGGAGGTGTGTGCTAACATATCTCGCCTTCTCCAGTGCAGCATAATGATATCGGACCGCAATGGCATCCGACGGACGTCGGTGCTATAAAGGTGGCTAGTCACTTGACACAGTTCATCAAGTTGACGTTTGGTTGGGAACTGGTCGCTACTGGTCCCGAGTATGTATCCCCTTTCATTTCCTGTAGTTTCTCTATTTGGCCTCCGATGTTCTGGTATGGGTCTAGCTTTCGCAGACTCTCCCTTGCCAAGCTATGGGCTCTTACCTGGGCTTGTTTTCAACATGAGCTTTTGTTAGGTAGTGGCTAACTGTCTGTTGCGCGTAGGATATTCCACGAGACGCTGTACTGGAACGACCAGCAGAACTATTAGACTAGCAGTTGTTTACTAGGATACATATCATTGGCAATTTACAAAGGACTTCGAGATAGGCATTAGGAATACATTAGTGATATTTAGTTTTATTTATCTTGATTGTATATATAAAATAGTTCAGGCTAGTGTCAACAGGATAGAGCTTTGGAAAACATTAAGCTTGGGTGACATTCATGTGCACTTGCTGTACTCTTTTACTTCTATATTGACTATTGGTCAATTTACCCTATATGAGAGCGACTAGGAAAATATATGGAATTATATAATACAAACTTACCATTTCTCGCCTGGAAGACGTTGAAACACAATATACGGACGATATATTACAGTATTACAACTATACTTACCTAAGGTAAAAGTATAGGCTAGTTACTCCAACTATACGCACGATGTATAATCCGGCAAGCTCACTACATCGCACTGATAGGCGACACAAGGGACGTCAAGTTTCTCGCGTAGGTCGTATCGCCGACCGGCACGCATGCGCATCCGTATCCGTAGACTGCCGCTGAAGAATTCATGCGGGAACGAAGTGCTGCAACGGGGCCTTACCGTGCCGAAACAAAGCTACCTAGCATGACGCCATCACGAATATGCCCTTGCTTCTACATTTCGATCGTCATAGTTACTCCAGAAGCCCAGGATGCTTCACGATACGCGTGTGACAACCTCGCGGATCAAGCCCAACGCCGTTCCCCAGCCTTCTCTACGCAAAGGTGGAGTCCCGTGCGGCTCTTCGTGCGGAACCCAGCGTGAACCGGCGCGAACTGACCTCTGAACCCGGCCCTATAAGACTTCGGAAAATATCCGATCCGCGACGTCTGCGACAGCTATCGTGTGAGCTACCTACCCCTGGGGAGATCGTCCAGGGTACCTATCTTTCACAGTCCGAATTTGTGGTCGACGGGCCCCCGCCTACCCACGCGCATTGACGAAGCGGTAAGTTCCTTTTCCCATCCCTTTCCCCTCCAGCACGCGTCGAAGATCGAAGCTGGACCAGCTAGAGCTATTCATGCGACGCGAAGGAAAAAGGGTCTGGCTAGAACCGGCTATTCGAGCTAAGCGAAGCTTAACGCGGGAGGGAGGAAGACTGCATTGATCTGAGGCAGGGAAATAGAGTTAGCAGGGCTGAAACCGCCGTCGAGGACAAGGGTCTGCATGCTTTTCTGGGAGTTGATTATTATTATCGTCTACATTATTCGAGCATCAAAGTCGTCCGACGAGTGGCGGCTGAGATGCGCGAATCGCATGAATTGGAAGCGGAAGCTGAGGAGCGAAAACAGAGTCTTGCTGCGTTCATGCGGGTTTAGCGAGCGGGCATAAGAAATTCACCGCCAGGCACTTGCTTGACTATGTACATAGATGATAGAAGCCTAGGATTCCGGTTCGGAAAGGCTCCCAGGTGCCAGGCGCGCACACCAGCCTCCCAGTTTACGACTTGAGGTTTGCCAACGCATACCGATAGGCGACTATTGAACTTATCGCCTATTGCATTCCTAAACAGGCAACCCTTTGAAGATGGCTATCTTTTCTTAGAATAGTTATTAAGAAAACTCTCACCGTCAGCAGGTATTACTAAAGCGGTGGGAGTTCCCGAGTAACTTAATTCGATGCCAGACCGCTCTCTACGTAAAATGACCGGGATCCAGATAACCCTGGTACGGGTAGATCTCGAGCCGTGGATGACGAAACGCTCGGCCACGATACCCCCTTGTCCAGCCTTTTCCTGAGCACTGGGAAAGAGACGGTTCTAACATCGCCATAGTCATCATCGTCGACTCACTAATACGGGCTATCAAATCAAAGTGTTTGGGCGATGGAGCGTTGGCTCCGAGAAGAGGCGACTTAGCAGGGAGAAAATGTCCCGTTTGCATACTCCAACGATTCGGAATTTTCCGCTCACAGAGACTCATTACTCTCTTAGGCTCCCAAATATTCGGACGGAAATAGTTGAGTCGGTCCTTCTAGAAGCTGGGACGGTTGCAGAACGGAGCAGCACGCGCAAGTCTTGTGACCTAAAAGATCACGGGTTATTGCTCGCTGTTCCCGCGAGCCACGTTGGCAGAGTTGCGGACGAAACACAAAACACTCAGTTCCATCAGCTACAACGCTGACTGGATGCGTCGTCGGAACCTGGCCAACCGAACCGTGGGGGAACGGGAAAGGCCCCCTTGCCCCTGTGAGATACCAAGACTTTGAAACCAAGATAGTTGCAGATCTCGAGGATTAAGTGACCGCTTTTTTTTATTCATTTATTCTTTATTTTGGGTAGTTAATACGCAGGTACCTATGTAGACTATGTTAAGTAGACTCGGTGAGATTGAGATTCGTATCTTCGCCATCGTCAGCGTTCATGCCGCCTTTTTGGCTGACGGCGGTGTCAACGGCTCGAGGCTAGCCCTGCAGAAAACGTACGATTTGCACAGATTAGATCGAGGCTACCCGAATAAGGGTTTACCGGCCGATATGATGTGTTATATCGCAGCTCGCGCTAATGTAATCGACGGCTGTCCCGGATATCCGCAGGGTGTGGCCGCGTCTAGCGGTGGAGCTCTAGCCGACGCAACGGCGCTGCTGCTATAAGATTAGGTGCTGTGCCGAAGCTGCGGTAAAGCAGCCGATCTATTCAGTAGTACCGGGGACTGGTCTAATCCACGGACATTACTTCTAAATTTGGGAGAAGGCTTGAGAGAAGGCTTACTTGGTGACAGGTGTTCGCCATGTTTTTTGTTAGTAAACTTGAGTCAGTCTAGTATTTTTGTCTCACTTTATTGACAAGCCAACCCCGCGCGCTGACCGGGACTTGGATAATAAGCAAATTCGAAGGAGTCGGCCGAGAATAGCGTCTCTCGCGCCGAGAAACGCCAGCGTGTCTTCCTTGTTCGTTTTGTTGGTGACGTGTGACGCGAAAGATGGAAAGGTGCATGATCTCGTAGAACGAAGAGCGAATCAATAGAAAGAAAAGAAGCTAAAGACTTATTAAAGGCCGCTAAGACCGCTGTAAGTCCCAAGCGCCTGTATCGGGGATGTGGGGCATTTTTATTAATCCATGCGATCCGCGCTGTTGCGTTTGGGGGATGTGTTGCAGGGATTTGATTGGAAATTTTTGAATCTGCATGTGCATGTACACATGTATAGTACGAAATACTTTATTATATATATCTTATCATTAAGAGACTTATCAGTTGTGAGTTGAAGATATTAATACTTTTATATCTGAGACTTGAAATATAAATATTTTAATAAGAAATAAAGTATTGATAGGTTAATCATGTTTAATATTAGCATTCGTAGATAATTATACGGAATACGTACCTGGGTTAAGTACTTAGTAACTTATCGTAATGTCTCCTATATTTACATACATCTTAGGGACGAGGGTGACCACTGACCACTGAGAATATTTGCTTATATAATCTAAACGCCGATGGAATACTTGTGCCCCCCCCCGCTGTTTCTTCAGCAATTTCACCAAGCCAAGCTCACCAATCGAGGTCTAGATCACATTAGCGTAAACAAGACGACTCCTTGTTTCGATAGATCTTCAAGTGACGTAGGCCAAATCTAGGCTATAGAAGTTTCAGAACATATATATTATTTTTAATTTTAGTCATAATTCAATTCAATGCTACATCGAAAATCCGCAATAGATCTAGTTAAGCACTCAAGCCCCCTAAACAATAACGCATGAGCAAACCCTCGTTTTGAGGATGACTTACCTAGGTACGGAACTAATTAATGCCTTACGCGGAATCCTTGATGGAAATATTCTAGGAGCTTTTCTAACTGCAGGGTTTATGTATGTTAAGACTACGATGAGGCGGTGGCTGTACTCTGGAACTGGGACTTCGGATCTTTATGTGAATTAAGCGACACTCAAACGGTCTGGATGGGGTGGAGGATCTTGACGATCATCTCAGCCGAGAGTGGTTCCCGATGCAGGACGCCAACCACAGACAACCCCTTGCAGAAGAGGCGGTGGATCATGAATACCAAATGGGTTTTGCTGGGAGTCTTGTATATATATGTATATATGTATTGGTTAACAGGTTAACAGCGGCTCTAAAAGACACTGTTGTCGGTCATATGATGCGTCTACTGTCGAATAATAATTAATTAAAATCTTAGGAGGTAGCTAAGTTACCGGGAAATAAAGCATTTGTTGCACTCCACATCGGAGCTTGAAGGGTTTAATTGACTCGACGATATTAATGACATATGCTATGTCATCATTAACGGAAAGGCAATTAATATATCATTAAAACCTACCGCTATGGTCCCGAGAAAGGAGAGCTTCGCTTGGCAAGATACTATATTTATATTGAAAAAAAGGTAAAGGGCCATTTACATAGTAATTAAGCGTAATACGACATCGCATCTATATAGGCAAGTATGAAAATGCTTATGTGTAATGTCAACCTCCTTTAGCTGTTTTTTTAACGGTCATACGCAGACTGTATGTAGTAGTAATTACACGTAGAAAGATAACTTACGTAGAATGGCGAGAACACCGACATAATGTATGCTACCATATAATAGGAGGCGGTGTCAGCGGAATTGGTAGCCGACCCAATGGAAACCTGGTCAGGGGTGATGCAGCAAATGAGGTCCTGTTGGGATTACGACATGGCTCGTCCCAGAAGGACGGGAACTGCGGATAATTCAAATGCATGCCATGGAAGATCAGTCGGCGTCGTGTTAATTAATCGAAAAGCAGAAGAAGAAGCATGTAATACCGCGGATGTACGCCTGCTACCACCCTGCAATCCGGTTGCAGCCTACGAGCCTACGAGCCGACCAGGAGGTCAGATCCCTGGGTTGGCAGAAAACTACGGTATGCAGGAAGATGCGAATTGTTCACATCAGGTGATATGTCGTGTAAGTCGATAATGCAACTTGATGTGTTCGCCGCCTGCTGCTTCCCGCCGGGCAGATTTGCCTCTTTGGATTCCAGACGGGGTTCGACAGCAACGTCATTGGTCTATCGGCCATGGAGATTGGCGGGCGCGAGACCCAATGAGCTGGGCTCTCAATGGACAGGTGATGCGGACAGCCGAAAGGGCAGACGTCCGACGCCTAGGACAGGTAATCGGCAATCTTGTTGGCTAAGATGGGGAGCCGGAACAGCTTTATTGGCGACGGGTTAATGGAATATATCGTTAAGATCGAATAGGATTCGAGGGCCGAGGCTGCGGCACCGAAGAAGAGGGTGTCATCTGTGGGATCTGATCAACAGAGCTTACTGTTCTCGTTGCGTTACCCGGAAGCCCGACGCTTTGGGAAGCGCGTAACGGTTTCCTGGGATCGAGGAGGCATAGAAAGTTGATTTAAGAGGATGCTTTATTCACGATTTTGGTCTATAGGTACACATAGAGGGTCAGATAATACTATGATAAATCATGCGGTCAAGGAAATTCTGTGTATATAGGACTATGTGAAATATCACGATAGAGAAAAGGAGTTTAATTAGATAGGTAACTACTTCTTAAGATATTCAGCACTTCCAATTAAATGATAATGCAAAGTGTAGAAACATAAGATATAAGAAAATCCATAGATTGAGGCGTCTGCCATCTCACCTGCAGACGCGGTAACACAATCATCTATAGTACATTATTACATATAATAAGGAGGTGAGCGATAGGTAGGGAGTAACTCATGTAGGTAATTAAAGGTACGATATTACGAGGGCGAGTACGGTAAGAGAGAGAGCATGGACATGCTAGGTACCTCTCTCATCTCAGCATGATCAACATTGCTGATGAAAATCATCAACTAACTACCTCTTTACCCCTGCCCCCCCTCCCCGCCCATTCGGGCCAGTCCTCGAAAGTCCCCGACGGAAATGGAATTCTCATCTTCCTTATTACATAGGTAGTGTACACACATAGTGTACATACATAGTGTAGGTACATAGGTGTAATTCGTACACTACAACGGCCCCCACAGAAAAAGCCTCATATGCCTGGCATTGCCAAGACACATCCCGACTCCATCTACCACGCGACTGACCAGGGCTAGGCCCGTGATCTACGAAACGCTATTATGAAATAGGCACTCACCTACGTATTTCCAGCTCGCCTAACCCCGTAGCGCCGCATTACTATGCAATGGGAGTTGCTCCAAGCTGGTAAGCTAGAAAAATGGTGACGACGGTTGGGTGGTATTTTGCCCTCTTTTTTTCCTTTTTCTTTTCCGTTTCCCCCCTCCCAAAAACGTAATTGGAACTTCTGATTACGGCTACGAGGCGATTGGGGACATCCGCTTGCGGTAATCGTATAGTTACACGCTGCGGGCCAGCAGCATGTTGCATTTTTTTCCTTGGATTTTGTGTGGGTTGGGTCACAACGCGGTCACAACATGTGTGCTTCGCAGGTAACTAACGGAACGTGATGGTGTCGCAGCGCCAAGGGGGATGGAGAGGCTGGTGATCTAGAAAAGAAAGAAAGAAAAAAAAACTATAGTTACACACTTTCCTCGCCTGCTATATACATACCTGGCCGGGTTTATGTAGGTACGGATAGTACATACTTGGGGGTGATACCGAGATCAGCAAGATGCTAGATGGAGTGATGCTAATGCTACACTCTAAAACATCGTAGCCCCGCAAGAGAATAAACACTTAATATACTAAGACTAATATATCTCCATCATATAATATCATCTCTTTTAAGTTGACTTCGGCCCTATAATACGCAAGTGATGAGCGCCGCAATAACTACATACACGTAGAGAACTTACTACGTCTGTCGTCTTTTACCTACAATGGGTATGTGCGCGCAGACCAAATTGTCTGAGCGTTGAAACCTCCGTTCTATAATAGACCTTTATAGACTAGGGGTCATTTGATTCGAGGCGCCAATCTCTTTCTATGCTTAGTTGGCGAAGATCCCTTTCTAGGCCAGCGCTATGTTCTCTTAGACGATGGGATATTCCCTCTGTGTTACTGTACGTAGTAATAAGGCTTGCTTGACTCCGGTTCTTTGGGGTTTCACCCCTGCGTAAATCTCAAAACAAAAGGTTAGAGCTTAGGAGCTTAGGAGCCTTAGAGCAAACTTCCCCACGCAGGGGGTTGCTCTCTTCGACATCGAAACAAGGTTACCTGCATACTAATGTTCCCTTCTCCCAGCCACAGCGATGAAGGAAGAAAACCCAGTATATGTAGTGTATGCTTTATCGAGTAATGATCCTTGTCTTGCTAGTGGTCTGGTTAACAAGTCGAGATCGAGATTTAGAGCCACAATCACAGGAACAAGATTGCCAAGAGCACCTTTTTTGATATTTCTCTTAATTCTGCTTCTTCTCACGACTTGCCTAAAGCTAAGCCGGTTTTAGTCATCTAGATTCATCTTCCATCATACAGAAGCTATTTCGCCCGTCTCTCCACCGAGATCTGCGTTGGGTTCGACCCGTTGCTCTGTTGGTACAGTTTCTCATAACACCCACCCCCCCTTTCTTTCTTTCTTTGCAGTCCTCGTTCTATACATTAGGACCTAGATAAAAATATCCAAGAAAACAATAGTAGTAGTAGTAATAATAATCATCCGTAGAAAACCGTGAACGAGGGTAAGATTGCTCTTGTTTTTGGATGTTCCAACGTATATCCCTCTCAGTATGATTCGTAAACGCCGGTGTAAATGCCCCGAGTTGGTAGTCCGATGCGCCTCGTCAATGAACAGTCACATCCTGCGCAGATAAAAATGCAACCCGTACCTATCCCGCAATTCCCAATCCCAGTAAGCAAAAGGCAGACCGCCTCTTCCGCCAACTCATCCTAACAGTCGAAAAATATACGGTACTCGTTTCATATAGGTAATTTCAGGTAGGCGAAACAATGTCGGAAAGCGAAAAAAAATAAAACAGCGAGTGCTTTTGAGAAACGAAGGCGGCCGTTCATGTTCGTAACGTAGCCCCCTGGTTGGGTATCAAATGCATCCTCCATATCCCTGACTATCTTGGTCCTTTCCAACCTCCTCATCGGATAGCCGCACAAGACTAAGTCCACATTAGGAATAAAACAATAAATAATAACAGCGTCGAATGTTTTATATATATGTATATCGATTCTGGGCTGGTGCTTTAGTGGTGAGAGTTGCCGTTGTCGTGACATCCGCGCTCGTGCCTCTTCATGTTGCTTCGTACGCTGAACGCTTTCCCGCAGCCCGCGTGAGGGCACTTGAAGGGCTTCTCGCCGGTGTGCGAGTGGCTGTGAATTCGTAGCGAGCTTGGTCTCGAGAACGCCTTGTTGCAGGTCTGGCAGATGTAACGATCCTGTGACTGCGGGAAAGAAGCCGCCGAGGATGGCGAAATGTAATGATGGTGTTGCCACGGGTTCGCCCCCTGAGTTGGCGCTAGAGACACCGTTACTGGTAGAGGAGGAAATGCCTATTGTCTGGTAAGCTTATGTCTTTTTTTACCCACCGAACCGCGAATTAGACAAACCTGTGGCAATGGCCTCTGATAGTAGAGTCCCGAGATCTGCGGTTGAGCTGGGTGAACTCCTGGGAGAGTGCCGGGATAGTAAGCTGGTACTGGCGTCTGACCTAGGTATGGCGCAGCAAAAGCGGGTTGCGAATATGCCGGAGCTTGCATGGACATACGAGGTGCCACCGCTGCCGCCATCTGATGGCGGTGAACATCTTCTAGTGGCGGGGTCGTCTCGTAATAGTAGTTTGGTCCCGATACAACAGAAACCGATCTCGTCGACGGTGAGTTGTAGCCATCAAAGGACGCATCTGAACTCATAGGGGGAGTAGGAGGTAAAGCGGCTCGAGGAGCGCTGCTCGCACAGTGAGCCGAATTCGGTCGAGTCTCTACCTTCACTAATGGTGCTGCCCCGGAGTTTAGTACGGCGCCTTTCATAATGAAGTTGTTTAACCCGTTCGTACCTTGCTGAGACTGAGGCGACTGCTCAGTCGTTGGTGATCCACCGTCTGCCATTACTAATAAGTTGGAGATCGAGGGAAGAGAGCATTTCGAGGTTTCGTCCATTGGAGGCGAAGGGGGTGGTTGTGGATATCCGTACTGAGCACCAGGCTGGTTCGTGTATATGGCTGTAGCCATCGTGTATATTGTAGTATTATTTTTATGTATGTTGGCGAAACTATTGTATAACTCAAGACTCTTGAGCTGTTGTTGATATTAGGAACTAGTTAGAGATTTTGTTCGACGATAGTCGTATATATTAAGCTGCTGTGTTTATTCGACAAAGATATATTGGGCTCCTGCAATCCTCGGTATGTAAAAGGCGATTAACGATTCGTAGTACGACGAGCTTGAGATTATGTACGGGGAGTGTGGATACTTAAGTATAGACAGTAGGTGGTGGGCGAGCTACGAGGGTTGACGATGTATCTATCAGATCTTCCCGGGAGGTATAATATAAACGACGATCAAGCGTCAATCCATACAATAATCCCTGGAGAACAACTGTCACAAATTGGGTGTGGGTCACGGCAGACCTGGGTTGAAATCAACAGTAGATCGCCGGTATCGAAGGTACTCCTGCATCATCGGCAAGTACTTATAGCGCCCCCTATTAATGGACGAGCCCTGATGTATTGGAGTTCCATGTGCGGCGATGGGACTCTGGAACTGCTTATGCTTGCCCGCCTCTTTTTAGTGGTCCCAATTCCCCAAGTATGGGCTGATGCAAGGGTAGTAGTACGTACAGTATGTATTATAGTGTAGGTAGGTAGGTGTAGGTAGGTATGTATGTAAGTGTATGTATTGATGGGAGAAGCTATGGTGTGTAGTCAGGTAGTGTAAGTGTAGGTATGTATTGTATGTACATACATGTGGGTGAGATCGAAGGATGGACGTAGGAGAACGGCTCCGCTGGGATTCTCGTGGGATCGCTGAAGGTCAAACGGCTACTGGCTACGCCTATGCACCGGCAAGGGTCTAATAAGACGTCCGTGTGCGTGGTCTTCTGCACTCTGGACATCCCCGGTGGACCGTTTAAGCTCATCCCTTCTTCTCCTTCTGCCTCCTCGCTCTAAAGTCTTGGCTAGTCAAGGCTAGCACGGTCGTCGAAATATGTGGTTATGTGGTTATGGTACTGCTGGGTGCATGGCGCATCCGGGTCACCATTTCCCCTTAGGGATATATTGCCGTCCGGATAGTTGGTCTGTGACCCCTGTCTTGGTACACTTCGGACAAGGGGCCTGGTTTAGTTCATGTGGAGGTAGGGGACTTGAGACGACTAGAGACGACAGTAGGCTTGAGGTTAGTGCCGCAAGCTTCGTTGATACTATCTTTTTAAGCCCTGCCGAGTCTGTGCTGTGACCGGATTGTCAAGCTGATCTTATGCCGTTCCTCCCCACGAGCCCTGACAACGCACACGCTGCAACGCTTCTCCGTGCGTCTGTCATTCTTTTTCGGATGACAGCCTCTCTTGCCCCAAAATGTTTTGATCTGTTTAGACCATGCTGCAGATTGTCAGATCTATCTATCCGCGAGGGTAATGTTTGGGCTGACCTATTCGGGAACAGCGGCAACAAGGCAACAAAGCATTGATCAAGACTTGCAACAAGGAGGCATTCGGTAGACAAGTTGCCGGTGCTTGACAGACGAACCATCCGTGCACCCGCGTATCAATGTTTATGTGTTTATCTTGTATAGTTACCGGTAGTTAATTCATATTTGCTCAAACGGTTGATCCTAGTATATGGGTATTGGATAATGGGTAATGGGCAATAGGCAATAAGCAATAGAGAGCCAGCCGGTCAAGACAGGTAAGGTAAACGATGTCCTAAAAGAGTTCTCACGTGTTCGTTCATGGGTTCCCGTAGGCGGTCTACGGAGTTTAAAGCGGTCATGATTCTATCTAGCTTGATCGATATCAATATTAATAGGATCTATTGGTTGCAAATCAGACCACAACCGCCCGCATCTGCCAGGTCGTCATAGGACACTAAAAGTAGGATGCTGAGATGAGCCTTACCTGTGGGATGGGAATATCCGAGAAGAGGGTCTTCGCATCTCAAGCTCCGTAGACGGTACATAGTAGACCTACACTACGAGACAGGTCCATGACCAGCTCCATAAAGGGACCACTTAATCCTTGGCGATAGGAGATAGCCTCATTAAACAAGACTTTATGCTTTCATACGTAATACCCTTAGATCCATAGACACCGCCTAGCTCTAGGAAGTAAGATTTTAAATACCTAGATAGCACGGTAGTTAATGAGAGGGATTGCATATATCGTCGACATTAGTTTTTACCGATCTGCTAGTAAGATCTGGGCATAGTTTCTAGGAACAGTTGAAGGATCATAACGATATGACATCGTCAATAATATATTTTTTTCAAGAAACATTCGGAGGCTTTTTTTCAGAAACGAATGCCAATCTCAAATGATCGGCAACTTGGCTCCAGGAATCTGCTTCGCTTAGGCATAGTGGTCTGTGTCTAGCAAGGGTTTATTTTGCCCTGGGACTACCATTTTAGTTTTTCTTCGGTCATGCCTTTGACTTTTAACGTGGTCTATGATCGACAGCCTACTCCCCTTTGGGACGATACCAGGGCTCTTTTATGTGTACTTGGACCTACGAATCCCTGTCTCCCTGACACTCTAGCTCCCAAGGCGAGACACCCCGTAAAGAGATGGCATAAAGGAATAAACCAGTTCCGAGTTATCTGGCACGAGCCAAGTTACTACAGAACTTAAACTGTCTTGAATTCTAACTAACTAGGTAATTAACACTTATGATACTTGATAGATTGAATTGAGACATATGCAAACTCCATCTGGTATTCATCTAGTATTGTGATATTCCATACTATGTAGTTTAGATGCCGGGACGCCGAGCCGTTGCATGAATCTACATATGTATACGCTCGTAAAGAATAACGGCCGTCAACCTGTTAGCCAAGAGTAAAAATTAGTTGCCCTTGCGATTGCGATTGCGCCGCGTCATGCACTCCGAAGGCGGCTTCTAGATTTTGCACTTATTAGAATTGTTAACGAATAAGCTATAAGTGGGATTGACAAGTCCAGACGACGGGGAGAAGCTAGAAACCACGTGAGGTCTTAAGATGGCTTGCTTTTTTTTCTTTCTTTTTTTCTATTAGCTTCGTGTACGGATCACTTGAAAGCATGGAAACTGAGTTGAGGCTTGCATAACGGCGCGCTAGATGAACGCCAGAAGAACGCCAGAACATATTAGTATATCATTAGTATATCAGTAACTATTATAATAGTACCCAACCACTATCAATAGTACTTACGTAGGCCTAGCTAGACTTTTCCCCTCTCCTTATTTGTTATATAGGTACCCTCTCCATGCCTAACCTATGATACGAACCTATGATATGATAAGGCCTAACGCTATTGTGTACTTGCGCCCAGCATAAGAAGTTGGTCAGATGAATTGAATTTGATGCTTCTTGGAACTTAAAAGGAACTACTATCGAGTCGGGTTTTTACCACGCGGTAATTATTTTCTTAGCGCTTGCGAGTAATACATATATAATAATATTAATTTCACACTACTGTACATACTATGTACGGATTACACGTGGAAGTACTTCATGTACGAAAAGGGGGTATATATAGCACGGACATTATATACGTTTAAGCTTCATACTTACCAAGTAGCTAATCAGTTTTTCCATATGCCGTAGAAGTGTACTATATTAAAAGCTTCCCCTCTTAAGCATATGGCTTCGTTTCAGTATTGTGCTCAACTTAATTAGTACGAATTACATATGATGGTCTTGATCTAAGAAGGTATCGTGAGGCTTAGATTAAGTGTAGTACATACCTACCTACATACACCAGGTTAAACTACATAGATCTCGAAACAATAGATTAAATATGCTCAGCTAACTCGAAATGGTCATTTAAAAACGGAACTACCTCGGAGGCTCTAGCTTAATCCCTGTCCATGATGATAATATGTTGGCGTTCTAGGTGGGTAGCAGAACAATCTACACGCTCTCCCCCGCGAACATACTACCAAACAACATGTAAATTGCTTTATCCACTCTGTTGGTTTTCTCAGAGTTATTATAACTCACCCCACCCCATCTGACATGGAATACCTGGGGATGTTCTCTAAGCGATGGACACTAAGGCAACTATGCTGATCTCATGTCACCCGGCTCCCGCAAGCTACTCCCCCGACGGCGTCCTAGGACCCATGTTGCCTATGTCGATCTCGACCCCTAATCCAAGCTTTTTGATGAGCAGTCACGTTTTTTCCTTCGGATCACTTTCCTGGAATCGATGTCATCACCTTCCATAGCAACAATATTATAACTTTATCGTTTACATATTATATTCTCTGCCATATTAGGCATTCTTTTTGTTTCATGTAGTAGCATTTTTTTAGATTTAATAGATGAGCAACTTAACTAGGAAATCGAGGTTTCATGGGTCATTGAAACGGTAAATATACATGTCTCTTTGATTCTAGGCTTACGTCTACGATGCTTTTTTTTTCTTCTTTGCCTTGTGAATAGATATATGTAGAATATAGGGTGCATAGACGCGTCGCGCATTCGCGATCCTTTTGTAATAAGATACGACGTTAATGATGAGGATGCTGGGGTTATAGATGACTCTGATCGACAGATTTTCCAGTCAGCCCTACCGTGTTCATTTATTAAAAAAGACTTGGTCCTGCCGGCACATTGCCGTTTCGTGACACCGACGCCCTTCATAATGTAAGAAGCTCTACACCACATCGTAAACTTTTCAATATTCTCTATGTCATCACGTTGCACTGAGATTGAAGCTACTTGCGGCTATGATAATTCTTCCAGAACCCAGTACAGTTAAGTCTATCGGGGTTGATAACCGGATTCGTTCAAGACGGGGTAGTGAGATCGACGATCTGGGCAAGGGCCATTGATCCCGAGCCATGGAAGTCTTTCCCATCAATCATCCATTTTTGTCCTTACGTTTTCCCAATCAGGATATGCACTCACGAGATTAAAACAGAAAGACAGATGAACGAATGTTAATCTAAGATCGTTAAGTTATTAAGACTTTTATTTAGCTATTTTTCTTGAATCATACGTAGACCCTGAAGCTATCTCTGTGTGATGATACA